AATATCGATTTACACTTATTGAAAGCTTGCTGAAGCTGGCAATTCAAAGAGTTACAGAACACTTCACGGCAGCACTGATCAGCAGTGCGAATATCTGACTGTACAACATTGTTCTTTCGGAAAACAAAAATAATTTCACACAGAAACCTTGCTTCTCGATCCTTGATCATCGGAATTTGAGAATCGATCCACGCATCTTCCAAACTTGATCCTTGCATCTTGAAACTCGAATTGTTCAAGCTTTGAGACGTGAGGATCAAGTCTCGAGTTTCGAGCTTCAAATGTCAACTTACTTTTGTTGGCACTCTAGATTGAGATGACTTGCCTGAACGCTTGCCCGTAAGGCAGGTGAACTATTATTAAAAGTTAATTACTTTCCCACTAAGAAAGTCTGCTAGTCCTACTACTATACAGGACTTTTTCAAGCCCAGTGTCCAAAAGCATGGTTCCTTTACTCACACAAAAAGGCTACAGTCTTCACTTCGGTCAGGCTATTTTATTGAACATTAAATTGTACCAAAAGTGAGAAAGTTAAAGTTACTCAGCAGACAAAGACAAAAGGAATTTACCCACTTTGTTGATGGCCGTAATGACTAGTACAAAACCGAGTAAGATCAGTTAGTTTCCACAAAACTTAATATTCACCCTCCCACAAAAATTTAATGCCACATGGTTTACTTACTATATCTTACCTAATATTTTTGCCACCCACAGTATTGGATTTGAGAGCATATTGAAAGTGAATGTGTCTGAAGAGCGACTTATTGTGGTATTAAGGAAAACATCAGAAAGCAGCAAGCTGAATTTTGTTCACTTCTTCCTGGCAAGTGGCGATGCTGCAAAGGCAATCCACAAGGCTGTCATGGAGCACCAGCTTTTTTTCTGCTCAAGTAAAGTACGACGATCAGTCCTTAACCATTACTTGCTTTCCACTCCATGTTGGGCTCTGCCAGCCAAATGGTTCACCAAGACTCCCTCAGGGGACCTCTACCATCTAGATGTCAAGCACACAAGGCGCCAATCATACGATCTTCACTACAGAAATGTTCATAGTGATGGTGGTGCGTTCAGACATGATTGGGAATCAGAATGTTCCAAATGTAATTCAAAAGAAGCAAATGTGCTTTTCACACCCTGCGGCCATCTGGTTTATTGTGAGAGTTGTGCCAAAGATGAAACTGTCTGCCCAGTTTGTAATCATACATCAACAACCTGGCAGCGAGTTTATTTCTCTAATGATGCAGCATGCGATGATTGGACCTGCCAGATTTGTATGGACTCTGAAATCAACACTGCATTTTCTCCCTGTGGTCATGTGTGTTCATGTGAGGATTGTGCATGCCATCTACCTTACTGCCCAATATGTAAGACTTTCATAACTTTTGTGCAGCGAATGCATGTCCAGTTCCCAGACCACCTGTTCAAAGATGATGTTAGTGATGATGGCTGTGATTCTACATCCGAACTTACAGAATTTTCGTAGCTCCCAGTATCAGTGTGGTTTTCAAAAAAGGTTAAAATAAATTAGATTTTTTACAGTGTTAGGGTAATAAATAAGACATGGCCTTTTTTCAATCGAGTCTAGACCATGACAACTATTTTATAGGTAAAAGCACTTGGTATACAAAGTAGTTTCAGCTTGTTTAATCATACACGTGATCTATTTGTGAACTAGCTTATTTATGGCTGATCAGAGTATCTTAAATATGGAAGTTATACTTATGATTAAGATTATTTTGTTTTGTTCCTTTGAAAGGTAAGGATAGAATTTTCTGCCTTTTTGTCATGTTTTAATTTTCACTGGGGTAGTATAAGAACTTTAAACATGACAATAATATAAGATTGTATTTTTTTTTCAAAGATCAGTTGATTGTCATAGATTAGTAGATTCAAGATTAACAACATTATTTTGAGGCACACAATATGAAGTCTAACTTAATTTTTGTTTATTTATTGTGTTATTATATGGGTTATGTATTTATTATTACTGACTTCTAAGCTTTTTGTTGGTAAATTATACTGTGAGGGTATATACTTTGTCCCAAATTATTCATGTCATTTATTTAAAGTTATACAATCCTTAAACCAAATTATTGTTTTTTAAGGATATAGTATAGAAGATATAAAATGTTAGATTGTGAGGCATGTTGTGGTTTATTATTTATTAACGAGCAGTTTTTCATACAAGAAGTGCTCTTTGAGGCGTCAATCAGTTTGTTGTTCCCAGAAGTGTCCATTACTCTCCCCTCATCGAGGTCTGATAAGAATTTTATTTTGCAATAGCCCGTGAACAGGCTCCCAACCAACATGGGGCAAAGAAGGAAATTGGCAAGCAAAGCAAGCCGAGACTAGAGGCTCCTATGCTCCTTTTTTTTCTTCCCGGGCCATGCTCAGCTTGCTTTATAGGCTGATTTTCTTTCTCCCTGTTTCACTTGGTTAGCCTGTTTGCTGGCTATTTTAAAAAGTAGTTTGAGGTGAAGCAATGTTGGAAGTGTTGAGAAACCTTGAGAAATTTCACAGTAGGAGTTCGTTCCTGTAAAAAAAAAAGTGAAAGTCGCATAGACCTCGATCTTTGCTGAAAATTAAGTCCTTTTTCAAGGCAGTGGTATCACTCCTAAGGAGGGTATAGATATTTTAAGAACAAAAAAACTAATTGACTATTTTCTATGTGAAACTTAAAGTCAACGGTATTTAAATATTAAGTTATTGTAAATTATTAGGTCATCTACTTGTAGAACACAGGGTCATACATCTATAACATGATACTGACGTTTTGTTTTAGAGATAGTGATATCAGCTGAAAATTTAAGAGAGATTTATACATAATAATGTTGAATAAAGAGGTAAATTATGACTGTCTGTAGTACCTTTTGTTGTACCAATAAATAAAATTGGGTGTGCAAATTATTTCTGAATTGGTTTTTCCTAGACCCTAAAAAAGGGTAGACGAGAGTGATGAAAAGCAATAGAATTTGCAGGAAGAATATTATGGCTCATTCTATCCTAAGCGTGCCTTCATCTCATCTAAGAAGGACGAGGGTAGCAATTATTATTTGGTAAGCAGCACTGAAATGTTCCTTTTTGCGTTTTTATTGAGTGAGTCGCGGTAGCCTGTGTACAGACGCCCCCTTCCCTAAAAAGAATCAGCTACATTGTTCCAATATTGCAACGCTGTTTTGCGCTAAAAATCGTCATTGCGAATCGTTCCGTGTAACATCACCTTCACTCATCATGTCAATCAGGGTAGCTATCTAGATCTGCGTCAAGGCAACCCAGGACGAAAACTGGTGATGCTCTATATACCAAGTCAATAGATGCCCTGTTGTCTCGCTCTATTGTGTGAAGTTTATTGTGTTATTGTGTTGTAGCCATACTACTAATGTCTCAAGTGAAGGCCTGGGCCAAACGTCGGACTTTTCATGAGACAAAACGTGAAACTTAGTGAGTTTATATCATTCATCAACTCATCTGATAAGACCAAACTTGATAGGGTCGGATCCAGGAGTTTTTTTAGGAGGGGTGTTCACTCGTCTCTTGCTCTACTTCAACACCAATAATTCTGCAAAAACAAAAAAATTATGTGGTGACCAGTTGTATTAGAAAACCGCAGGTCATCTCAGAGGGAGGAGGGTGCGCACCCCCTGCACCCTCCCCCTAGATTAGCCCCTGGAAATCCTTGTTGCGGGAGGTGGTTTCGTACTGTTGCTCTGCGTTGATCAAATTTGTAATTTTAGTGTATAGGTTCGTAATCAAAATATGCCACGGCTGCAATTTCTGGCATTCCTTAGTTTAGTACTGAATTTGTCATGCAGCGTCCACTTATCTCACCGTTCAAAGCGCGCGCAGAGCTGAGCTGAATTGCATATCACATGATACCACAACCGAGTTTTACGAATAATATAAGAATTTTCCCCGTTTTTATTTCGGGATGGATTTTACCCGTCAAATGCTCCTGTGTGAGTTATGAAGTAGTGATTTTTGCAGGCACCGCAGTAAAACTTGGGCAGTGGGGCAACAGGACGACATGGAATAGTTTAAACGGTTAAATACGGTCTTAATTTTTGCAACTTAAATTCACTTTTGGTTTCGATCACTTGCCATTTTTTAAATTTTACTGTCTTCTTGTGAGTGCATGGTAATTTGATCCTAGAAGAATCGAATAATTCGAAGTTTTGATGGGTCTGTGAAATGCAATAATTTAGAAATCAAGAGTTGATCGTCTGATTGTTTAATTTAAGTAAAATGACTTGATGGTTTTAAGTATTCTATTGCAAAATATTTAAGCGCTATGATTTTATCGAGTACTTTTTGACAGATACTGGATGATATACCCATAACTGATATATAGATAGAGAGCGCGTCAGCCAATCAGAATACTGGATTTTCAATAGGATATACTGCTTCTAGAATTTTACTAAATGACGGCACTGGTCCAGCCAAAGAAAAGAAAATTTTATTGTGTCATCGACAGTAATTTAACAAAACACACTCTCGCCCACGAAAAGACATATTTTGTTTAGCACCTGTCATGTGACGTCACTATCGTCCTTATAACAGGCCAGCTGAATCTGATTTCTATTTTCTTTTGTTGATTTAAAAACAATACCACCTCGCTTTGTTTAGAAAATAGGGTTTCAAGATAAACAAACAGTCTGTGGTAAGGTTCAGGATAGTAATCTTTTTGCAAGGGAAAGCTTTCGAAACTGGAATTGCGCAATTTTATTCCTGCAAACTGAAACCTTGGAAGCCTGCAAGAGGTATAAGTAACACTGGAAATTTATGATTTCCGCTGACAGCAGCTGCTACGCTTTTTTTCTTCTTGTTGCGAATTGTTTTCAGGATCTTGCGATAACGTTAAGCGCTAATGCACTGTGCAAAACTTCAACGAAGCTGTTCATGTTTAGTTTCGCACACTAAAACTACCCGGCCGGCTTGTGACTTTGGGTTCGCTTTATCTGGTCAGCAACAGACTAGTGCAAAATATAAATATACATCAGAAAATGAGTTCACTAGATGACGACAAAGCACTTTCGGGAGGAAGGATAGCCGCTAAAGAAGAAATCAAGCTGAGTAGGTATGATGTGTACAGCGACATTAGCGGCTCAAGCAAAATGGAAAAGGACAATTTAAAAACGCCGTCCTTGCATACAAATATATTTGCTGAAGATTTGAAGGTCCGAAAAAAGCATGAAAGAGAAATTACGCTGTACGTAAAAGAGACTCACACTGAAAAAGATTGCGGCAGTTTGAATGCAGTTTTGACAGCAACACAAAGGCCAAAGAGTGCTTTGAACGATCCAGGCAATTCGTACAGTCTGTTCGGAGTCTCACTCAGTCAACCATTAATGTACAGCCGCAATGCACTGGCCGTGAAAGGTACCGTGGATAAACGAAGATCTTCGTGCTCCGACCTTTCACCGAAGAACGTACGAAGTGGAAAGGAGTAAGCACAATACATTCGCTCAAGAGAGGCCTCACTATTCCATCTTGATCTGCACTTTGATTACTTATTGTCCCCAACCAAGCCCCTTAGAGAGCAAGAAACTTTTACGGCAGTAGGCTATTATTCAGCCAGGACCCCCTGGTCAGCTTAAAAGCTTACAGATTATACCAACAGGCTATATCAGGGGAACCCAACGAGAATACAGTTCAAAACCACTTAAACATAGCATTGTTAAACGTATTTTAGTATTTAAACGGTAGATATAGGCATATTTTTATCCCCTAAAATTTTTTCATCTGTTCGGATTTCCTAGCTGAAAGTCTAGTGATCCGAAAATAATAGGGATCAAAACTTACCTTTTCGAAAATTTCAGCTAGAAAAAAGGTTCCCGAAAATTATAGGTGACCTTTTAAGGGTAAAAATCCGTTAAAAATGGGCAACTATAGTAGTTTTTAGATGTTCGAAAATCCTAGGAGAGGCAGGCAAGCAAAAAATTTTACTGCAAATGTTCCGAAAATTCTAGATCTCAAATCGTCTTCCGAACACATATTTTTCCGAAAATTGTCGTTGGGTGCCCCTGCTATATGCATGGAGTAATTCATACAAAAGAAAATCAGCTTGAGCAATGGGTACTTGATTGCGAACTTGAAATTATGCTTTGTTCAAGGTTGCTCAGTTAGTATATTCAACTGGTGCGATTCTTTGCCTTCAGAGAAGATTAGTGCGGTTAATTTATTTAATACCGACCAGCTGAGAGTTAAGTTTAAGAACTTCGGTTCACAATTAAAAGATGAGTGAGATATTGGCCGAACATGAGATTTACCAATAATATTGATCAACATAATAAAACTTTCTCTACGGTCAATCCTCTTTCAGGAATCACAGGCCAAATAAGAGGTAATTACACATCAGTTCAGTTATAGATGCAAACTTCCAAAAATTTGCATACTGTCAAGAAATTAAGCTGCTCGGCCTCTGTAATCAAAAGCAGGAAGCCGAAAAACAAAAATCCGGTAAACGAAACGAGTGAACTGAACCATTCAAATGACAATTTAGTTTTCCGTTCTTTGAAGCGGGAATAATGGTTTTATTGGGTATACGAAATTAAAAGTCTGAAAGCGTTTTAAGACCACATACTAACTTGCTTTTAACGACAGGTGAAAAACATATTTNTTTTTTTTCGTCCTCACTGTTTTTTGTTCGGTGGGGGTTTCTCTAATTTTATTAGTTTATCGTAAGAAAAATAAAACTCAACCCACCCCCCTTAGGTGTGAAAAAAAAAACAAAAAAAAAAATTCCCCCCCCCCCGGGGGGGGGGGGGGGGGGGGGGAGAGTACTCCACCAATATTTGGGTAAGGGTGAGCCGCTTAGGGTTTGAAACCCTAAAACTGTCTGGGACAAAAAATCCTTAAATAAAAACCCTCAATTTTAGGAAAACACCCTCAAAATGCACGCCGTCTTTTGTTAACGCCATTTATCGGCAACTGCAATAGAGAAAATGCACGTTATAGTCATTGCTTTTGTATACTTGGAGTACAAACAAAATTCATCTAACAAATCAAATCAATTGTGCAGGCAATACCCTGTTGACAGACAGTAAATTACATACCTCAAGGCGCGGACCTAGGATAAATACTGACCGATTTCCTAAACGAGCGCCGAAAGCGCAAGCTTCTAGCCGGTTCCGGGGGCGGGCGCCCTCAGGAAGTTTTTTGGATCTTGACCTTAAAATCCCCTTTCCAGGGTTTCCGAGTCATTCAGACAGGATTTCAATTTGGAAAAATGTGACCGATTTCTGTAAAATTTCTGTTAAACGGTGAAAACCGGTGTGGATCCGCGCCTGCATACCCTGTTTAGGGCAGACTCACACGAGATTATATACCCTGTTTAGGACAGTGAGGTTAAAAACCATACCCTGTCCAGCGGCAGGACAGGGCTATATCCCGTGTGGGATGTATAAGGGTAAGGCCTGGACCGTCTGTGCTTCCAAAAGATAATATCGTTGCAAAATCAACGTATCACTGCAGAATATCAAGACTGAAACTGGTTAGCTCAAGTAAGTATAGTACAAGCTAGAGATAGCTGATTTTCCTCAGATGATGTTATAGTAGATCAAATCACACCGAAACTTCATAAGAAGACCACAGAAAGGCAGAGAACAACACCAGTATTCACCGGTATACAAGTACTATTGGTACTTGGAGTCTTGTTATTTCAGTTTTATTTCCAGTACAACCTCTTTATATTACGCCTAGAACCACCTGGGACTAGACTTGCACAACAAGCTCCCACGTACGGAAGCTTGCAGCGCCAATTGCTGGTTTTCACTGTCACGTTATCGAAAGAGCAACAACAAAAAAAAAACGTGCAATAGATTACTCCAGAATCTGGGAAATAAAAGGAGGTGTATTTTCAAAGACCCTCACCAAGATTCAGGCTGGTGCAATTTTTCGTGTGCGAAATATTCGGAGAATGTTTTACCTAAATGTATAGCCAGAACTTTCTATGGAGACGCCATGTTGGTGTCCCTCTGAGAGGCACCAACATGGCTGCCAGAAACCACCAGAAACATCTGTTACCAGTTTTGCAATGAAAGCGTGAATTTATCCCTTGAAGAACTTACTCAAAGTAAGGACTGTCCCCAAAATAAGTTACTTTTTTTAACCTACATGACAAATAGCTCTCTCGGCCGCCACATGAATGCGGTTAGAAATTCAAGCGTACTCTATCACAAAAGAGGCCCTGCCAGGGGGTTGAGAGGGGGGGGGGGGGGGGGGGGGGGCCTGACATTGCCTCGCGGTGTGAGGACGACTAGTGGGACGGGGTGGTTGCGGAGGTCAGGGCGAGGGGGGGTCGAGCGAGAGCGCGGGGTGGGGGGGGGGGGGGGGGGGGGGGGGGAGGCGGGGGGGGGTGGGGGGGGTGGGATGGTCCTATGTCGCCCGTCTGAATTTTAAAACGTCTCGTGTCGGTGTTTATAAATGCTTGTCGCTTATTGTCGGGTTTGCTGTCACTGTCGCAATTTGGCCGAGGGAGATTGTCTCTTGTCGCGATTTCATTTTACACGCTGTCGCTACTTTTTGGGCCATGGCACTTGTCGGAGTTTACCCTGTCAGGACCTCACAAAACAAAGAAACCCTTCGAAGTGAAAATTTGTGAAAATAAAAGTTTTTAGCTTCTCTAATACTTCATGAAATTAAAAAGCCAGGGGGATCGATAATTCTTTAGTTCGAATTTGGTGACGTCAATTGAAAACCAAAATCCGAAGCTTTGAAAATCCGACATTCGACATCGGAGCGTAGCGTCGATCTTCGAAAACTGAACGAGGAGCACGGAAATTTGACAAATAGCGCGAAAATCATTGATTACCGCGTGAAGCTTTCAGCAGGAAGCGGGAAACGCCCAGTGTTTTGAAAAACTACTCTAGAACATTTTCTTGCTGGGAAAACCAGACCCCGCCGATTTCGAGTCAGAAAAGGAAAATTTTTATTTTGCATTTTTAAATGAACACGTGTTTTTCATAAATAAGTTTTTGGTGACTCAGTAACAAGCGCAGTGTATTTCAGGTGAGTTTTGTTAAAATGTAATTAAACTTGAACTTAAGCTTAAAAGCTTTCGTCCTAAGTTTGAGCCTTTTTCTGTTTTGACATAACTTCGTTTGTTCTCAAATACAACACAAACACAATTCGACCTGCTTAAGTTTATTGCATTAATGATATTGTAATATTGCCACTCCTAAAGAAAAGAAGTATCTTATAATAATTATTGCCAATACTGCCGTTGTTTGTTTTGGTAAAATTTTGCAAGCAATGTTAAGCTTATTTAACCTATGAAAAATACAATACTTTGATTGAAACCTACAGGTTTTATTAATTCCTTAATTATTCATAATATATAGCAACCTTAAATGGGGAGTAATGGAAAATGGGAATTTACGTAGGATTTAACGATCTATAATAAAAATGTTAATAATAATTTAATATTAATACAGATTCAGGTTAAGACTGATAATGTCCAAACCGATCGATAGCCGATTTTTAGGAAAGATACTGATGAAATTAAGAAAGGTAAAAATAGCTGTTTGTTTAGACATTTTTTTACAGGGTGAACACCCCAGATTAACATCTACAGCTGCCAGGTCTGAAATGTTGTAAGTCTACTTGTGGAGTCCCAAAGGTTTTCACTAAAATGAGAACTTGTGTACAGATCAACTTAAGTAAGCTTACTTAGTTCTCGGACACAATCAATTACTATGCACCCATGGGCATGTATGTGTTTGTTATTTACATTACTTAATGATTGTTTGAGTGATTAACTCACAGCTAGCTCTACTAAATTAAAGGTATCTTAGTCTGTTAACAGCCCTAATCCTACACTAAATCTTCAATCACTGATTTCTAAAGATCAATTGAAAGAACTTCTTAACAAAATCGATAATGAGATACACTGTTATGGATAGTTAAACCCATCTTAAATTGACTAGTATAGCCAGACATAGTTTGAACCTTTCAAGATGAATGATTCCTCTTCCATTTTAATTTTTAAGTATATCAGGTAACACCCCACAGTGTACCTTCTAAACTTAAAAGAATTACCTATAGTAATACCTATATTGACATACACAGATAATAATAATTATTAAATAGAATCCAATTGAAAATTCCCATGAATATCCTAACAAGAATGATTATAAACCTCAATCTTCTGAAGAAAATGAGCTAAAAAATCTTTTAAATTGTTCAAAGCACATGAACATAACAATATTCCAAGCTCCCAGCCTCATGAAATTTGGGGTGAACCTGAAAATGAAAACACAGAACAGTACTATTAGTCAGTGTAGAATTAAACTACAGTGTTAGTTACAGTAATGCAATACTGTAACTTTTCAACTGAAAACTATTAAAAAGGTATATAATAATGTACTCATGAGTAATAATATTTTCAGTAGTAATACCAATAACTTTTAAGATGAGGATGACGGGCACATTACTGTTTTAAGACATTGAATATTATTACTATAGGGGAAACCTGCAGCAAGCACTGGTTTTGCATAATAATGGCTCTTGGAGCAAGACATTATATTTCAAAGTAATATTTACAGAGATGCCAACCTCTAAAGATTTTAAATCTGGAGACTCTCTGTTTTTCACTAGCCCCCTACCCCAGAAATTTAGGACATTATATCAAGTCTTACATGAAGTAGATACTATCCAAATTCGCGACCATCGTTTTGATGCCAGAAATAATCTTTGTCAGTGACTAAATAGGTGTAAAATGCCTCAGAAACCGTACTACAGTTACGAATAAGAAAAATTCAAGTTTTGAGCTAAAAATGGGCTAAATTTCAAATTAAGGCACAGAAAAGCTCAAAAGATGATTTTATCCGGGAGATAAAGTGACCCGTACGGGAGACTGGGAGATTGATGTCGTATCCGGGAGACTCCCGGATAATCCGGGAGGGTTGGCATGTATGTATTTATATACAGATTATAATTGGCACTAATTAGTTGGTGTTCTGATCCTTGTCACTGAGGGTTTTCTACATATAGCTGTCATTAACAGAAATAGGGGAAATTATGCTAAACTGCTTCATATTTTGCAATTGAGTAAGGGCTAAAGGAAGGAATTAACCAGGAAAAAAGAAGTAGGAGCCGGGAATGCAAGTTGCAGGAGGCAGGAGGTCGAGATCTCTGAAGTCTCCCCACTGTTCAATAAATAAAAACAAACAAAGGGAAAGAAAAGGAAAAAAAAAGTAAAATGAGAGTGAAATTGTATGGACAAACCACTGGAAAAAAATAAAATGGCTATTGTGGATAGGTGGCTGTTACATTCTCCTGCTTGTTTCTTGTTGACATTTTAATATATGGATTCGTGATTAAACAAGCGAATGAATACAATAACAATGGTGATTTACCCTTTGTAATAAGCCAGAGGACCATTGTGTTTCAACAGCATATAAGCACAGTGGATGGCACTCTTGTATGTATTTGGTGGTGAGTTCATGTAGCGAGTCTTCACCACATCAACAGGGGAAGCTATCACAGTGGTAGCGAAGCCAGCCCCAAAGGCAGATACAAAATGCAGCGGCATCTCATCAGCCATGAGATTTTTTCTCAGAAAGAACCCTTTCACCATGTCATACACAACAAGCTCTGAGGCATTCACAGTGGAGAGCCGTGCCATATTTGCGAAGGCGCCTTTCCACATTCCACGTAGCCCTTCATTTTTGTAAATTGACTTGTAAGCATCTAAGGCCTTACTTGATCCAAATCTGGAGGCACTAGCTTGAAATCTCACTTTAGCTACTTCTGTTGGCTGAGCTAGTGATACTGCAAAGACACCTGTTGTAAAACTAGCCAGAATCTTCTTTATAACTTTTGGGTTGTTTATGTCCTCATCTCCATAAAATTTTTTAACTTTGTCATAAAGTCCTATCCTAATGCTAGCAAAGCAGAGTTGTCGATGAATTCCTGGTACAAGTCCTTTGTACAGGGAGCGAACACCATCTGTTTTTGCCACTGTTACCATGGAACCTATCATTCCACGGTATTTTACACTGGGATTGCCAGTTGAAACACCACTTGATACATTTGCCATAACAGCATTTTCACCTTGAATCTATAAAAAAACGAAAGTATTTTCATAATAAAAGGATGAGTATCACAGAAAAAAGAGTTTCAATCAGTGGAAATCCACTAATAGTCGCCTGCTCTACCTAAAAATGACTAAACTAGTGTATAAAAACTGTTACAATCAAAGGGTAAAATTAAAGAACAGCTGCCAAAAACAAATGTCGGCCCTCTGTTGGCCGACTGTCAACCAACAGTCGGTTGACAAACCACCTACAGTCATCCAACAGATGACAAACAGATGGCCGACAAACGGTCATCGAAATTGTTGCACAGTTTCACAGCTTAATGCATCAGTCAGTTCCAGTCAGTTCCAGCTGTGCCCAGCCCACCCAACCCCCCCCCCCCCCCCCCCCCTCGGGGGCGTTTCCCCCCCTTTCCTTGCCCCGGGGGGGGGCCTTTGCAAATTTTTCCCGCCCTCGGGGCCCAGCGGGAATTGACTGTGGCATAAGTTTTTAACACAGGGGGGGGGTAAATTTTTCTTTTTTTCTTCCGGGAGGGTTGTTCTTCTTTTGACTCCACTTGTGTGTGGCCCCCCCCCCCCCCCCCCCCCCCCCCCCCGGCTACTGCGGGGCATTTGCCTGCCTTGTCAGTCCCAGGGGTGGCGCATTTGCAAATTTTGCGCTGCCTAGGGGCACAGCTGGAATTGACTGATGCATAAGTTCGTAACCTAGGGTTGGTTTAAATCTTTCAGTTGACTGTCAGAGAGCTGTTGCTCATCTGTCAGTCAACTGTGAGTCGACAGTCTACTGACAGATGGCCAACAGACTTTTGGGGGAGCTGTTATTCAAATATTACTGTTACAATAGTGTATCCCCACTAGTGGCAGGTAGGAAGGAAGTGGACTAACACTAGAAGTTGAGCCAAAATTTGAAATTTTGCACTCAAAACCATTGGTTATGGTTTTCCGTCACACTGGAGAATAAAATTTGAAACTAGGTCTTTTCCTAGACTGCTTGATAGCTGCCTATGCCTTTTCTCATGATCCAGTTCTAAACCCTTGAGTGGGCAGGTTTGCAAAACAAGGCAGTTAACAAATCAAAGAGCTTTAGGAACTGACTTGTAAATCATTTATTAAAGGTTTTATCCTATCTCTTTGAATAATGCCACTTTATAAGGTGTTGAGTGGGGTGGGGGTTACTCAAATCAGTTCAGGGTAGCTGTGTCTTCCCAAGGTTCTTGAGCAAAAGTTTTTGTAAGGCATGATTTCATAAGATAAACTGTTTCTTGAATCAATATAAGAAATGAGGACTGAATAAAAGGGCCACTTGTGAGGGTCACGAGTTTACCCTTTCTAAATTAAGACTCGAATCCACTCCATTCCAAGACTAAGAAAGTCACAGACTTTGCTAACTATCTCTGTACATGGTGACACAATGTTTAGTTCCGGGACAATCATTGCTTCACAATTCTATTCAGTCCTGATTTTAATCAAGTTTACAAGAGTCGACCAACTAAAGAACTGACCAACCAACCAATCAAGGTCCCCTCGTAAATCAATTCGCGAGTTAATGATCGCAGTATTCAAACATGTTTTGCATTAGACATGATGAAACGAAACCAGAAAAAAGAAACATGCAAACATTTCACTACGTTACACGTCACACGATTGAACACTGGTCCGAGGTAAATATTTCATTATACCGTCAGAAAATTGCAAGACTTATTTACAATACCAACTTTAGACCTGTCTCGTTGACGATACATGCGTCTTATATCTAACGATATAGTGGAAATGCTATATACTAGAATTAAGCTGCTATAAATTATTTCCACAGGGTTAAAAACTGTTTTGGATCTGAATACTCTCGCGAGCTATAAATTTAGGTATTCCATAACGTAAATGTACTGGAAGTAATTCCCGTGTAGATAGAAGCAAAGCGTTTCGAGGATAGATTAAGTTACAAATCTAGGGGCTGTAGTGTTGGCTGTTCTCTTAAAACGTCATGAACAGGTAAGATGCAAAAATGATCATTGTACACGTTGGCTGACCTTGGATGAACAACCAAACATCCACTTGCGGTTAAAGACCAGCTTACCTGAAGTCGAACTTTCGCCGTGTCTATCGGAATAGTAGCAGCCTCTGCCACAGATGCGGCTAATCCAGCGCTTACAAACTTCACAAGTAGAGACGGTTCTTTCTGCCCCGGTTTAGTATGCATTTCCGACTGTGCTGCTTGCTATCAACAGGGGAGAAGCTTTGTGCTCGGGAACTGGTTCACGACACGCAAACTGAACCTTGAACGAAGCAAAGTGTGAAAACTGACCACGTTGCAAATATTCCCTTCTTCAATTTTACCGTTTTAGCCGTCGAATCAAGTTTTAATCGCACTTCCTGGCCTTGCTCAATTACCCTGTTGAGCAACTACCGTATGACACGGAATCCGACACGGAAAGAAACGAGTGCGTGACGCAGTGTTATATTATGATTGGCACTTGTAGCCTTACTCACATATTGATTGCATTTGATTTTTTGTTCTGCTTTTCCTGTTTTCTACCTTTTTTCCGGGAAGGCTATTGTTTACAGACGAAATTGGTCTGTCCTTTTTTAGTCAAAACTGACGAATGGGAAAAAAGGTGCATTTTTTATTTTCAAAAGGGCAAAGTTCAGTTTTCTGTTGGGAGAAATGTTGCGTGATGAGACAAAAAAGGCTTGGCTGCGTATACATGCAAGACCTTTCTAGTTGGCTATTGGTTAATCGAAGGGGTGTGTTTGGAGGTGCGGATGTTACGAAATTTTTGGAAGGGTCGTCACGGTTACAGCGAGTGTAAAGGGTTCTGTAGGTTGACAAACGGGTTTCAACGGAAATGAGCGTCAGCATTTTGTGGTTTGACGTGCGATTTTTCTCATGATTCCGTTGACGGTCGAAAGAAAATATTGATCAAAATATATGAACGCATTACGACCTAAAATTCAGGGCAAATTTATATCTAATCATTTTCATCTCTTAGCGTAAGTCAAGGTAGTCCTTCAAAGAAACAGAATGATAAGGATTTCAAGACATCTAAGCTAAAAGTAATAAACCTGGGGACAGGAGCCCATGCTGGGGATTAAAGACGAAATTCCAAAGAAATTCCGAATTTTCCTTTCACCTTTCCTATTAAAGCCACCACGCGCGCTACGTACGAGATTCTTCCGGCACGGCTGGGGTGGTGGTAGTGTTAAGACTGAAGCGGGGAGGGGGGAAATTTTAAAATGAAATTGAAAATGGGTATAGGGGGTGGGGGGGGGGGGGAATACAATTTTTAGCACATGGCACAAAAGGGGAAGAAATTTACATTTATTGTCTCTTTTTTATCCCGATGTGGATTACAGTATCATATTAATTTAAACTAATGGATTCTCCGAAACACTCAACACCGCAGTAACAAACTAAAACAGACCTGCCAACACTAAATCAATGCGTATTTGGAGGTTTGGAAAAATTTTTAGATTGGAACCTCTAACCTGAATATTTCCAAAATTTGTGTCAAATGAAAATAAAAAACAGCCAGTAGATTCGTATGTCTTATGTTCTTTTCTACCTTACTGGTGCCGCCATTGTATTCTTTTGTTTCTTTTTCTGATGTGACGTTGACGAGTAATCATTTTGATTTTGTCGGTTCACAGATTTAAATAGAGAATATTACACGGTGGCGAGAAGATATGAATTTTATGTTCGAGTGGCAAGAACAATATCTCACGAGTGAGCGCAGCGAACGAGTGAGATATTGCTCTTGCCACGAGAACATAAAATTCATATCTTCGAGCTAACGTGTAATGCACCTATCAATGTAAACCCCGTGGGGGGGGGGGGAGTGCGGGCAAGGGGTGGGGATTTGACAAATTGTGAAATTTTTCGATCAAATTCCCCAGGGTGGGAAACGAAAGGTCAATCAAAAGTGTCAAAATCAGATGGGAACTTGAAGATAAAAACTTTCTCAAAATAAAATTATCTGTTTAGATGACAGTTTAAAGTATCGGATTATGGCGATTAAAACAAATGAAAAGTTCATACCTTTCTCCAACAGCGTGACTTTCAGGAAACCTCGAGGGACGGACTTGGTAACTGCTTCTGAATTGATACCAGGCTTCTGTCGGTCAAAGTCAAATGTCCCGACCCCGGGGTCGCTTCGCACGATCAAAAGCCCGATAGCGGGGATAGTCCCAGGCATCAAATCCCCTCCCCTTGCCCGCCCCCCCCCCACGGGATTTACATTGATAGGTGCATAATATTCTTTTTATTAGATAAACATACTGATGACGGCGTTTTTGATGATTTTCCGAAGATTTCCGACCACCTTCTGAAGATTTCCGAAGATTTTTCAAATTGTCCCGAAGACCATACGAACGTTCCCGAACATTTTCCGAGAATTTCCGAAGATGTCCGAAGATTGCCGAGCACTTTCGAGGAAGACCCGATGATGTTTCGATGATACACCAACGAATTTAAGTATAATTTAAGAGACAAACCTGATGTCCGTGAAATTATCGATATCTTCACACGTAAAAATATCGTATTTTTACGTGTGTTCAGATACCACATTTCTCGGTGGTAGAAATCCTTGTAAAACACTGCAGTTTATATAATAAAAGCCTTTTCCATCACCGACTTCAGCGCCTATGTTTCATATCACGGGAGCCCGTGAGCCGATTTAGAATCACGTTTTTAATTCGCCAAACGGCTAACGTCAAATTCAAGTTCACAATTTGTCGAATTAAGAAATGAGACCCCTGATACAACTGTCCAAAATCATTCTTACTGACTAGAGGTAATCATTGATTACAGATCCGCGTTCATCACTTACGGAAACGATATTCGAGTCGAAAGGAGTCCAGTTTCCCGGCCAATATGCCCCTGATAAAATCAGTGGGGGCAGCTCAAGATCGGCAGTGATACCTCGAAAATCTGTGGCTTTGTACCACAAGAACACCATGATTAGGAAACGTTCTGATTGAACGCGATGAACCTAACATAAAATGTTCTATTTCTGTGTAGATATAATGAACACTGAAACGACAAGTGAGATCTAGCCTGCGTAGCAGGCGCTTGGAAGTAGTGGGCGAAAGAGAGAACGGGCGGGCGCGAGGAGACACGCGTGTCTCCTTCTCGCGCGCCCGTTTTTTCTTGTGCCCACTGCTTCCAAGCGCGACTACTTCCAAGCGCCTGCTACGCAGGCTAAGAGAAATCTTGGTTAAGTGGTACAAATTGACGTTCGTCGTTGATCGTAAACCAGGCTATGTCCACACGAATACTGATATTTTTGAGACCGCGCACATTTTCACACGAATTTTTACACGACAAGAAACAGGAGACGGAATATAACTATGCAATCATCAGTGGCGGATCCAGGGAGGGGGGGGGGGGGAATCTGGAATCCCCCCCATATCAACCCGGACGCTTTTTTGAGACGGAAATTTTTCCATCGACAGAACCGTATATCACCTTTTTACTGGCTGTTTTTTTTTTATTGAAACGCGAGTCCCACTTTGCCACAAACCTAATCCCCCCTACCTACCTCCCCCCCTCTCCCCCCCTCCTCTCATTCAGAATTTATTTGTTATTTTTAGACACCCACTACATGTCTAAAGTCTATTTACAACAAAAAAAAAAAGGGGAGAGAAAAATAACAAATCAACACTGGGGGGGGGGGGGGGGGGGGGGGGGGGGGGAATCTGGAATCCCCCCCATATCAAACCTGACGCTTGTTTGAGACTGAAATTCTTACATCGACAGGATCGTATATCACCTTTTTACTGGCTGATTTTTTTTTAATGAAACGCGCATCGCATCTTGCCACTAAACTAAATTCCAGGGATATTAAAATATGTAATTGTTTTTGGGTACCCTCCTATAATCTGGACCCCCTTCCCTCAATCAAAAATGCCTGGATTCGCCCCTGCAATGTATAATTATTCTCTCTTGTATTCCTTCACAAATTAAATTTGACACTATTAGACATTACTAGTATGAACACTGATGTTTTGATATTAGTTCACTCCCACTGGAGTTGTTTGGCTTTTCTCATTCACCGTGAGATTTGGGGGTTATTTAAATCGCGACACCAGGAGTTGATGAGTTGATAACCAAAACCATGTCTCACGGCCAGACGGTCAGTTGGCCTTTCTGTAAAAATTTCCTCGAAAGTTCATTTTGAACTGTGGTTTTTTAACTGGAGCTCTTTTGGCAGCTATATCAGTTAAAATAATGTTGTTGTTGTTGTTGAATTCAGTAACTGTATCACAGGACAGGCAATCTTAACCGTAGCCTGAGAAAATCTATACTGATGACGCGTCATTATTCAGATCTGGGTAGTGACGTGTCATTAGTATAGAATTTCTGCGCTCGTTTCTCAGACGTCATTTCGCGGGGAAACCTTTGGTGGCATCGCGACATGTCGTCTGTTTTCTTTCTTAACCGCGGATAATTCTCTGGCCCATTCGAGTTTAGCTTCCTCCATTCGCCACGATTCCTCCTTCCCATCACACCCCGCGCGCCACTAAGGAGAGATAGTGAGAAGGGAATGGGGACTAGTCAAATAGCCGATGAATAGAGAAAGAGTTCAATCACAAAGCTAACAGCTGGTCCCAAAGAAAAAACTGGCCAAATGTGGACACTGTCTGGGGGGCTAAAAGACGCCATGGGGTGTTCTGCCTTTAACACATGATCAACGCACATGCGCAACTTTCTGAAGATATCGGAAACACCAAGAGTGAAATCCGGTAAACAACGACAAAAACAATAGAAACAAATGTAGATAAACAGAACTGCAATTTACTGCACCATTACGGGTACACATATTGTCACAAGTCAGAAAATACACCTATTACTTCTGAAACCTAAAAAGAACTTAATTCAGCAAGATACTAATTTTAAATACCGGGACCTTCAAGCCTTATTATTGGGTAAAGTGGTCATATAAAATATCAAGACAAGTATTTGTTTTTAATGCACATAGATAGAGTTCCACATGTGTCCAATGCAGGGCTTGTCACTTATACCAGCTTGTGTTTAGATCTGCAGTTACTTTTGGAGCTCTGCTTTAATCATATCCTCAAGTTTTACAGCATCTGCAGCAAACTTTCTGATTCCCTCCGCTAACTTCTCAGTAGCCATCTGGTCCTCATTGAGAAGCCAACGAAATTTCTTTTCATCCAAGGATACTTTCTCAATATCAAGCTTTTGAGCTGTAAAAATACAAGGAAGAGTAATAAAAAATGTTTGACCTTGTATAATGAAAACGTGACTTCTTAATGTATCAGTAGTATATAGCTGAGGGAAACCATGAAATTCATAAATTTCCTATGCTCTTATAATAAATCGCAAGTTACAAAACACAGAATAAGAATCTACGTCTAAAACTAAAATGATAATTCAAAAAGTTATAGATACTTTATTATTATTATGTTTAGGAACTGATTTTCATTAACCATCACCTGACGGCAAAGTTAATGTTTATCCTTACCTTCCTCAACTGAAAGCTTTTGGGAGACTGTCTCAGTCGATTTCACGAGCTTTTCTAACAAAGATGGACTGAAAATACGAAACAAACATTAGTGCTTCTGGACTAGGGGTGGTGGGGTTCACTAGCAGCTCGGGGATTGACCTATTGTATTTTATCTTATGGTATTTGTTATTTTGGAAATTTGTAACTTGTCATTATTACAATTTTATGTTCTTCACAGCTGAGAAAGTTATATAATTACAAAATTCATGGGCAATTTCAAGCAAAAGCTTAAGGCAAATAGTAGGAATTGTATTATATACCACTAAAAGAAACTCTGCTAATGGTTCCCTCCACAACAGCTACTTTCGTCTGTCCTGGCAGATACAGTACATTCTTTCATGTTTCAACTGCTGTACAAGGGCAATAATCTCCCTTCAATGACCTGCCATTCCTCACTGTCCCCAGGGTGGAGGTATTCTCCTAGCAGATTGCATTGTATGTGCTTGATAATCAAAAGAAGAATTTGACATTTTAACCCTTTAAGCCCCAATATCCACATACAAATTCTCCAAACTGATCTCTATACATTTTGTTAAAGAATAAGTTGAGAGAATTTGATGAAAGATCAAAGCAGTTTCTCTTAGGTGATCAATTTATTAATTCTCATAACCAAATCTCTTGACAATCAATGGATATGGTTAGGAGAAAATTGATGTTGGACACCATTGGGACTTGCTTAGAGCCTTTAATATTCCATGCACCCCTTAGTTCAATTTTTGCTGATACCTGATTGTGAGAAGATCACATCCAGCCAGTTCAGTGATTTGCCCAAGGTTTCTGAATGATGCTCCCATGACAACAGTTTTGTAACCAAACTTTTTGTAGTAGTTGTATATTGCTGTCACACTCTTAACACCTAAGAAAGAACAAGTCGACATATGTTGTGATAAGTCAGAAGCATCTTAGCATGATCGACACACAGAAAATTTTCCACTAAAATGACCCTAAAAGTCGTGTTCCATTTACTTTCCAACTGGATTTTCCAGAAATGTTTTGTTATGATAAGCACCCAAATACACAGAGGGCCAGAGACACTAACATGTACAGTACTTCATTATTTCATAATTACATCACTGAGAACACATTGAAATTCTACTATTACAGAGAAGAATACAAACCACAAAATTTGAAAAGTGTATACCGTTAAGTGTAAAAAAGTTTTCAAGAAATCCAGCCACATTTTCATCCAGAAGAAAAAAGCTAAACATTTTATGGCCTGCAGAGTTGTATATCAAACATTGGATAGCGCTATCCACTGGATTTTAATCACTATCCAGTGAATATGTATTGGGGAAACCAGTTCCGCTATCCAATGGATAGAGATTTATTCAGTGGATAGCTTTTATCCACCTTTTAAACATCTGAGGCCTGGTGATGTAGTTGTTCACTTTCCTTGGTTGGTATTTTTGCGCAAAATAAATTTGTAAGTTCCAGCCAGTCATTTATTGATATCATTATTATTTACTTTTAATCTCTACCTGGGTCATCTGCAGGTTCAAATTCCTTTTGGTCTGTGTTCTTAACATACCAATCAAAAATACGCCCAACAAATGGGGAGATCAAGGTGACACCAGCTTCTGCACAAGCTACCGCCTGGAGAGGCAAGAAAAATCAGGCAATAATACATGGTTTTTATGATGTGCTATGATTAATTCACCTACATGTCTTGTGATCTCCAGGGCAGGGTTGGACCGAAGTAAGGAGGCTTTGTTCAAAGTGAGGCACATTGATGGCATAGCCCCAAATGTAGTCAATATTACCAGTTCTATTGCCTTAAAATAAAATAGCTCAAGTGCTTTTGGGAACTTGCAATGACAATACACTAACTCAGTGGGTCATTCGGCCCACCAGCCCAACGCTATCTGACATCACTTCTGTGTGTCTTCATGATTCATCCTGAAAATGCCTAACTAGTCCTGAAACTGACAATCAAAACCCCAAAAGGAAAACTCAAAGTATTCCTGCCGTTTCCACATCAGAATACCCTCCCTTCCTCCCTTCTTAAGTGCTCATAGAGGAACAATTACTTGCAAGAAAGGAGAGACCATCTCTATTTTGGTAATCTTTAACAGTACACTCAATTTTGATGCAACGGTATTTATTAGAGTTTCTTCTTTCACTAGCAAGGTCATTGCAAGGTCTTTCTGCAAATATAAGGTAAATAAAAGGATGGCCTTTGTCCAAGGCTTGGAGCCTTGCTTTTGTGAGTTTCTATCAATTACAGGGTCTCCAACATTCTGCTTCAAAGTCTCAGATCTTCAGTCATAGAATGATGTGCGTTTCGAAGCATGTAGAGCCTTGAAATTTACATTTTATTTTAATGCTACATATACATTGACTCAATGTTAATTCCCCCAATTATAGCATTGGTTTTTCCATACAGTAAAAACCCATGACTTAGTAGCTGCATTTTCCCAAGTTAACCTATACAGGTTCTTACATAAATGCGGCAATTAGCACAAATTTAGGCTACCGGTATTTACATTTTTATAATAAATAGGTTCTTATTTTCTGAATTGCAGCTAAGAGAAGACTTTAGTGGTACTCAGCTTAATTCCTTAGTAGGAATTCCAACAGATGGGTGTGGGGAAGGTGCCTGAGTAAACTGAAGGTAACCATGACAACCCTGTGAGAGGCAACCACCAGGCACCGTCACACTGAGAACCGCAGTGGAAAGTTTTCAGATCCTCACCAAGACCCACCCAGAGGAAGGGAATTAAAGGCTGGGAGCAAAAAAGGCTTAAGCGCAAGCACAAGCAAAGACAATGCAAGAAAAATGACTTGACCTCCAAAGGAGTGCTGTAAAAATACTGGGACCCTGAAAAAGCCCTAAGGCCGGCGCACATATGATTAGCAATGGAGACTGCTGGCCAGCATTATCTCATGTTTAACCTCGCCTAAATTACATTTAGCCACATTTTACTGTATATATCATTCTGTACTAAATGTCTAGAATGTACACTGCACAATAATATTATGGAAATTCTGTGATGATGTAACACTTGCTTACCTGTGCAAAGGAGAAAAGGAGTGTCATGTTGCAGTGAATACCAAGTTCCTCCTCAAGAACCCTAATAAATGATAAAAAAATTTGAATTGAAATAATGAAATGAATCATGAATTGAAATATATAAAATGAATCATATTTTGAACTGAGGATAAAGATATGAAAGAGAACATGATCTTCGAAGTTGAACGACCGCGGCAGTGTTAGCTCAGTTGGTAGAGCCTGTGACTGCAGAGCAGGAGGTTGCGGGTTCAATTCTTGAGGCCGGACCAACTCAGGGTCTTAAAATAACTGAGAATTGAAGGTACTCCCTTTGCATTGCAAGTGGCTAGACCCTTGCGTGGCTCGGATGACCATGTAAAATGGCGGTCCCGTCTCCAGTAGGAGACGTCAAAATAGTGTCCCCAATTAGTTCTTTTGTGCTAAATACATTGACACTCAAATAAAATGTATTTTTTTTCCAAACAACCTAAGCAGTTGAAAAAGAACCTGAACAAAATTCAGGCTTGACTGGGAATCGAACCCTGACCATTTTGCAATGACCGGATGCAACACAGGCCGACTAGAGAGCAGCCCATTGTGATATCAATAATGGATAAGATTATATTATTGTACATCTTTTGGAGCAACTGCTTTTGCTGTAGTACATTAGTCAGACCCTGTACACATATACTTTCCTATGTGCAATTTGACTGTCATTTTTTCTCTTGCCATTAAAATAGGGCAAAGCCAAAACATGTTCAACTAGGCATGTCACTTCAATCATTCCCAAAAATAAACCGCATGCTCATCACCAGTGTTATTTGCATACATTGAAAGTCATCACAATTTTTAACCCCAGTTTCTACGGTCTCCACTAGGAATGCCTGTGACCATGAGCCCCCTTTGGTATACTAAATACAAAGAAAAGAAAACAGCTTGCAGATTATGACTCTCAGTGCTCACAACCTCGAGTAATATTATATTGTCCAAAAAATTGATGATGAAGAACTTACTTTGCAGCTTGGACTCCTTCCCAAGTTGTGCTCAGTTTGATTAAGATTCTGTCTTTGCTGATTCCAGCTTCCTCATACAACTTGATAAACTTTTTGGCCTTTTCAATTGAGCCCTCAACATCAAAGGATAACCTTTACCCCCCAAAATAAAAAAAACTAAATAAAATGTTCCCATGAATTCAAGTGGAAATGAATTCTTACACTAAAGCACGGTAGGTACATGTATTTTCACTGCTGAATTAATTTTCTCAGACTGTGTTATTTTTATTTTTTTATTTATTTTATTGTTTGTTTGCCAAAAATTGTACAAATGAAAAATAAGTGAGGGTGCTAATTGGGCATGCAAAGGTTTTAATGGTCTTTAAACCATCAAAAAGTGATCAAAATCAACTTTCCCCTGACAACATCAAGGCATAATCAAGAGAACAGGCTACAAGAATTAATAAAATGGTTACTAAAGAGAAAATCCTTTGATCTTTTACTAACTTCTCTCAACTAATTCTTCAAGGGAAATCAGTCTAAATTTTAGAATTTGCATTCGGGTTCAACTGGGGCTAAAAGTATTAAAGCCATTTCCAGGGAGTGTAAGCACACTGCTATTCAACCTTGAACTTTGCAATGGTTTTGCTGGTTCTTACTTTTTTTAAGACAGTTCAACAGCCCGTAAACAATAAAAGCACTGCACATTCAAGGCATGGCTTTTTATGGCTTACCTAGCATCAACCTCTGTTGAAACTCTTCCTGGGACAATATTTAGTATTTCAACTCCAAAAAGTACAAACTAAAACAAATAAAAAAGCTAATTTGAATTTTAAAATAATAACAATCATCTTTATTCCATAATATCATTGAACTACACCAAAATATACCAGCTGGAATAACAATATAACATTATCTAACAAGGCATACATTTTCATTAATTCTATTACTTTTTTGTAACAGATAAATGAATTAAGAACTTAATTACGTCATCAGCCATATTTTCCTGAGGTTCTGCTATAAATTAGTAAAGCTTGTTGTTGTGGTTTTTTTACTAATGCTGTACGTATTTTTAATTAGAAAAATGCTGTATTTACCATTTTGTCCATTGCTTCAGTCAGCTGCTCTTCAAGGGTGCTTCAAATTTAAAAACCAAAAATAAGAAATTCAATAAAATGATATGTAAAAAAGGATTAGGTTGAAGACCCAGAAAAGACTGTTAAGTAAAGAAATCCCTATAAGTACCTCAAAGCCAGTAAAATCAGAAAAGAAGAAAAGCTCATCTTAAAATTATATAAACAGTTGGATGACAGCTCTCTCTTACAAGGATATCATGTGCAATATTTAATGCTTTATACAACTTTTCCATAGAGAATTGAGGCTGCCCTCTAAGGAAAATTGAAGGGATCCCAGCGCCCTGAACCTGTAAAATCCAGGGTGCCAAGCATAAAATTTGTACGAAAAAAGTAAGATTTTCGAGCTGCCCAAGAGCCAGAGTTAGGCACAAGGAGCCACCGGGCTCCGCTGGAGCACATCCCTGACAGTACTGTATGTAACACTCACTGAACACAACAATCTGTTTTGTTGATACCACATTGCAGTATTAAAGGTGGCTGTTTTAGCAGCATTTAGCTCTATTTAATTTTATTATATAGACACGAGTGTTTTACTGGAAAATATACCACTCGTAAAATTCATAAAAACTACATCCGGGACCCGAGTGGTTTATTTTCCATAATCTCACACGTGAGTTTATTGATGACGAAATTTTGGTAATTTCCCTCTATTATTTTATCGATGTCTTTTTGTCTATATAATAAAAAGAACATTACACGGTGGCTTTTAAAACAATATTTTACTCACTCACTGCGCTCGTTTGTAAAATATTGTTTTGCCACTCGAAAATAAAATTCATATATCCTCTACATACAATCAGGCAGGTCTCAAGCAAAGAGAGGAGGAAGCGAAATGGATGAAAGAAATTGGGAGGAAAATAGAGGAAGGAGAAAGTTATGACAGTCCTTTCAGTGCTATATTATATCATTATTATAACTTTTAAAACTGTAAGTTGCAATAATAAAAGGTGTGGTGGGTAGCTGAGTATGACACTGAAAGCACTTGTTGTAATCCCCATAACATTAAGATATTTTAAAATACAAATATCAAAATTCCTGGCCCATTTAAAACGCTCAGATAGAGCTGCCGAGCATTTCTTCAATTTGCATATTAAAATGAACGCAGTAATGATGTGATATATAATCAAGTTGTTTGTTTCAAAATTATTTGCTTTAGGAGATATCACATTATTTCCATGTTATTTTTTTGTATCATTTCAAACATCCAACATCAGTAATATTATTTCTATAAAAGATCATAAACTCTAAAAGCCCTTGGATGGGGTTTGTTGTATTTGTACAATAGACGTATAAGTAAAATTGTACGAAAGTTGCGTGCGTCACGGTGCATGGCCAGCTAACTATAGGTTCAGTGCATGCAATGACGTCTTATTACGTAAAACACCTCTTCACTCAAATATTGGCACCTCGACAATCCGTAAGTTTTTGTTCTACACACACAAAAAACTATTTTGCAATTATCCTGCTAATCAATTGCATATTCAACACCCAAGACTTAAATAAACTTATTCTTTAATTTCACGAAAACTCATAACCTTAAACACATGAAGCGTGACCTTGAATCCTTGGACATGCACAAACGTAAACTAACTAAGAGAAATGGTTCGAGTATTCTTTACCTTCCATTGGCCTTTCCGTACTGAACAGCTTTGTCGAATAAATTTCGGTACTGAGGCATTTTGGAAGCAGCAAGAAGGAGCGATGGGTTGGTCGTCGCATCGGTGGGTTTGTACTGCGAAATGGCTGAGAAGTAAAAATAAACAAAAGTATATCATAACAGTGATTTACCAAACAGCAATCAGGAAAAGAAAACTCCTTTACAAATGATCTCTCTCTTACTATCGAAATCGCCCGAATCAGCGACGACTGTGGTGTATTTTTTGAGTTGTTCCAGAGCGGAAGCCATTTCTGCAGCACCTTTTCTTGCGAAGTCACGCGGCTGAGCCGGTCAGCGGAGTTTCTGTTCAAAAATACGGTACATTTAGTATTCCATACATAAAGTATCTACCCCTAAACTTTATCAGCGGTTTCTCAAAAAACAGAAAGAAGCAAGATGGCGGACGGAGGCGAGTTGACCGCTGCGGCAGCCACAGGTGATTTAAAGGTCTGTTTTCTGAAAGCTGCTCTTTTATTGTACGAAGATGTGAACTTGAACTATACAAGTATTGTGAAAGCTATACTTAAAAAGCGGCCTGTTTTTTTTTTCAGGCGGTGAAAACCATTATAGACCGCGGTGTTGATGTGAATTCGTATTCCCCAGAGGGTTTTAGACCCTTATGTATTGCAGCTTTCTGGGCGTACAACAACATTGTTCAGTTATTACTTGACCGGGGGTAAGCATTATTTTGTAAAGTTAATGGGCTAGATTGCAGAATACCCGGTGGGGGTAATCACGAGCGCAGAAGGCGCGAGCTGCTAGGGGGCTCCGGGGGCATGCTCCACCAGAAAATTTTGAAATATAGGGTCTCTGAAATAGCATTTTCAGCCTTCCGAGAGCATTAATTTCCAGCAATTTTTAACTGACTAAAATCATGGATCGGATATGTCAGTATTGTATGATAAATATTTAACCACTTACGTGTCAAAAGTATTGCCCCCCAGGCCCCTCCCTATGCTACGGCACTGTTTCTTAATTATAAGATAAGCATCTACAGTTGAGGTTGATTCAGGTTTTTTCACTGCAAGCTAAATAGCCCTGAACACTTCGAGTTTGTTTTTACGGCTTACTGTAATAATTAATATTGTCTTCTGACCAATCACAATAAAGTTCAGAACCTACAAGTAAACTTGAAAACTAGAAGGTTTACTGTTTACCTGACTGGCTTTTCCTTGCAACACAGTAACATTTCTGAAATATTTCTGGTATTTTCACCCAGTTTTCTGAGTTTTACAGTAAAAGTTTTTTCTTAATATTAACAGAGCTGATGTCAATGCTTGTAACAGAGGTACAAATTGGACAGCTCTTCACTGTGCTACATTCCAAGGACATGGTAAAGTTGTTATGGCACTAATGAATCACAACCCAGACCTAACAATTACAGATAATCTTGGCAGGTAAATAAAATTATTGTTAAAAGCTGAGTTGGAAGTTTTAGTGAATAACGTTGAGTAGCCAGAATTGTGTTGAGCAACTTTAGATATTCACCTGCATTTCTGATTTTAGGCCATTTTTATGTGTCTTATTATTCTTATACCCTAGAAATGTATGTCATTAAATAACATTTAAATCAGGGAAGTTTTATCGATAGCAGTTCTATTCTGACCTAGTGCCATTATGCATCAGTCAATTCCAAGACTACCGCGGGGCATTTGCCCACCTTATCATTCCTTGGAGTGGGGTCATTAGCAAATTTTTGCATTGTCCGGAGGTCGGCATTTGCCAACCCCGGGCCACCCTGAAAGTACAGACTACATTACATGACTTGGGTAGTTACAGGTGCATTTAGAATTTTCATTCACAGGGAAATAAATAATAGGTATGTAATAGTTTTCTTGTAAACAACAACAACAACAGCAAATGAGTAATGAGACTGAAATCAAGTGACTCTGAAGGAAAGTATTCTTGTTTCTCCCATAAATAATAATATATTACATGTAGAAAAACCACGATGCAAATGTGGCAGTAAAATTGAATCAGTAATATTTGGCTTTCAGATCAGCTGTGGATCTTGCCTCAGCACTTGATACAATTTGGCCATTTTTTGCAGGTTTGTTATCTGGGTTTAATTGCGGGCAACAAGAGGAGCCCGCAATCCTAATCTCCAGGTTGTTATTATGTATGCGTCGCATGTATGTAGCCAGCATTCATTTGGACTTCCACTAAGAATGAATGGAATGCAGAGAATGCGATTTGATCACTCGCATTTGGACTTTCTATCACTTGTAATCTGATCGTGAAACCCATGTTTTGACCATCTATCACATGAAACTTGCGCAAAGCACAGCATTGGAGCAAAAACGTTTTGACCTTCGATTGTTGTCGCCCACACCCCGTAACCTTTGGTTACTACACAGGAAAAAATAACGGATTCCCATTTTTGGATATTTTAGGGTATTTAAAGAATACCCACAAAAATCCCAAATTTGGAAGAGTGAGACAAGTCCCAATCAGGGAACTTGGTTGGGAATTCCCTGATTGGGACTTGTCTCACTTTGCCAAATTTGGGATTTTTATGGGTATTCTTTAAAATAATACCCTAAAATATCCAAAAATGGGAATCCGTTATTTTTTCCTGTGCTACTAGTATTATTGTTAATATTATCTTCTTTTTAACCTCTTTGGACGCAGACCTGCTCAATTAGAATGAGCGGGAATGTCTAGAAAAGTTTAAGCCAGTAGTAATGATCAGCAGTAAGGATTATCATGTCCCTTGTAGTCATGTGGTTCTTTTACATTCTTCAGGAGTCAAATCAGTGAAATGTTGTGAGATGAGGCCACATGAAGACCAGTTTAATGCCCAACCATTTACAGATGTCACAGTAAAGGCAGCTCATTCCCTTTAGTTATTTTAAGATCATATTAAAAGGTTGTGGCAAGGAATCAAACTTGGGCTTATTGCTCCGAAGTCTGCTCGATCAATAGAGCTAATTAATTTCCCCATTTCACTTAAGTGATCACAAACAAAAGGAATGAGGTAGATGTTTATAATAGGTAGATAATGTGCACAAATCACTTGTGCTTTTGTCTTAGCAATGCAGGAAAGGTCAATTAAGCTAATCTGAGGAAATGTTTTGGTTGTGTCTTTCTTTCCATCTCCAATCCTTACTCTTTTGCTGACCATGCATGTCTGGGTTTTAAAGCAAATGTTTGTGTTAGCAAGTCTTGCATATTGCCATCAACCATTTCTAGCTATCAGCTGAGAAATTTTTTTCCAAATTAACTTTCTTGATGATTATATATGATTATTAAACAATATTATTTTGTTCCAATTTACAGCTGCTGGCTGTAGAAGAACATCTAAAGCTGACCTCATCAGAATGGACATTGTGAAGAAGGTAATTTCCAAATGTTGCACAAAAGGTCTTTCTGATACTGCACACAGTGGATACATGTCACATCCTGTGGGTCAAGTCTTCTATTATGGTGACCTTTCATCATGGACTTAATTATTCTTCTCCCCAGAATCAGCTGTTTGTACAGTTGTTTGTGGTGAGGAGCATTTCATGGGTGGTGACACTAATTGAAAAAAGCCTAAGGCTGTGAGGGAGATTAGGTCATGTGTACTTTGTCTGGTGAAGTGTCGTGCCCAATTTTTTTAGCCTTGCCATATAGTAAATGTTTTTCCTTTTTGTTGTGTTTCATTAGTGTATAGATTATAACATATCAAGCCACCATCACCTAATGATGCCTTTTCAAAATATTTTAAATGAGGTTTAGTTGAATCAATAAATTATTGTTGTTTTTGTAGTATAAACCTCAGTTTGATCTCCAAAGCGACAAGTAGGTTGAAGCCATTTTAACCTCAATGTCAATTTAAGTGGGCTGCCTTTGAACTTACAGGTTAAGAACTGACTTTTGTTTTACAGGACTGGCTTTCACAATTTATTAAGACTAAGAAATGATAAAATTTTAGTGTCTTACTGTGTAAATTGCTTACTTGCCAGTGAAATGTAATAAATCTGTCAAATGTGGCTCAAGTTGGTTACTTGCCCTATATTTGATTTTAGGTTGAAGTGAAAGATAACAAAGTTCCAAGTTCAGAGAAAGCATACTTCTCACGACCTGGTTCAGCCTATGTGTTTAAAACACAGTCACTGTATGGTAGCCAGACACAACACAGCTATCAGGTATACTGTCTGGTATTATGTTTGAAATAAATAATTAAATAACAATAATAATAAAACACAATAACTTATTATTTAACCTCCCTTAGGCCACAGACAGATTTCATAAGGGAGTAGTATACATACTTATAGTTACTGCAGTAAGTGATGGCAGAAGAATTTTAACATATTTTTCTCTCTGTTATTGATTGACTCCTACACATTTTTTATGAGCAGTGGGAAGTTTTAATTAATTTACTGTCAACATATTGTGCCAAAAGTACATTCACTTTTATGTAATCTGCAACCCTGAATGGCTTTTGCAGTACAGAATAGTTTTGTGATAGTGGATTTAAGTCCTGGGGGTGGTGGTGGTGGTGGGGGGGGTGTTACTTTAGGAATTTTTGGGTGGGGGTGTGCCGCTGGGACCCAGGAACCCTTAGTCTGTACCAGAGCTAGTTCAGCTGAAATGTACTAACCTTTCCTAGAATAAACTCCCTAAATATCCCCCTATCCTAGAGTAGAGTAATTCTGGGTTTCCCTAGTCTAGACTAAAATCTTCAACCAATTGATCAGTTTCCTGGAAAATGATACCCCATTCTAGACTTAAACTCTCTGATTTATACACCCTACTCCAGAGTAAACAGCTTGAAAACCATACCCTTCACAGCAGCACATACCTATACAGCCCATATATGGCAGTACCCCCCCTCCCCCCCTGGGCTTAAGCAAGGGTAAATCGGCAGCATTAATAATAATTATTTTTAAGCAACAACATTTAGCACTGCTTTAACACTGTTTTAGAATATTTGAAAACTGCAACCATTTTGCAGCCCACAATCTCTGGCTTCTGATACTCTATGGATTCGTGAACACTGCAGAATGGGCACGTAAGCACTGTGCAACCAAAAAAGTGAAGTCATGCAGTCGCTGCAAGAGTACTGCTCCGCTCATATGGGTAGTTTAGTATGTGAAAAGAATTATCATCAACTCATACATAAGTGCACTTGTAGGTGGAAAAAGCTACAAAATAACAAAATTTTTCCAGAGAGTGTTACCAACTCCCAAGTTTTGTTTGCTTTTTGATTTTGCTTTCATGCACAAGCCATAATTACAAAAAGAGAAAAATGTTGATTATTGGTTTTTTGATCCTTTTTTTCAGCAACAGCTGGCTCTTAACAGTGGTGATGTGTTGACTGCTAGTGAGACTTCAGCATTAAACACCTCTAGAACAAATAATCCTGCTTTTTCAGTTTGGAGAAGTTGATTGGATTTGATCTTCATACAAGTTTTATAAATTATTTATGCATGAATTAATATCAGAGGCCCTTTGACCTTCCTACTTAGATAATTCCCAACTTAGCTAGGAAGATTGAAGCTCTTCTCGTAGGGTAAACTTCCTGGGACAGCCCTTACAATAGCTGAATTCAAAGTACTGTTGGCTCTCTGTTAACGGGTGTTTACCCAAAACTAGTCCCTAGAGCTGGTACCTTCTGTTCTATAGACACTTTCTTGGATAATCAAAGGAAACAATGTGAAAGCAGATTTTACATCCCTGCATCAGGGATAACAAAATTTTGGAAGAGCATTACAGAGCTAATTAGGGTACACAATTGAGCATTATTCTTGTAATATACACAGCAATAATATTATTGGGAGTTATGAATGATATGTCCTTAATTTGCATCTTGAGTGTATTATTTTTAATGATAAATAAATGATAATTATTATCATTGCAAAAAATTAATAGTCTAGCTTGTTCAATGCTGCAATAAAGTTTGCCAGTGAGTCCAATTGCATTGCATTGCAATATTTCACAACATTATTTGTACCTAAAAATATTTGCATACCAATACTGTATACTACAAAGAAGTTATATTTTTTCAATTCCATTTGTTATCAGCTCTCAGAAAATTATCTGTTTATCCTTTCTAAGTGGATATTCCTAAAGATTAGTAAAATTAATATAGGCAAATAGACAAACAGTGTGGAGAATGTACACACTGAAATTAAGTTTTAAAGTACTCATGTTTGAAAAACAAGTGGTAGTGTATTATCAGGTTTAAAAGCTTGAGGTGAAGAGTTTTTAACCTGATAATACGCGACTGCAAGTTTTTTGAACTGCTTCAAAATCTCTGGTAAAGATCAACTCATTCTTGCACTAATATTAAGGTTTGGGGTTATTTTGGTCTGAAAAAATTGGATGTAAAGTTTAGCTGTGTCCTTATCAGCTACATGTATAAAGACACTCATTAAACATTAATTTCTTGTTTTTTTTTTGTTTAAATTCATATTGAGTTATTAAAAAGTCTTTAATGACCATGTTCTTTTTTTCCATGGTCATAAGTGTCAAACAAATATTGTAAAACACTAATTTCAAGTTATATTATTTTGATGTCATTTTTGTTATTCTGGTTATTTGAGGTCAGAGTTCAGTGATTGTTCTAACAGTATGCAGTGTTATTCTATATCTGAAATAAAAAGAGTTATTTTTCTCAATTGTGCCACAGTTGTTATTAGTAGAACCCCCTACTGTTTTAAATCCGACAGCTCAGCCTCATAGACGGACACTTTTTATAACCGTCCCACCCTGTGCCCTGTATTTTGCCCCAGCATCTCTATCAACAATGCGTGAACACACGGCGACTACAGAACCTCTTGTTTCTCCATTGCAGTTCAATTACTTAAGCTACTGTATACAGCTATTTCGAGAAAGGTTGTCACAAAAACTGTGCACGCGACAATCCCGAAAGGTAATATGGGATATGATCAATATTCTTGTTCTTGACACTGTAGCTGTCGAACCTACTTTTGTTGCTTTCCTTTAGCCCGCGCAAACATACTTCCATGGCCTCTTGTGCCCTTCTTTGAAATTTCTTTGAAAAACAATGAACTAAAAACCACCCATAATACCTTTCGAGATTGTCGCGTGCACTTTTTCCGACAACCTTTCTCGAAACAGCTGTAGTTAAAATCAGTGCAAATTAAAGGAGTCATGAAAAATGTTACAAGCTTTTTGTGTGTGTGTCTAGGATATTTTAAATGGTAAAATAAAAAAGTGGTTTAAGGTGTAAAAAGTTAAAAGTACCAACCAACAAACACGGGAAATTTGTGACGGACATGTCCGTGACATTTCGTTGACGAATCCGTGACTGATCCCCACCGTTAATTGATGACCGTTTAATTACTTACATTCCCAAATTTGAACAAAAATTGAAATTCGGTAAGTGTGTGATTGTCTGTAGAGAGAAAGAAAGGAAAAGTGTTTGAAAAAGTAATAAAATATGATGTAAAAAAAAAAGGACTGATTTTGTTATTTTCGGAACTGGAATGCGTGACAAAACGTGTGGCCTGCCCTCTGCCCCATGGCTCCCTCTTTCCTTGCCATTTGTTCTCAGCAGCATATGCCACGTAACTTTGTTCTTTTGAAAACATTACATAAGCGTTAGCCGCTCAGCCATCAAGTAATTTCAGGATTGCCATGGATCTTTCAGCTGAGATAGAAACGGATGATTGGCAGTCCACGAGGGAAACAGTGCGAGAGCGAAATAAGTACATGTTTCTTAATCCCATGATAAGTGATGTGAGCTTTCTAGTTCAGGATTCGACCAAAGAACAGGGAACGAAAGTCGCGTTGCCAGCTCACAAATACGTCTTAGCCATTAGCAGTCCCGTCTTTTATGCTATGTTTTATGGCGGCGTAGCTGAACAGGGAAAACAAATCGAACTTCCTGACTGCAACTCTGAATGTCTTACTGAGTTTCTTCGATTCATCTACTACGACGAATTACACCTCACTGCTAATTCTGTGCTCGGTGTTATGTACTTGGCTAAAAAGTATTTGGTTTTGTCTCTGATGCGTCGTTGTGGCCGTTTCCTTGAAGAGAGGATCGACCCAAATAACGTTTTCGAAACATTGACCCAAGCCCGTCATTTTCGAGAAAAGGAGTTGGAGAAGAGATGTTGGTTCATAGTTGATCTGAACACCAAACAGTGCTTGCATTCGCCTAGCTTTCTGGAGCTCGATCAAGCAGCCCTGCGGTCGTTATTACGGAGGGAGACTCTGCGAATTGAGGAGTCGGAATTGTTTGAGTATTCCATGCGCTGGGCTAAGAAACAGTGTGAAATTGAAGAACTGGAAGTTTCAGGGATTAATTTAAGAACCATTCTTGGTGATGCACTTTATTTTCTGCGGTTCCCGGTCATGACGCAAAAGCAGTTTGCCGAAAAAGTTGTACCCCAAGATGTCCTAACTGATAGGGAAGCCCTTAATGTATTCTTACATTTTAGCACCCAAAATTCAAAGCCTGATGTGCCATTCCCCTTCGTGCCTCGCAGTGGAAGGCCCATAAGGCGCTGCTGCCGATACTCAGAGGCCCCTTCTTCTCACCACTGGCACAGACCCCCCAGTAATGGTACTGGACGGCGTGAAGAGACCCTGTTTTTCACTGTCACAACTGAATCACCTGTTTACATAGCAGGTGGGCGAGTCTTTACACGCTCATTTGGGCTCTCTGATGTGGAAAGTCGACGTGACAAGGTTCAGCTTTGGATCAAACAGGAAAGCCCTCCAGAGAAGGTCCTAGGTTTTGTAGAAGGAGAGTATTTGCCAGATAACAGTGGAACCTTTAATGGAGATGGCATTGATGTTACATTCAAAACTGCCATACTTGTAAAAAGTGGGATGCGATACTCCTTACGCTGTGTGATATGGTTTAGCCAAAGTGTAACATCTAATAAAAACACCCCTCTAAAGGAAGTGGTGTATGACCAAACTAAGTTTACATTTGAAAACTTGTACTATGGATCACACTTTACAGAGCTCATGTTTTACACCCCGTGGAGTGCATAGAAATTTTAAAGATGTTTTAACTTCTATATATGCTGTTTGCTTAAAAGTGTTTAAGGATCATGAGCTGTGTTCTGTACACTATTAAGCATGGTGATGCAAATTAGTCAATGATTGTTGAAACAAGACTTTTCTGGCATGGTGGTTATGTTATATGCTCAAAGCTGTGCTACTTGAGCATCTTATTCAAACTTGTAAATAATATATATTGTATAAGCTGGAAATCATACAATCTAAAGGTTAAAACTTTTTTAGTAGTTTACACTATTGATTTCTGTCATTTTTTATTGCAAAGAAGGATTGTTCATGTGCTAATGATGGACCAATTTTTTTCGCTTGCTTGCCGTTTATCATAGGGGAAAGCTAGAAGTACATATCAAGTTTGTTTGATAAAGTTGTGATCATCAAGTATTGAATACCTTTTCAATGAAGTAAATATTACTAACAATAATATTTATGAAGTTAATGTACATCTCTGATTTGATCCCCCAATGCCTGGGTGTAAATTAGATTATGTACCTTATTAGTATGCTGTCATGTATTAAACATATATCTTATTATTTAATAAAATTATTTATTAATAATTATAAGTGAAGTTCTAAGACAGATGTTCCATGTTATATACTGCTAATGTTTTTCTATTTCAGGGTAGTGAATGTCCACATTTTATTTCAAAAAATCAGTTTTAAAAAGCACTTACTTTTGTATTTAAAATAAATTGATTTGGTGTCATGAAAGAAGGTCTCGGCTGAAACCAGGCAGCTCGTCTGAAACACGGGCCTAAAGGGGTATGTGCTGCTAAAAGAGGGTATGTTTTCACTTTTTAATTGTCTTGAGCCTGAAACAGGTTATACAATTTCACTATTAGCGCCTTGAAGAAGTTGTTTTTTTGGATTAGGAGCCTTAAAAGAGTGTGAAGGTTGGCGATAATGGTAAATTAAAAAAAACAACAACAGAATTCTGTATGCGAAACGAAATGGATCAGCGTCATGAAATATTGTGATCTCTTGAATAAAACATAATGCATGATTTCTGTCTGGGCCTCGGCAACATACGTCTCTTGTGTCCCCCCTCGCCCCGGGGCCTGAATCAGCCTGGAACGCGCTCAGTGTTGTTTAAAAACTACACTTTTTGTGCTATTCCCTTACCGACGCAATGTGTGCCCTGATTTTTCCTTTAACGTAGGTTTCTCGGGTTTTCTACTCTATTAAACGGACAAATAACAACGGGAAAAAAGAAAAACACGCAATGTAATACAGGATGTCGCTCCCCGTGTTGCGGCCCAAAACTAGTATTTCAGTAAGAATGCCTTGGGAGTGAAAATTAAGCCAAAAACACGTACGGACATGTGTTATATTTAGTGCAACAGTAATCAAATGTTTGTCTCTGCCGCACGACAGGCGTGGCTTATCCGGCTTCAAAAAATTAATTATTCACGGCAAATGGCAGGTTTCTTAATACACCGGAAACTGAACTCGCTTACAGTGCTTACAGCTATTTCGAGAAGGTTGTCGGAAAAAATGTGCACGCGACAATCCCAAAAAGTATTATGGGAATATTACTGAGTAATATATACTGTTCCTGACTGTAGCTGTCGAACCTACTTTTGTTGCTTTCCCTTTTACTCGCAAACATACGTTCAAGCCTCTCGCGCCATTCTTTCAAATTTCTTTGAAAAACGGTGAACTCAAAGCCACCCACAACACCTTTCGGGATTATCGCGGGCACGTTTTCCGACAACCTTTCTTGAAGCTGTATACATTAAGTAAATGGGTTCATGGCTGTGTAAACGCCAAAAGGAACAAATCCACTCGCGCAAATGATGAAACTTCACTTTGTGAATTATGTATCAACTGTTTCTGATCATTCTTGCGTGTCTGGCACTGGAGCGTAATCAGTGGTGCTTTCTTTCTGTTTGCGAATTTTAGCAGCGACAACAGCGCACCCACTGAGGATGAAAGCCATTAAACAAGTTGCTACTGCCGCTGACACGAGGTTATACTTAGCGGAATGTCTCTGGGCATGTGCAACCTGAAAGAAATGAAATATTATACAAACTTAAAACACAGATAGACGAAAAGCAAGAGCAGACTCTACAATTGACGGAGGTTTGGTAATATAACAGGAAGGCACTTCACTGAAGGTAACCACGTGCTTGTAAAGTGGGCATGGCTTATTTACCTTCAAAGGAAAAAGACCCGTGAACAAGGTTGCCACAAGGTCTCCCAAAAATCCTTTTCTCAGTATTATTGAGTTACTTTTAAAATTTAGGACTTCTTGTCTTCTCGCCTGCAAATACAGCCGTCCCTCCTCGCTCCTCGCTCCTCGCCGCTAGAGACGTTTCGCGGCCGCGCTGGAGAGATTCCCCTCGAAATGTCACTGAGGAGCGAGGAGAGACGACTGCCTTTTGGCAGGCTACATGTCTTCCCCATACGGAGAAACGGAAAACTATTGTAGGGACTAGTAACTAGAGCCTATGTTAAGAAAGTGACTTTGCAATAACTAATACTTGCTTTTTTATGTAATGAAGTCTGCTTTTGTAACTCTTCCAGTTGAACGCCATCCGTTTTTCCGTCAGTTTTTATTGTGAGTCTTACTCCACTATTCGAGGCCGCTTTAAGTTTGTGTTCTTTAGAGAACATTTTCAGTCGCATGTCCTCTTTGGACTTCGCCCCAGTAGAATGGGATTCAGACTCCTCTTTACTTTCCGTATACGTCTTCCCAGCATGCACAGCAGCATCCTGGTCATTTTGTGACTCATCATTTGATGCTATAAAATGAATTACGCAAAAATGAAAACGCAGTGTTTAGTTGACAGGTTTAACTCTTGTAGACTCTTACAAGGTTACTAACCAACACATTGGGTAACAGAAAAATATTCCCCTCAAGATTAGGAAGAACATGTACTCATATTATTTTTTAATTTCTTAAATTCATTTTCTTATTGAACTTTTATATACAGTGGAGATATGAAACTTGTCTATTTTACCAAAAAAAAGGCAGAAACAGACAAAAAAACCAAAACAGGTCAACAAGCGGTTCTTACCTGCTTCCACGTGAGCAACTTTGTTAAATCGTTTCACAAAAGCAACCATTGGCTGCCATTTGTTGTTCAGTGCTGGCACAGTCGCACAATGATTTTTTGTGAAACACGTGACTGCATAGCAGTTGGTCCCCGCCAAAAACGCAGCCTGACAACGATCCAGCTCACAGCATAGTAGCGTGCAAACTTCCAGATCAGAAACCTTTCCTAATTTGGTAAAATTCCCGGATTTAGTACCATGGAGAAAAGTGGCGTTGCGTCTGACCTTGCCAGGCTCGCACGAAAGCTCACTGGCTTGACTCAGGAAGCTCGTAGACCATCTTTGTTCACCTGAAATAACACCATAAAAACAACAAAATGAAACAAGGGCTTGATGTCGTCAAGGCCTACTGTTAAGTATTTGGCTCAAATTTGTCGTCGAACATTTTATAAGCGCAATATATAGATTTATCCAAGGCTAAAGGCGAAGCTCCCGGTGATAAATTTATAATTTACTTTAAACCATAAACTTGTAACCATTGCAAAGAAATCCACTTGGATTTGAGCCAGCGATTAGTTGAAAACAAGTGACTTTTCAGTGGATAACTACAAAAAAACACGTAACCTAGATGGGTCGACACCTGAGCCCGCGATACAGCCATGTGATACTAGTCAGCGGACACCCTGTTTTGACAGCTGTCAATTTATCACGACATTGATGTGCATCATCAGGTTGCAGGCTCCTACACTAGCTAGAAAGTGTGAGATTTCACATTGGTTGCCCTGTGGTGCGGACGGACGAGTGGACGGACGGACGTACGGTCACGTGACTACCAAAATTTCTCGGATGGCTAGATAACCAAATTTTCCTAACTATAGGGCTCCGCTCGGGCGGAGCTCCGCTAAAAATCATTGCTTTGGTGTCTATGGTGGAAAATACAAAAGCTTAGGTTAAGAACGGAACTCTGTTGTTGTCTGAAAAGCCAGCCATCGCTCTCCTTGTGATCGTAAATATGCATGTGCGAATAGAAGCCGCAAGCCATCCGTTAGCTAGACGCAGCTTCAAAGCCGCAGGCATTATTCCGGCGCGCTTTAGCTTGTCAGTACGCTTGGCTGTACTGACTTTTTCCTTAAACTGAGGAAATTAGTTTCAAACCCCGTTATTTGAGTAAATGGCCTTTCATATCTGCGCAGTAAAAACATAATTTAAATTTGGGGTTCCTCCAGTAAAACTCTCATGGCCGTTCACATTCGACTGTTTGGTAAGGCAATTCATTAAAAGCCATAATTGTTGTCGCTGAATCTCAGTCTAAACGAAAACTGAATCCTTCAGTTTCTTTGTTGGAAACGTCGCTTCCTCTTCGTAAAAAAGCATAACAACCTGCTTTTTCTATTTAAAGTCTGTAATATGTACCAGCTCTGTTAACAGGCCATGACAACAAAGGGAGCGTTTTTAATGTGACAAGGGTGAGGAAAGCCTAAAAACAAAATATCAGTAGAACTCGAACAAGTAGCTGCCCGCCGAAAGAGCAGTGAGTTATATTAAAAAAGCCATCTGGTCTATGTAGAATTTTGACGGCAAGATATCGTTTAGAAGATACTGCTGAAATATACCTGAAAATTAAATAACAAGTTATTAATTTGAATTTGTAGGTGGGTTTTGAACCAGACAAACGGTTTTCAAGTAGCTATAGATATCTTCAAAACGTATTCTATAAATTACCTGTTGGTATGGAACACCAGCCACACGAAATAAAGTGCGTTAGCCATAAAAGACCAAGGGCTATCCCCATTTTACTGAACAACGAGTCTCGTCATGTTTTACTCTGCGAACAAGACTGAACAAACAACTTGTGGTAAGCCTGGTACCTATTTTAACACGTGCATTTTATGATAAGTTGCAATTAATGTAATGCTTCATTATTAATGTGGCAGAAACTATTGATGGCGCTATGTCAGCGTTAGAGGTTAAAAACGAGCGAAACAACGAGATAGGAAAGGCCGACTCATGACCTTGAAATGCTTTATATATATCTAACCAATCGGAACTAAGTTACTGCTTTGATTAATAAAATAATCATGGACAAGACAGGGTTCATTGAGCGTTTAGTTATACCTCTACTAATTTTATGTCCACTTTCAAGCGCTGGACTCGTTTCTGCTTTTTATTGCGATTTTTTTAGCACTTTTATAATAACTGATTACTAGTTGTTTTACACTACCGACAGAACATGAAATATGACCGGTCTCATGTACCACAGTGGCCTTTGACGATCTTTCAGAAAAAGTCAAAAAATTAAAAATCAAGATTAAAACTAAAAATCATCTTCTTTTAATTTGTGAAAAATGACAATACGCTTGAAGTTCCCTGTAAATGCAGTCGTACAGTTATTTAAGGCAATGTAACCACTTCGTTCGCAGCCAGTTGGAATTTATCAGGATAGTGTTCCGAATCCCGCCGCAGATTTTCAGCAAACACAGCCACGGGAATTCTCCAGGAAGATGGTTCCTTTGGGAATTAGCTTTGAAACCAATTAAAGACTTAAGCGTTGTTTTGTCTAAAAGTAATTGCCATAATTCTGCAAAAGGCAATAGGGCCATTTATACGAGAAAAATAAGACGCGTCTTAGGTTAGTCGCGTCTTATTTTAGACCAAATGTGCCTTTATAAGGAAAGTTCGTGTCTTATTTAAGAGGCATCTTACTTTTCCTCGTATAAATGGCCCTGGAGCATCAATATACAAACAGCTTACTGCATCGAGAAAATGTTACTAATTTAGTAAAGTTAATTAATAGGGACATAAAATACATAATCGCTTAGGATTACTTCGCCACTTCCTTTCTCATTTAAGACTTGTGCTTATTGAACAGTTTGTAGCCGGAAGTATCTAGAATGGCCCAGATTGGGTGAAACCTTTAAGATAAGTTCAGTGTAACTGATACCTTACGTACAAGTACAAAATTACCTGTCTGAATAACAGTCAAGCATAGACAAACAAACTAATGGTCACTAAACACCTTAAGCGGATCCATTTCCACAAAATATCTCCTTCGCCTTGTTAGTTTCGTCAGTGGAGGAAACGCCCTTTGGAGCAAAGTGATGCTCATGTTATTTTCTTTTTTCCCGGTTCACACCCCTTTCTCTGGTGTTGACAGAGTTTCAGTGACAATGAAGGGTTTGGTGGCGTAAGCTCTAACACGAAATTGTGCCCTCAATCGATAACATTTGGCGGGAGATTTTGCCACATGCTAATATGCAGGTACCACATTGTCATCACAACACGGTGACCTTCAGCTTTCCATAAAGTGCCGGCTGTGAATCACTGGTAATTATTTTCAAGTCAGTAATTCATTTATGGTACGTCAATCGTCTTGCGCAGAATGTAACGCGCTCATCGACGTGAATTGTACTATGTCGCCCCAAATAAGGTCATCGAAGACAGTCTTGGACCAGATTTCTTGTCAGTGGAACCTGGATTCCAGCTTCCTGGAGCTGAATTTCCGATTCCAAAGCCTAGGACTCCGGAATCCGATGCGAATTGCAAGTCTAAAAGATAAACTATATACAAGGAAGGAGACTAGAGGTATTGATCGGAACAGCTTAACCATTAAAGGTTATTGTAAAGAACTGGTGGACGCTTTTTAAACCTTTTCACCTATATATAGACAGGCGAAAATTATCTAACTTATTTAACTTCAAGGATGGGTAAGAAACGAATCACAAAAAAGCCAGTGGCGCAACTCACACAACATCAGGATTATTAAGGAAAGGAGTGATAACATTTGCCGGGTAGAAGAGACACGTAGTGGTTATAAAATGAGATCCAATCATCATCTCCGCTGAGAAGGATAGCCAAACTTTTGTCAACAGGGTCATCGTGATCTCAGTCAAAGGCCACTCTCGATAAGGTCTTTGTCACTGAACAAACGCAATAAACGTGAATATTGAGATCTTTTTCAGTAAAAAGTTTATCTTGTTCAATTCCCTTTCACTACATTTACCCATTCGTATACTAAAGCTTACTAAGGTAATACAATAGTTCAGCATTCACATTACGTATTATTATATTCTGTACATCATCTCTGAGCTCTCGACTTAACACATACTTCCGTGTTCTTCCAATAAATACACGGTCAGGAGTCTGTTAACTTATAAATTGACTTAACAGATATTTAGCATACTGTATAGATGGGAAAGAAATAAATATCTTAAACGTGGTAGAAAAGAAACTGGTCATCCTCCTCAGACCCTGTCAAGTTTTTTCTCTGTTTTGTAGCTATCGTTTTTCTAGGCTGTGCTGTTTTGACTCCTTTGTTGTCCTTATTATCCGTCAATCGTGGTTTTTGCCCTGCATGTCCTAAAAGAACAATTCTGTATATTGTACAATTCAGTTACATAAATGGCTTCATTACATATATAAGTTAAAATCTTTTGTGTTTTCTTCGAAACACAAGCGTTCCGAGAAGTCCTTATTTGCCGCTTTTTAACATTTAAAAACCGCCTTCAGCTCCGCTTTGTACTTTTTTTACCCTTACCAAAACAAGTATTCTCCTTTCATAACGAAAAGAGGAAATTATACGGCACAGTGGTTGCATTTAAGAATGCATTAACAAGGCTGGTTGACTACTGTACGTTAAGCAGTCTGCAGCTACAGTTATCATGTATACAAAGAGTTGATATGACGTTTCGCCTTTTCCTTATTTGGGTAGTGAGGTCACATGACATCATGGCCCATCAGGCTGCGGGTCATCCACAAGATCATACGCTGCACGTGCTCTGTGCGCGAGGATCCTTTTGGTGGCGAATGCAATTGAGGCGGTTCCTACAATGGCGCCAGCCACGCCACAGCCAATAGCCACCGCTAAACCTGAACTCGAAGCTTTACCAGTTGGGATCTAGAAAAAGTGAAATTTATATCTTTGTCATTTTTTATTCAAGGAAGAGCGTTCGGTCTCTAACTGCCTAGCCTGTTCACAGATCAGACCCTATTTTCTCTTTAAAGATGGTGGAGCGCGCCTATAAAAATAAAAACCGTAGAGAATTTATTCACTGCAAGCGCAAGTTGCTGGGGGTGGGAAAGGAGAAACATGCGCTTAATGCTCACTTGCGCGCTGTCGAATTGTTGCAAAAAAGAAAAAGTCTGTAGACAAGCTACCGACTGCTTAATGTAAGCTGCGACAATTCACGTCCAGTAAAGGGTTCCTTTTACTTTGCATGTCATGTTTGTACTAGAAAAAGAAAACCACTTATAAAGGAGACAGTCGTGATGTCTTGTCTTAGACAAGGCTATGACTGACGGATGCTTTCGTTCCAGAAAAGGATATTAATTACCTGTGCTGTGTCTAATAATTAAGGTAACGACTTACCTTGCTTCTAACTTGCTTTCCTGTTCCAAGATCGTCCTCACTCTCCTGACCTATAAATAGAAAGCAGAAATCATTATATGTCAGAGTAAATATTAGTCTCCTTCGCAGCGGCTCTAAATTTTCAAGGAAAAACAGCGATTGCGTGCAAAAACCTTGGCCCATCGCGTTAAAAATTACATCAATCTTTTCCTTCCAAAGTCGCGTATGTGTTACTATATATATGGTAGAAAGTACAGAGTCGTTCTATTTTTTGCAAAACTTTTTTCAGCCTACAACAACCTGATTTATTGCAAGAGATGGGTTTGATTTGTGAGTGGCAAAACGCAGAACATAAAAGGTACAAACGCGTGTAATCAGACTGCCTCCTATGCATTTCATTCATTCTTAGCTGAAGTCTAAACGAATGTTGGCTAAATATGTGCCAGACATGCGCAATGGAAACCTCGAGATTAGGATTGCGGTCGATGAGAGGATGGAGCCTGCAGAAATTACCTTGTGCAGATTGATCCTGACTTACCTGGCTCATAATAACAATAGTAAATCTTGAGATTAAAGGGATCTTCGCTGGGTCCATACGGATGGGCTCCACCCGCCGCATCAGTGTTGCCCTGATCATCATCATCAAACTTGATAAACTCGCTTGTAACCTTGGTTCCAGCCACTTTCTGACATTGAGCGGAATCGTAGGTAAGAAGATAGAATGGCTTAAGAGCGGGCAGCTGAATGGGATTGTTAACATTGCCTTTTGTACTGCAACAGTAGTTTATTGTTGTGTGAGATTTCTCGTAATTTCCATCAGGTAGGTCTCCGAAGTGTTTATCCTTGTAGTCTATCTCAGATTGTTCGTCGTCCCAGCGGATAAATCCTTCTTTGAGTCCACTCGGACATATCCCTGAGAAAAAGCAAATAGAGTGGTTTTCGTTTGAGTGTCGTAAAACCAAAACCAAAGTAATTACTCTGGCCAATCACATAGGACACAGACAATACATTGAACCAATCAAAACTCGAAGTAATTACATGTGGCTGACGCAAAGTGCGCGTCACAATTGGCTTTGGTTTTACTTCTGGTTGGATGAAAAGGTGGCGCGAATCTTTTAAGCCAATCGCATCGTGTAGAAAGTACAAAACCAATTACTTTTCGACACTCAAATGAAAACCGCTCTATTCGCCCCATTTACGCTAATACATACTTACATACACTTTATTTAACCTCGAATTTAAAGTAGCTAAAGATAAGCGAGTATCTTCTAGTTACAAGTATTATTTTAAAACTACAAAAACGAGAAATTATAACATTCTAAATTTTAAATTAAAAAGAGTCATACTGTAGAATGTTGCGCTTGAAATCAGGAAATTCAGAAGTTCTAAACAAATCTGGAAGAGAGTTCCATAGTTTTGAAGCCATATACGAAAAGGAGTGTAGACCATAAGTAGTACTTAATGCAGACGGTAGAGACAAAATATAATTACCACGTAGGCTATAGGATGTAGACCGGAGACTAAACATATCTCTTAGATAGCCTGGATAGCGGGTAAAGAACAAGCTCTTGTCAAGAGCTAAATAGTCCTATTATGGCTCTTGCTCTTGTATAATATAATTAGGAAAGTCTGAAGGCTTCTTTTATACAGAGATTTGTAGTTTACTTTACTAAGTAGAGAGTTAATCCATGACAGTCTTGGATTCTGGACTGGACACTGTGGATTCCGGATTCCAGCTACTGCATTTCGGATTACGGAATCCTTTTCAGTGAGTTCAAGTCGTCAGTCGGATTCCGTGATTTCTCTGGGGGAGTAGTGTCACTGATAATTAAGAATAGGACTGAATTTTTTCTAAAAAAACCCCATCATTTTAGACCTGCTTTCAAAATGCACCTATTTCTCAACTGCAGAATATTTTCATACAACGTGATATATTTTAAGTGTTAATATCAAGTTTTCAGCCAATTTTTATAAATTATTGCCTAAAAAAATTAAAATTATTTTATAGAAGTGACCGTGACCAGAGATTAGAAGTTAAAAGAGGTCGACTGTTTTTAACAAATTTCTTGAGACCTTGGTAGTTGACCGCTTTGTAGAGGTCAGTTTGGCAGCAATTGAGAAAAAGGATCTTTATAAGTGGACTTCCACTAGTGACGTGTATTAAATAGAGGGTGAATGCAGCTTCATTGAATACAGCTTCGACTAGCGTTCAAAAGGTAACACGACCCTCAAAAATCTGTAATTCGTCTTGTACCTTTAAAATATTACTCACCCTCCCCTACCACACACCTTTTTTGTAAACACAGTATTTCCCCTCCGGCCAAATTTCGCTGCCAGTGTTCTCATTATTTCCTTCTTTTAGGCAAAACTTCTGCTGAATGCCATGCGCAGAAAAGTTGCCAGGCATATGGAATATGTTGGACCGCTGGTTCTCATTATTGTCGTCCTCGGTATCGTGGTACGTCCAGCCTGTTTTCCAATCTGTTGCACCGTCAGTCGGACAGCCTGTGTCAGGCATTGGTAAGCCATAAGTACCACCAGGCCACTGGACTAAAACAAAGTAAAAACATCCAATAATAAGTGTGTACCATGCCTTTCTTATTGATATCCCAGGAGGCCGATGTCCAACAAGATCAAAGCTCTGAACTAGATAAATTTATTCATAGACAGGATGAAATCAGGATAACTTACGCTGAAGAATTTAATGTGCCTATATAGCAAAATTTTTCAGTGGTGCCGATTTCGAATGGATATTTATTTAATTAACACTTCAAGACTGGGTCTCTACTTGAACTCAAAAGCACCAAAAGGTCAAAAAGAGTTTTGACACGAAAGTAAAGTTCATTCCTTTTGTTTGAACTGATACTGTTAAGTGTTACATATTGATCTTCGCGCGCAATGAAAAGCTATAACCACTTTTGTTTGTGGAATTTTTACAGCAGTTAATACAACCCGCTAGGCAGTACTGCTCAATCTCGAACTGTGTGAGAATCATATTGCACTGACAGCTTAAGAAAGGAGTCACAAGCAAGAACTGACCCACAAACAGTCTTCCCTCCAAATAAAGCAAGTTGCGAATATTGCTATTCTCTAGCGTCGGATCGATGCTTGTCCTTACATGGTCGGCCCCGCCCTTACTTATGAACACCCGGTACCAAGAACCATTACTGCAAGCCTGAGAGGGTGAAGAGAGGCAATATAACAGAGTTCATTTTTTGGTAAATAACATAGAGGTAGAGTCGGTCCTAGCGTGAAATGACTACCTCTGAAATAAAGATTACACGGGATCGGACCACTAGATCACAGCATCACATAAGAAAATATTTCTTTGTGTTATAACAGTTGAAGAACCGATGATTTAGGGGGGATTTCATGGCAAACAAGTATACTTTATGGCTAACACTGACCAAATATGAAGTTTCCTGTATTCATACTCGGCTTGTCTACACAAGAATGACTTACCTTCTGCCTTTGCTGTCGTTAGACACAAAGCTAACAATGCAAGACACCAAAACCTCATCTCTTTCATTGCTCTCATCGAAGGTTAATCACTTGTCTAGAAACGCGGAAGAAAATTTATGAAAAATGTCTTTTGTTAGACCTGATCGCCCTTGAACAAATGTTTTCGTTCCATTCATACAACAAGCTATTCGCTTCGTCTGTCATAGCTAACAAGGGCCGTAAGCTTAGTGTGATTTATTAAACTATTTTAGTTTTTACATGAGAACGTGAAAACACAATTATATTGTTTAGCTAAGCCCCAGATCAGCCAAAAATATAGGCTCGAAGTTAATGAACTGGTTGACGTCGGGCGAGCAGAGATCGGTTTCCCAATGACCATTATGTTAGGAAGTCAATATAGACCTTGTAAATGAGTCGGTACGGTAGTTTAACCTTAAGTGATTACCACCTGTTCATCCCGGCTTAGCAGAACTTTATGGAGGGTTCACTCTTATAAACGATGTCAGCGATCAAGAAAAAACGTTATCGAAGTATAATCAAAGATATAAAGCTAAATCACATGTAAAACAAATTTTCACCTCTATACCTACATTAGAAGACTGCTTGAGGATGTGCTTAGGGGCCAGCTTTTCTATTCGCCCGTTTTCTTTTAATAGTAAATATTCAGTTTTGTGGGCGTCTCTTTAAAAGGCTACTGATTCGAAAAAGCATGTCAACTGCACCAGAAAAGTAATTCCTTCTATCAACACTTTATATGAGACAAAATCAGTTTTTGAGTCAACCTAGATCATAATAACTTTGATTTTCAAAACTTACCCGGGAAATTAACTTCCACCATATTGAATGCGGACGGCAGAAACATGACGTCATAGGATGCATTTATTTTGTTTGTGTCGGATTCACGGGCTGATTGTTCACGCTCCTTGCACCAGCCAATCACAGGACAGAAAAGAGTGGTAAACTTCCAGGTAAATCATATCACTTCATGTTTCACGAATGAGATAATGGCGGGAAAATTTTCCCGCCGTTTTTACTCGCGACAAGTCTAAAACCTGGATGGGTGAAAAATGAGCGATCTAACTTTTACAGCTGAAGAGAAATCGTCTTTTTATAATATTGACAAACATGAATTTCAGTGGTGTACTGGTTCATACATGACAATTCACTGGAATGCCATGGTGAAGAAACCGAAGTCGTGTTTAATGCGAGGAGCAATTTATTCATCCTATTGAAAACGAGTTCAGGTGAAGAGTTTAATCCAATTCTAGTGAACACTGTGGAGGCACTGTTTCATTATAAGACTCAACCAAATCCAAATAGCTATTTCTGAAATACCGTTTGAGAATCCGCCGATCTTTGTTGACCGCTGGTACCTGCTCAGGCGTCGTATGACACAAAGCGTGATGGTACTACATGACGTATAATCCATTAGTCGTACTGCGGATTCTGCGGGAGGGTAGCCAGGAGCTTGTTTCTCGAAAGTTTTTGATGCCTTTTAAACAGCCAGAATGCTAGGTCTGCGGCATTCTAGGTAATCCAAAATTTAGGGATTTTGATAGTTACCAATAGAAAAACTCACCATCGACTGACTTGATACAAATTACCTCGACTCTGAAGATGACAGTACTGCACAGGTTGTCGAAACGTCAGTCATGCACTGTCAACAACGGTCCTATTCAGGTCCACCCTTACTGGGATGATCATATTCCACCTACTTTTACAATTTACAATTTTACTTACAATTGCCATTATTAGTCACCAGGCCCCAGCTGTTCAAAAGTTGGATGGCACTATCCACTGGATATAGCAATGGGCCATTTCCGAGTTCTCCCGGGCCTCTGTATCAAAACGAGGTTCAGTGCTCAGCCTTTGGTATGAAAATGATTTTTGATTCTCATGCAAATAAAACTCTTTTCACAAAAAAAGGTTGTGCACTTGGCCTTATTTTGAAAGTGAGGGTTTCTGTTGCTCGCAAGTGGCCTATTGGTTTGTCCGCTGGATAGCGAGTTTATCTGGTGGATAGCGCTTTCCAACTTTCAAACAACCGGGGTCGACCAGGAGTCCCTGACCGGGGAAACTGACCAGTGCCTGATCCAGACCTTGAAATAAGTGGGGGCCTGGTCATTCAGATCCTGATGAGGTAGATCATTCTTGGATAAGGGGGAGGGGCCCGGTCTCCAAAAATATTTTTCGGCCCTTTGGGCCTCAGTTTGGTCTAAAAATAAGGGGGGGGGGGGCGGCAGCCCCCCCGGGTCCCTCCCCTGGATCCGCCACTGCTGACTACTTGTTGAAACTTGAAACCCAGGTCTCCCACGTCACACTAACACGAGTGAGTCTATGGGCGAGATTAATCTTAATCTAAATCCACCTTTCAAAACAACTAAAACAAAGAAAAACATAAACAACAACAGCTTGACAAGCTGGTTTAGGGCAATCGTTTAATGTAAGATTTTGTCGTTCTTATGGTCGACTGCCGATTATGCTAGTCAATGTTATGTACAGCACGAAAGAATTATGGTATTCTCTGTTAGAGAGTGTTCTGTGTTTAACGCCTACGTTTAAGGTGAAGTCTCACTTTGCGAGCATTCTCCGCATAAGCTTTCTTTCTTGCTCAAAATTCTCCTCAATATCCTTAGGATCTGGGCTAAACTTCTATTTTTATAGACCACAAGGACATAACTGATTGGCAAAAGGGAAACATAACACGGCTTAAAGAGTCTTATCCATTTATGCGGGAACGCTAAACTCATCAAACACCTTGTTGAGTTCATCCTGTGCCCAGAGTTTTTTGTGAGTCAGCTCCTCCAATTCTTTCTCCAAGGAGTTACGCTTGCAGCTCAGCGCTGCGATCTTTTGATGCGCAAGTTCTGCTCTAGCCTCAGATTCCCTGTAACTGTTTTTCAGGTCTTCAATTCTTTCCTTCAACTCCAATTCTTCTTCTTCACTCAGTCTTCCATTTTGCGAGCTTGATTGCAGATCTTCAATGTGTTTGTTGATTTGTAGCAGCTTCAGGTTAATTTGTCCTTCTATTTCTCCCAGTCTTTCGCAGCGTTTTTCAGCGATCTTTTTCTGCAACTCAACAACTTTTATCCTCCTCTTGGCCTCGTCCAGTTTTGTTTCATTAAAAGTCACTATTTGTTTCACATTCTCCAGTCTTTCGTTTAGTGTGCTTTGTGTTGCTATCATTCGATCTTCTTCTTTTGACAGGTTAGTCATGGCTTGTTCATTCCTTTTTAGAGTCTCACCAGTGATCAACAATTGCCCTTCCACATTTTCAAGTCGAGAAGCTATCCTCTTCATCTCTACCTCGGTCATAGTAGCTTGCTTTCTCAAATTCGCGGCTGTAGCTTCCGCGCTATCGATTCGATCATTCACTTCACTTAAGCTGTTCTTAAAAGACTCACTTCTTGCCTCTGCCAGATCTAAACGCGCTTTTAAATCCGCCAGTTTTTCCCGCAATCTCTCTGCAGCCATCTTTAGCAGATTTTTAAATTAGAACCTTGCGCCGCGCCTGAAAACAAGCTACACCATCATGACGTCACAATCGGCTCAATTATAACTTTTAATTGGTTGATTTTCACTTCAGATCAAAAAAATGTCTGAGGTCCCTAATGACTTAGAATAACATAATTAGAGTCATAAACATTTCTACGTAAATAACGAAGCCTTAGCGTCATAATCGTCCCTTGATTACATGGAGGGCGAAATTATTAACAGTGTTCCCGCAAAGTGTGCTGGTTTCAAAGAGAAAGATTTTTTATTTGTTTAAAAAATTCTGTTAAATTCTTTACTAGCGTCTTTAAAAGTTGACATCAGAGCTGCGCCACGCTGGTGGATACGGGAAGAAAGGAATGTGATTTTTAATTTGCTTTATGTTTTAACCAATAAGGTTTGAATGCTTTTATTGCATGATCTCTATCGGCCTGATAACTATTGCAAAGAACTTCTTATAGACTTTCAGCTCAATTAGAATGACGCAACGGAAATTCCCGGTGCAACAGGAAGATCGAAACATTGGTGGTTCAGTTACCCAGGGGCGCATAGCGGTCGTTATGAAGCAGATCGAGGTATTATACTTCCATATTAGATTGATTTTAAGTCAGTTTACAAGGGGACTCCACGTGCTTCCGCGGGTTTTGTCTCTGGGTTAGAAACCTGCAAAACGCTGTGTGGGCAACAAATAAATTTGTAATTTCAAGGCTCTTGTCTACTGGATTAGCTCGTGATCAGTCAAAGTACAAAGAAAGTTTCTTTGCCGAAATCCAAACCCGGATTTTGTTTTTAGTATTCTCTCAGTATTATACAAAAATCGATCTTTGAATCTCAGTAAACAATTAACACTCTAAGCTGATTCATTAATCCAACCCTAAATCCAGGGTGAACGATTTATGTTTCTTGCCCTTCTCTGGGCACTGCTCCGAGCTTAACGCATACCTGTCAAGCGGTTTTTGGTATTAAACATTAAAAACCCGAGATGAGAATGTAATCCTGTGACTACAAGCGAATTCTACTCAACAAACCCGAAGACGGGTGGGGCTGGGGTTTTGGGGGGGGGGGGGGAACCCGAGGGAAACTTGGGTAGCCGTGTGCAGCCCGCCTCCAAACCCGGCCCTGAACCTGTTTAAGAAAAAAGACCTGGCCCAATCCTGGCACACTTTTAAAGGCTTCCGTTCCAAAAAGACACCCTGGAAAGCATACCCTGTTACCGTGGTAATTAAAACCCTACACTAAGTCATCATACCACCACGAAAACCGGTGGGAGCTTTTTGTTGTTTTTGCCTCTCTCTGGGGCCCGTCCCAAGGTTAACGCCTCCCGTTAATGGGGTTTTTTGGATTAAAAATAAAAAACCCGGGATGAGAAAGAAAACCTGGTAAAACAAGCGATTTTAACCAAAAAACCCCAGGGGGGGGGGGGGGGGGGGGTGTGGGGGGGGGGGGGGGGAACTCGAGGGAAACTTGGGTAGCCGTGTGCAGCCAGCCTTCAAACCCGGCCCTGAACCTGTTTAAGAAAAAAGACCTGGCCCAATCCTGGCACACTTTTAAAGGCTTCCGTTCCAAAAAGACACCCTGGAAAGCATACCCTGTTACCGTGGACACCCCTGGTGGGCCTTTTACCCGATTTATACGTAACTAATAGAAGGGAACTTGTGAATAGGAGAATACTGGTGGGTACGAGAGGCACTTGAATATCAGACTTAGACGATTTTCAGATAAAAGATCGTTTTACACCCTTCCCGTTTTGGTCAAATCGCTAGGCTGATTTAGCAACAGAACGGGAACGTCATTTGACGACGGGAAAGCGCGCGGAAAGGACTAAACTCGACTTCCGGTGCCCAATTTGCCGCTTAGCCCTTGGTCAAGCCAGTTGTTTGATTTGCGCGCACCGTTGTCAACTGAGGTTCCCGTTCTGTTGCTAAATCAGCCTACTAATAACTGGGCTGTAACCACAACTTCTAACAGGGGCCCCAACGAGAATATAGTTCAAAACCACTTAAACATAGCATTGTTGAACGTATTAATATTTTAGTATTTAAACGGTAGATACAGGCATATTTTTATCCCCTAAAAAAATTTCATCTTTTCGGGATTTCCTAGCTGAGAGTCTAGCGATCCGAAAATTTTAGGGATCAAAATTTAAACATATCTTTTCGAGTTTCAGCCAGAAAAAAAGCTCTCCAAACTTCAAGGTGACCTTTTTAGGGTAAAAATCCGTTTAAAATGGGCAATCATACCATTTTTTAGATGTTCGAAAATCCTAGGAGAGGCAGGCAAGCAAAAAATTTTACAACAAATGTTTCGAAAATTCTAGATCTCAAATCGTCTTCCGAGGTGACATTTTCCGAAAATTGACGTTGGGTGCCTCTGTTCTAAAGCACATACGAAGGTGAACGAGTTATGTGAAAATGCGTGACTAAAAGGGAAATTACCTTTAAATAAGACAACTTTTCCCCAATAAATTTATCGCAATTTTTTCTGGTGCTTCTGTTATCGCTTTTTGTTTACTCGATCTGCTCCTTGCTTTGGTAAATTCTGGGCTAAATTTAACCCTGCAAAGGACATAAAGGGCAGTATCAATGAATTCGGTGGCAACTTGTCAACAAAGTTAAGTGACCTTGGTCTTACGAGTATGGCAATAAGCAACTGAATGTGCTCTGGTGCAAAAAAGTCTCTATTTGCTGTATGTGTGACTGGTAATAGTTTTAAACTCACTATGCACTTGTTTGTTACAAAGCGTATTGATCGACAGTTGAAATCAAAGCAACAAACAAAAATGATGTTAGAAAGCCTTCAGGTTAAGAGAGGACGTCTTTTTTTGCAGTTTGCCGAAGAACAACCCGCTGTTGATAACGTTTTCCTTCAAATATGTCAATAATGTGATATCCTTTCCGCCCAATGAGGAAACTCTCCATGGGCTTTATAAAAAACGCTATAAAAAGCAGGCCTTTTTTAGTCAACTAAGTGGTGTTCTTGAGAGGTCGTCTTAGCCGAACTCGGAGTCATTTCCAGAAAATCGTTCAAAGCAAGATAACAGTTCGGACAGCTAAAAAAACTCCTGAGAAAAATCAACAGATCCTGCTACACAATCTGCAAGTAAGTGCAAACCGTTTGTTATTTATCTAAAGGATTTTTCCAGATGATGCTTTTTGTATCGACGAAGAACGTGTTTCAGTCACAATGAATTAGCCATGAAGCCAAAAGAAAGCAATTCTTACGTGTGATTGGCTTAACAGGGTCCTTTTTGGCTCCAATATACAATGCGCTGACTTCAATGTGTATATGATCTTGATGTAAGAAGAACCGTTATCGCTTTATAATTAGTCATCGCTGATAGCAAAAATACTTCACCTCCCAGACGAGCGCAACCGTCACTTCAGGGGCACCCAACGACAATTTTTTGAAAATATCTGTCCGGAAGACGATTTGAGATCTAGAATTTTCGGAACATTTGTTGTTAAATTTCTTGCTTGCCTGCCTCTCCTAGGATTTTCGAACCCCTCCCAAAATGGTAACCTGGGTATAATTGCTTGTTTTTAATGGATTTTTACCCTAAAAAGGTCACCTAGAATTTTCGGGAGCCTTTTTTCTGGCCGAAATTTTCGAAAAGGTAAGTTTTGATCCCTATAATTTTCGGATCACTAGACTTTCAGCTAGGAAATCCGAACAGATGAAAAATTTTTAGGGATAAAAATATGCCTATATGTACCGTTTAAATACTAAACTACGTTCAACAATGCTATGTTTAGGTGGGTTTGAACTATATTCTCGTTGGGTGCCCCTGTCACGTTCTTGTTTTTATTACATGTCTTGCCCACTGCAAAGTGATCAGCGGGCAAATTTTATACCATTAGAAGTCATATAAAGGAACCGGCGGTTAGCTCTATCTTGTAGGATAATCGCGTCTTAATCGCACTTAATAAAACAGATATCACTCGAACGGATATCAAAATAGACAAACCTGGTATTTAAGATAGAATAGAGGATAATAACAATGTAAACAAAGACTCATACGCCTGTTTGGATCTTTTCTGTCAAACAGTTCTGTCGCGGTTATTTTTTTCTTGTTTTAGCCACGTAAAAAAAATGCAATTGAAAAGAACTAGAGGAGTTAACAAGGAATCGAAAAACTAACACATGAGATTCGTGCATCAGAGACGGCTGTCTATCAGACTTAGAAGTACAACTCCAGGTCAAAACTAAAATAAGTGATAATTGGCTCACTCTTTTCTGCCGGCTCTGGCTCGGAATATTGTCCCAAACTTGAATTTTTTCTTTGTCGCTGACCATAATATCTATAAGTTAGACCTCTAACAAAAAGCCTCTCTGCCTTCTCTCGCTCATATCAATATCGGTAGCTTACTCAGTACAATCGGGAGGGCCTTATCATTCGTTTCCAAAAGGTATGTTTCGAAAGACTCATATCACTTTTGATCTATTCCAAATAAAAAGTCACCAGTCTGAAAGCCCACCCAAAATTGTTTTTAATCCTGAACTTGTGTAGAACTTGAAGAAAATAGTAATGTACGAAAAACGAAGGTACTGAAACAAAAAGAAAGAGAAACGGTATGGGGAAGGAAAAAAAGAGGGCAATTATTTAACTCAAAACTGAGTACTCATTGGGATATGTTGTATTATTAATTATGAAAGTATGAAATAAAAATTCTAGTCTCGAGCCTGGTCAATAACGACCTCCCAGGGTCCGAATCTGCTTTAAGTGGATTATGAATGTCTCTCCTTCGATAAAAAAAATTCTTTGCAGGGATGATATTGATTCCTTTTTAAAGAATGTCGACGGGGAATAGTGATTCAAATTAATGATTCTTGAAAGCCTTAATAAAACTGATAATGGGCTGTACATATCTTTAAACACAAAAAGATTGTTCGAGTGGCCTCGTTCGTGGTAACTAGCTAGGGACTACGACGGCGACGGTAAGGAGAACGTAAAAAAGCAATATCAATAGGTTTAATGAGCAAAACAACAACTCTGCACGTGCATCACGCTTTTTTGTACATTTCTTTGCTGTTCCTGCGCAAAGTTTAAGTGTACTTAAGAACAGGAACGGCAAGGCGATAAATTCTACCATCTCTGTCAGTGTCTCTGTCAGAACTCGAGCGCGGTCCCCTCTCTTGTAGCCTGCGAACCGCAGACGTATTTCCGGTCGTCGCTTTTCTCGGCGATTGAAACTATAACCGAAAAAAACGGATGCTCTCCCAGGCTATCTCTCTTGAGCTCCAGCCAAAATTCCCTTCTTTTAAGTAACAGGGCGAATTAGAATAATCTCGAAAAAGTTTATAATGATGCGAAGTCTATTTTTCAGCGACGTTTTCATGGACGTCGCCTTGTTGGATCGTAAGGTCCCAACTATCTTTTTTGAGAGAACTTGAACTGACAAATTACCGGTTATCTGAATAAACAGCTGGGGAAATTCCATAGACCTGCTAACAGTTCCTTTTCAAGCAACCGTGTGGGCAAGCTGGTAAGGCTATAATTATTTTATAACGAGAATGATGAAGCCATCCATTTAAAAACCCGCGCACGCGCACATGGATGATTTTTGTAAACCTTCATCCTAACGAGTTGAACACTACTCACCTGAAACCGGAAGCTTTCTCGGAGCCGGGGATGAAACAGTAGTGGGTTTAGATTTAATGTTAGTTTTGTCAACTGCACGCCTGTGTTCGTTAAATCTGTCCTTGAGACGTCGCTTAGTTTCACCTAAATATTGTAAATTACAAAGGTGACATCGAACCATGTAGATCACGTTTTTAGTGTTACAAGTAATATAATGTGTGAAGTGATGGAGCGTGTTTCACCGTTGTAGCGTAAAAGGTATAACTTGTGAGGCCGTTGGTAATGTATGGACAAGTGGCACAATTTCGTCCAGAGAGGAAGCAGCCTGGCGGAAAGCGATTGTTGGAGACAACGGGCATTTGTGCTTTAACTAAAAGGTCACGAAGATTAGGGCTACGTCGGTACTCCGCACTGTTTCTGAACACTTTATCTCTCACTCTAACCATTCTCATACTGACATGCAGTTAATCCCACTAGAGAAAATTCATTCTTCACGTGACTCAGTTCGTAAGGCCAGGGAGTCGCATTTGATAGATAAGGTTATGACTCGTGAACCTCATGGCCTAAACCGCCGTGTGTGACGAATTATTATAATCCATATCCTTACTATTTTTCCTTTCCAGTTTTTGTGTTGTACGTCATTTCCGCCTCTCCCTTTTAAACAATTTTTATTCCGACATTCTCCATCTATATAATATTGTGATTCCTACAAAAATTGAGTAACATCTGTAAACCTGAAGAAGGCTGGTATGGCCAGCCGAAATATTGTTGTGAAAAAACAATACACGTTGTTCTGAATCAGTAGTCTTTGCAGTAGTCTTTGGACTTTTCGTTTTTGGTTCTTTATATTTTGGCTGATTAGATCTCTTTTCTAGAGATCCAACGTTTACAACTAGCAGGATCTTCGTCCATGGCTTTTGCAGTTAATTTAATTCTTTTTATCACATATCTCACTGTGCACATTTATAAAGCTGTAACAAGAAAAATGGCGACCGTGAAACAAAGCCTGCATTTATTCAGAAAGATGTTAAAATGAGGTCGTTCGAAAGTTTTTCTCGCCAACATTTTAAGAGTGCGTATTCTTCTTGACTTGTTACAATTACAGTGTGCTAGTAAAGTTTCATTGAAATATAGGTCAGTTTCTTTTACTAGGGAATCATCACCTGCAGCCATCTTTTCATTTTCTTTTTTCGATAATGAGGGTTGTTTTTTTCACTGATTAAACGTTTCTCGCGTCCTGTCTCTTCATATGGCGCCGACATCACTCGGCTAGTTGTCTTTTCTGATACAAATTTATTCTTGTTAATTTTCTAAAAGGTAATTAACGCTAGTTTAGCTCATGGAATAATGGTAATATATTATACTTTGGGAAGGCAAAATGACAACCTTAGCTTTATTTGAAGTACTTTTGCGGCTTGCCTTTTGCAAAATTAAATATCTCGTTTGACCGCTCTCCAACAAAGGTTCTTGTGTGTCTGGGAAGGAAGAGATTGGTTATCGTTCGCGTGAAGCGTGAAGCGTGCCATGACGATCCTCCTAGGCATCGGAGGACTGGACAGGAGAGCTTGACTACGTGGTTAGTTAAAAAGGCTTCCCATCTGCAGCAAGACTTGGTGTAGTTTTCCTAAAAGGAAAAGTAATGCAAATACTTTGCTTTTTCTTGATAAAAAATCATACATTGGCGTTTTTCTTGATCAAATTAACGTCCACTGTCAAACACATGTGATGTGTTATGACCTCAATTAATTCGCTTGGTATTTTTAACTAGGCTCAGTTAAACCGTTTCACAATGTGCTGATCCTAATTTAAAATGGCAAGAACAATAGATTTTCCTCATTAGCATTAAATTCGGCAAACCTGAAATTCAACGTCTGAACCGGGCCTTACTAAGAAAAAAAATTTTTGGAAAGCAGTAAATTGTTTGACTTGAGATGGACTGATGGAGCCTTGGCTTGGCCTATGGTTTGTTTTGTCGCATAAGAAGAAATGGCCAATACTGGCGCACAATTTTTTGTTTTGTTTTGGGGCATGGTAATTAAAACAATGAGTTTGAAACAAGGAAAATATCAAGCATGAGACGCAGTGTTTCATCACCATATGAAACACTGAGAAGAGAGTTGAAAATACGACGCGCAGCGGAGTATTTTTGACAAACTTCGAGGTGTTTCATCTGGTGATGAAACACTGTGTCGAATGCTTGATATTACTTCTCAAACAGAATGAGTTTATACAGAGAAATTAAAGATGCAAAAATGAGCAGTTTTTCATCTGATTTTCAAACACTCATTAAACATTAATTTCCTTTGTATTTTCTTTATGAATTGCTATGAGTTTGAGAAACAAGTTAAAAATTGCACTATGACAAATACTCTACCAATCTGCTGAGCGGAATAAGAAACGTTCAGCAAGGTGATAGCTGTTGTCGACAAACCAAACTAAATACAAAGTAGCAGAGCAAAAAGTAAGGATTAATTAAGGAACAGGCAGTTTGACCTAGTTCGCGCGGTCTTAATAGTTGCAGGAAAACTAAGTGTATGTTTAATTGATTCGGTCACAAGGTAATTAGTAAATTTAGTCGTTGTTCTTGTATTTATTTTGGACGCTACAATTTTGCGATTATTAAAGAGCTAAACTGTTGAAGAAAAGGACACTTTCCGTGGCTTAAGTCACTTAGACGCTTTATTCTTTGTCTTGAGCAGCAGATGTGAGAGTTAAGAAGGCGAAATTGGCATAATATATGGCACGTTTTGAAAGCTCTTTTATGAGAGAAGGAATCATATCAGTGTTGATCATGCAAGCTAATTGGCGTTGTAACATAGCTTTGATACTCATTGTTTTACAAAAGGCATTGCTAATTCTAACAACTTTGTCGTTAATATCTCTTACCGCTTCCTATATCCCTCTTGATAATCAACCCACCGCAAAATATTCTTTATAATTGAGATTGTTATGTACTAGTTACGCATGCCACAAGCCTTTCAGAATAATAATCAGATGAGAATTCTAATCAGAATTACCGATCTCCGTCAGTAGACTTATTTCTAGTAGGTAAAAATTGACCTTTTTGTTAAAATTGTATTTTTAGCCTGAGGGTTTAAAAATAGTCTCTCGATAACAAACTGTATACTATCATGATTCTAGAGATTATTTTTTGGCTGTGGGAAAAGGTGCGGAAATAACGTTAAGGCTTACAGGTTTTTTTAGGTCAATTAATTAAAATTAATGGTCAACGAAACGCAAAACTGTCATTATCCTGAAGACTGGATGATTAAGTAGGTTAAAAACCATCGATCCCTAAACGTTTTCATATGCTAATATCTAGAACTGAAGCTTCTTAAGCTTGCCATGCAGAAAAACAAATCAAATTCTTATTCGAGCAAAATCGGTCAAAAATTTTCCTGCGGGTGAGGCTTTAGTAATAGAAGGACGAAAGAAATGGCCTGAGACACAGACAACAAAATTCAGCAACATCACTACCCGTTTATTGCTTAAATTTTTCTCGATCAATACTTCTTTCTTTAAGAAGTAAATGAAATTACATATAGGCAAAAATTCAAATTTTACTGACTTAAACAAAGAACTCTTTAAAACAACAGTTTAGGAAAAAAATTTTTACTTTTCTTTAAGACACTATTTAAAACTGATCACATTTCAGTTTAAGATTGACGCATTTGATTTATCGAAACAGATATGAAAACCCACGCATGTAGAAAGGAAACATCACAATTCATTTATTTATCGGAATCAATTTATTTTATGGCTTTGTGAATTCTAAAAAATACAATCAGATAGCCTAGTTTTTTTTTCTGCTAAATAATTATACTTGTCACTAACACAACCATCTTATATCCATTCATTTTTAAACTTGATCACCACGTTCATTTTGTAAAAGTGATGATCATTTAAGATCTTTGCAGCTAATTTTGCTCCACGTGTTTAAAAAACAGGTGCACACGGCAACCAATTAGGGTGTTATCATCAAAATACGCGCTGTTATCTGACCACGACAGCTAAACAATACCGTTGTCACTTTTGAAGCTCCTGGTTTTGTGCGACCCACGGCCGTCACACCAACTCCTAGACGTAAAGCTATTTCTTACTATTTGTTTATCGGAAGTTTTGAAGCTTAAAATCTCAGTAAGACTGACTCGCCATACACTGATCATGTAAGTTGTAAAGTTTCGTTTTGTTTTGATCTTAACCTTGATTCATCACGCCAGTTAGATCCTTTGTAGTCCTCAGTATAGTCTTCTCTCTATTTGATCATCTTTATTTTCGTTACCATTTAGGATAAAAGCTCTGCTACTTTCCGTCCAAACGTAATGAATACTAAAATGATCGTTTTTTGCCTGAGTCGCCCTCGACTTTTTGTGTGTAAATTAAAGAAGTTCCAAAAAAGCTCTTCAGCCAAAAATGAAACTTTGTCATGTAACTGACGTTTGTTTAACAATGCGTTTATTATTGTTCAGTCTTTTCATTCAATATAATTCAGTTCATGGAATTTAGTTGAAAGGCCACGATGCAACTCATCATCAGAAACTCATCCATATAATTATCGTTTTGGTCTACATTTTGTTCCGCTACATGGAAAAAATATTCTGTTTTTCAGAGTTTGACTTTTGTTTCCAATCAGTATTTTCACTTCAAAGGCAGGAAAATTTGTCCAACCAATTTTATTATTACACTCACTCGAAACTGCGGTGCGGATTTTCACAGTAGAATTCCACTTGAGTTCCACGTCACTATAATTATATATATTCAAAGCACTTGCTGTTTCGTTGCTTAGAAATGTTGCTTTTAGCAATTATAAAGACGGCTCGTCTCGCCGAATTTTCTCATCCAAGATTTAATATTTAGAGGCTTCGTGATCAACGGATGCGTGAACGGTATCTCGCTCACTTTTGTTTGCAAGAAATCGTTGCGCATGCCCTTAGGTGTTACGCAAAAAGGCAGCTGACCAGTGGAAATTAGAGGAAAGCCGTTTCACGTCACTAAACTTATCTTCGTCTTGTTGCATTTTTCAGGAAGTCAATGTGTCTGTCTACCACCTTCATCATGTCGCTAGCGACAGTAGTAATTCTATTTTGCATTGAGAGGCCGCTCGTCGCTGGTTATCAGAAAATCAAACAAAACGAAGGAACAAAATATGAAGTTAAAATTTGCAAATCTCCATCAGATGTTGAATATATTTTAAATTACATTTGCCGAAAGAAGAGGAAAAGAGTTTTAACTGGTAGGTTTTTTTACGTGTACAGTGAGTTAAGAATGAAATGAAAATTACATATTCAATTTACTCGCTTATGGCCTCTTTACTCTGTTTTTGTGCAGATCAGAATTTTTTACAACCTCCAGAAAAAGCACGAAGTTTTCTTCGAAAATCTACCATCACATATGTTACAAATTATCCATTGTTTTATGAAGAATGCTGCATAGAGGGATGTCGTAAAGAAGAAGTCTTGGAACATTGTGTAGTTTCATATAAATAAATTAAAAACAAACAAAAAAAATATAAGCAAATACCGTATTTCCTCGAATAATAGCCGGGGGCGATTATTTCTTTTTTCGCGCCAAAGGGGGAAAATGTTCGAGGGAAGGCGATTATTTTCAGGTATTGTTCACTGAAAGTCGTGCCCTAAATACTTTATTCTATTTTCCCATTAAATCAGAAGATAATCACATCAAAGAAACTGAACATAGGCTTTTTAAGTGTTCCAAATTTGGTTCCTTGATTAATTTTCATTGTCAATATCCTCGGCGTCGTCACTGATCAGTTTTGCTGTACTAGACTCCAGGGTATCGATAGCGGGTTACGTACTGTCGTGGGAGGCGGGGGAGAGCGATTATTCGAGAAAGGAGATTATTTTAAACATTCCCGTCAAAGGGGGGCGATTAATCGAGGGACGGCTATTATTCGAGGAAATACGGTAAATAAATGAATAATTAATAATGACACTAAAAACAATTTGGTACATTAGTTTTAAGAGTAGACAAACGAATCAGTGAATATTGCATTCCCATTTGGCTCAACGTTGCAATTTAATTTATAACAGAATAGTGCAATTTATATTACGAAGAAGGAATTCCATATCCTTGTTAGTGAGTAATCATGAAGAGAAGAACAAAACTGTGATCAATAGACGAAAAAAGATTTTTACAAGACTTTGGAAAAGGAGACGCATGTAAAAACATGTTAAATTCTTCAATAAAAGTGAACTGATTACAATAATTGGTCTTGGCTCTATGTCTTGAGAAACCGTAGGCCATTGCTGACCAACACTGAGAAGGCCAAACGTTGTATCATTTAAATCCCTCTGCCTGATCTTGTTACAGGCGTTCCTTTTCATGCTACATTAGTTCACAAAAAACACTGTAAGTCCGTGATAAAGCATGTATAAGAAAGATGTGGAATAAAAGACTTAATCTTTAAAACGATGCCAGTGTTTTAAAGTTTGAAAGTTTGATGTAGGAAATAATCGCCCAATACTTTGCTGACAGTTTTGGAAGATTTTGTTTCTCTCTCTTTCTCTTGAGAGGCCATTCTGTACATAATTTGTTGGCATTCAAGAAACTCAAGAACCACGTTACTTATTTAAGTACACGGGCTAAGCGTGCTTTCTACTCAGACTTTGTGAACGACAATAGTGAAAACCAAGGAAAGCTATTCAGGGCCACTCGATCATTGTTACTTCCTAGGAATGAGTTGTGTTTTCCAGAATACACGGACAACTCAATCTTAGCCAACGATATCGGGCGGTTTTTCGACCGTAAGATTGCAAAGATTCGGGCAGAGCTTGATGCGTGTACTCTTCATCCTGGGGCGGTGGCTGAGGATAAAGTGTTTACAGGCGATAGGAAACTTGATCATTTCAATACGTATTCTGTGGAAGATATAAGGAAGCTGGTCAGTAGATCATCGAAGAAAAGCTGTCAACTTGATCCTATGCCGACCAATTTAGTAGTCGGCATGTCCGATATGCTTCTCCCCATCATCACTAATGTCGTGAATTCTTCACTTTCCTTGGGACACTTTCCATCTGATTGGAAAACGGCCCTTGTGGATCCAAGACTGAAGAAGACCAAGCAAGGGACTTCCTTATCCAATTTAAGACCTGTGAGTAATCTGCAATACCTCTCTAAATTGGTTGAAAGGGCAGTTTATGATCAGACAACCGATCACGTTACTCAGTCGGGTTTGTATCCCATCCTCCAGTCAGCCTATCGACTTGGTCATAGCACAGAGACTGCCCTATTGAAGATACAGAATGACATACTAGCTGCAATGGACAATCAACGAGTTACTCTTTTGGTATTGCTAGACCTGAGTGCAGCATTTGACACGATTGACCACCAAGTGTTGTTGAATCGCCTGTGCGTGACGTATGGAATTACAGGTACCGCTCTTAAATGGTTTCACTCGTATTTATCAAACAGGAAACAGCGAATCCTGATTAACGGGAGCTATTCGAGTGACTTTGATCTGCCTCAAGGGGTACCTCAAGGATCATGTCTTGGTCCCTTGCTCTTCACGTTGTACGCAAGTAAGCTCTTCGATGTTGTTGAATCCCATCTCCCTAACGTTCACGCATACGCTGATGATACGCAGCTCTATATCTCATTTAAGCCGGATGGTTCTGCTACTGAGACGGATGCTGTTGACGCTCTACAAGCTTGCATCAGGGACATAAGAACCTGGATGGTCCAAGACAAACTTCGGCTGAACGATGCTAAGACCGAGTTTCTTATTATAGGTACACGCGCACAGTTAAATAAGGTTATGATAAGTGACTTGCAAGTAGGTGAGGTAAAGGTTTCTGCGGTTTACTCTGTTAGAAACCTGGGTGCTTGGTTTGATGCAAACATGAATATGACCACACATATTAACAGCATATGTCAGAATATTTATTACCATCTACATAACATCCGGCGTATTAGAAAGTATTTATCATATGATAATAGGAAGTCCATTGTACAGGCTATTATAATGTCACGATTAGACTATTGTAACGGTCTATTATATGGTACGCCCGCTGTTCATCTTGGTAAGCTGCAACGCCTGCAGAACGCGGCAGCTCGGCTGGTATGTACTATATCTAGGTATGATCCTATCACACCATCCCTGATCAACCTGCACTGGCTTCCGGTTACCCACAGAATAGAATTCAAGATAGCAATGCTAGTTCACAAATGTATCTACGGCGTCGCACCACAATATCTTTTAGACTTGATAAAAATCAAAGAGAGCTCGCGGTATCAGTTGAGATCATACCGGGGCATACTCCTAATGGACAATACCTATAGAACAAAAAAGACACTCGGGGATAGGGCGTTTGAAAATGCTGCGCCCAAAGTATGGAATCGACTCCCTCTAGAAATTAGACAATGTCAATCATTGAACATTTTTAAAGTTTTACTTAAGACACATCTTTTTAAATTAGCTTTTTATTAGTTCTTTTATTAACTCATATTTTACTTTTATTGTTTTCCGAAAATTGTAAATTATTATTATTATTATCATTATTTGGACTAGCCATTTATTACTTTAAGATTTTAGTGTTGTAATGCGCACTCGATCATATCTTTATCGCATGCTAGACTGTGCAATATAAGAAATAAACATTATTATAATCGAGTGAATCTACAAAGTAAAATTGGAAAAGTTCTCATGATACTGCCTTAGTACGGCTTGCTGGCCGAGTGGCCGGGGCTAATAAGGTTTGACCAAACTAAACTACAGTGAAACCTGTTTTAAGCGGACACCCTTGGGGAATGCTGTAGTGTCCGCTTAATACAGGGTGTCCGCCTAATACAGGTTGTGATAGATAACGTCATATGAGGTGTCAAATGCCATTCAAATGAACAGTGGAAATGTTAAGAATACTCTCAGAGACTTTTCGATATACGTTTGCATTCACGGTTTCTTTATAAAAGTGAACCAATTGATCAAAGTACCGTAAACATAGATTGCAACTCAAATTTGAAGAAATGAGATGAGTGAAACAAGCTCTATACAAACAAAACGAAATAGAAAACAATACTGTACTGTGAAACTAATCAAATAAGTTCGACAAGTCACGTTTTTTAATGTAAAAATCAAAAAAGTTGTGGGTGGCAATTTGGGGCAATCTTTCGCATTTCCGGGTCTGGCATTTTGAGTGGTGGAATTTGATTACAAGTGTCCGTTTAATACAGGTTGGTAACGATAGAAATTATCGTTTCAGGTACTTTTTAGGTGTCCGCTTCCGCTTAATAGAGGTGTCCGCTCATGATAAAGGTTTCATTTAAAGTAAATAAGGGTTAGGGTTAGGGTTAGTTTAAAATAAATTTTGGGACTTCCGCTACTGTCCGCTTAATAGAGGGTGTCCGCTTAATACGGTGTCCGCTTAATACAGGTTTCACTGTACTTCTAAAAAGGTTAGATTAGCAGAGAGACTTGGATCCTAGCTTTGCCGCGAAAGACGAAATATATTATTTTTTAGTCGGCTGACCAAAATCTGAAGCTGAATTGAGATGAAAGTGCGAGGGATAGGTCAATTGGATTAGACGATTTTTTCACTACTACTTAACATTGAAAAGAAATGAAGGGTAATAAATAGCGATTTTCGTTATTGCCAACTGATTCAATCATAAAGACGGAATATCTCAGCATTTTACCTGACGCATGCGCAGCTAGGGACATTAGGACATGTCTGAAGCATCGATAGGAGCAAAACTCTCACTATTTCACTTCGTAACATACATATTGACAGTAAAAATGATGTATTGTTTGATACACTGTGGAAAAATATAATTGTAAAGTCCCTGTATATCCAATCGTTCTGATAAAAAAGAAAAAACGAAGAGGTCTTCATTTGTAACATAAACTGTTTTCAAATCGAAACCTATTAGATTACATTCTAGAAGGAATCAGTAATAACTTCTAGGCCGACACAATTCTGAGATAAAAGCAGATAAGTGGTATATTCTTAGAAATACTCTCGTTTCTGTCAAATCTAGATTCTGTCTGCTCGGGAATCACAAATGAATTAATTCAAATAATATGACCACAAAGAATCAAAACAATTATTCTTAACTTCTTCTCGCCATTCAGATTATTTAGTTCATTTTTTGTTATAAATTTCATCTAAAACCCACTCGAAATAATTGAAAGTAGTTTAATTCGGCTCTGTGTTATAAGGTTGGTCTGGCATTTGTAACTGAGAAATAATCAACGCAGATTATATTCGAAAACCAAGTTATTCATGCTCTACTATAATGCATGAATATACCGGTAAGCACCTTTGACAGGATACGTAAGTAAAAGCTGGACTGAAAATAAATCCTTCTATAGCCAATATTTCAAGCTTAGATGGAGTAAAATTAAAATCAGATAATGAAAAAAAAGAAAAAAAACGTTGAGTACATTGTGAAAGGTGTCTGAATATTTGGCCAAGGAAAACGCGAAGACATTGAATTATCTCGATTCTTAAGCTGGGCTTTTGTTGTCAAATTTTACGTACACACACCTATTCATTAGCGATGTTGTTTTAATAACGCACTTCTTTCTAATTTATTTAATGCTCCCTTTTAATATAAGTTTAGCATCCCCCAGAACATAGCAGGTATAAAAGACATTCCGCACTGTACGCCGAATAACAATACGAACACTTCTTAACGACGGAACTATGCGATGATTCAACGAATTAATAGCTATTTCATGAAAAAAAATACAATACATCTTTGTTGACAATAGTCTATCCTGCAAAATCCGGTGTCATTTGCAAACAGTTCTTGGATATTAATATGATCTTTTAGTTTATCAGCTGAGTCTATTTTAGAAATTCCATCTTTTAATCACCTTGGCAACGAGTGCACGTTATAAAGCCAATTTTGAATTCGTTAGTACGGTAAATTGTCTAATCTTCTGGAAAATTTAAAAGCCGTTAGCGGAAAAGCTGCCGTGCGCCGCTGATTTCTATATTTGTTTACAGCTAGAAAAAAAATCATTCCATACAACAGGTGAGGAATACTCTATAATGTAACATTCTATTGCATTCTTGTTGTCTTCGGCTATAAAAAATCCTCTCTGATACAGCCATCATCTTCACAACGTCTTACGCCGGGCTTTCGTATGTTGGAACATGATTTGATTATTATCGGTTTTTTTTTTGCTCGGTAAGATTAGTTTCCAGATGGGGTAGATTGACAGCCGTTTTTGTGTGTATCTGCTGAAGTAAGTGAGCGCGTGCCTAATTTAGCCAAAGTTTTGGCAAGTACATGTGAAATACCACTGGTTTAATTTGTGCGTATTCGGTTGGGGCAGCCTAACTAACTGATAGATAAAAGCCGAACGATCATTTAAACACGCTGGAAAATTTAAGATGTGAATTATGATTCAGTTTTATGAACAGACGCATGTGTTTTAGCCGTCTAAGACGTGTCACAACGTTGTTTGATTCATCTGTTTATGCATGCAAACTCCTTGAAAGGATTTTAAAACTTGTCTTAAAACTCGCAGTGTTTTATACTCGGCTGAGTCATAGCGCTAGAACAAAAGCTGCAAGAAAAACTGAAAAGGCAACGAACTGAAAAAACCCTTGACTATGATTGTTTCAAAACAAAAGGTGCCACAGATTTCTTTTTTTTCCACAAAAGAGAGTTCTGCTAATAGAGCCAGTTTTTTCAATTTTATTGTTATACCTTGAGTTCAAAGTCTTTCACGAAATAAAGTCCGACAAACTCAGGATGGTAGCCGTATACATCCGTGCAGTATTGTATCTGGTGAAATGAACGTTAAAAAGCAAAACACTTTTAAAGCATATCTCTAATGTTTTAAAGATTATTTTACTTGTTCAGCACGCTCGTTTGATGGATTATCTCGAGAATTAGTCTCGCACCACCAAGCTGGTATTGACGCCATAGCTGTTAGCATTCATTGTCGCATGGGAAACTGGTGAAAAGATTTCGCGGTTTGAGATAAATTGTTTAAATTTCACTTAGGCAAGTCCATTGATGATGAAAATCGCTGGCATCATAAATGATATTTATTTTTTTTGTTATAAGAACTTGTTGATCACTGACCGTTCGGTAGTAAAACCTTATTGACTCTTTTGTCGCAAATTTGCCAGCTCGAGTAAAAACAGATTCCCGCCTCTTGACTCATGTGCGCCGCTTGAACTCACGATACGAAGCAAAAATCAAAGGGTAGTCAACTCTTACGTAGTCGCCCTTGGTAAAATTATGCTTAAACTGCCATAACATGGAAAATTAGCAGGGTGCCTTTTTAACTATTTCAGTTCTAAATTTAACGTGCCTTTGAGTGCTTTTCGGGCAAGTGAAGCGCCTGCTTTTAAGGAACAGTTATTCATTTTCTTTAAAGCAACATAACAAAATCATTCTAATTGCGTTCGCAGACAATTTTTAATTTTGTTTTATTAACTGCGTGTACGTGTTGAAAAATAAAATAAGGCAAAATGACAAAAGGGCACAATTGAGAGTCAGGAAATAAAGTGGTTTGAATGAGATATTAGTGATTTTAATAGCTGCAGTTAGCCGGAACTGAGGCCGCATTTCTGCTGGGAATTCCAACTCGTCGGTGGGTTTGATTGTCATATGCTGAAAACGGATAATTTATTTAACAATTGAAGGGAAGAATCTAGAGATAACACTGAATTTGAAAACGAATACTTTTAACATATCATTCGCCAAAGTTATCTGGTTTGCATTTGTACAGATCCTTCTAATCCTTCAATTCAGAGAATACTGAATTAAAAGCACTGTATGATAAAAGGAAATGCAGAGGTTAAAAATATTTTAAAGTATGATCAGTTGGAAGTTTTAAGTTTAAACTCCACTCACGAAGTCACACAGTGTTAAAATACATTTTCTTTGTTTGCACTCTGTATCGTACTATCTATTTCCGCCTTTCCTATACAAGCCGCCGCCTCTCTTTTTGCAATAGGAGTTTGACCGATAAGCGAAACCCGGTACCTGCTTATCCCCCTCGGATGAGTTCTCTGTTGCGCGGAAAAGCTATTGAAGCGTGTCTGATGTTACACGAGACGAGTTGCAACGACGATTTTCAGCGTAACACAGCGTTGCAGTGTTGAACAATGTTGCAACCATTCGAAATAATGTTGCAACAAAGTTGTAATGCTGTGTTGCGTTAAAAATCGTAGTTACAAATCGTCCCGTGAACCATTGACCTTTAAACGGAGAGGAAATCTATTCCAAAAACAAGCCGACTTATTTTTTTTTGCTATAGTACTTGGGCATCTGGCGTAAAGTAAAGTCATTCAGATTGTCTCCTATAAGGCCAAGTTGTTTCTATATTGTACTGTATTGAAGGCAAATTGTAGTTTTTTTTCCCGAATGTATCAAATTCGCAGTGGACCTTATTTAGAGAACTGATTTTGAGCGGCAGTTTAGCTAAAGCACAGAGAACCCAGTGACATCTGCCGAAATTTGTAAGAAATGTGAAGGAATATCAATAAGTTGGCAAGAATCCCTGCGATGAATTTTCACCTTTATTTCCTTTATTACTGATTACGGCTGTTCTTTTTCCAGTGGAAACTGCGAATTCCTTCGATTTCCGAAGGCCCTCCGACCGCGGCAATAAGACGGTCTCAAAGTGAATATTCATCGATAGTTGCTGATACAAAGTTCCAACGCATTTCTTTTAAAATTCAAACGAGCCAACAGTCGCCGGTTTTTCATTTGTATGGGCACCTTTGTCTGAAGTTAAGAGAACTTAATAACTGTTTTAATAAGAGTTGCATGCCGCATTCTGAAACTGAAATTTGAAAAAAACTAAGACTCAGTAACTGCTTGACTGACAACTGAATCCCCCCGAGTACTTGAACTGATATTCTCATGAGTCTTCGACAAACACACCGATTGAGTTCGATCTCCAACCACTCAGGGAACTAGAAAGAAAGCTATTCAACGTTGACTGTGACACCCAGTGGTGCTGATTTTTTTTCAGTTGCAGCCATTTGCAATTGCAATGGAAACTGTTTTTATTTTTCAGTCTTCAGAGAACTTAAGGATGCTAGCAAAAACTATATTCCCTCGGAATCAGCTTAAGAATTAAATATAGAATGATATACTTTTATCACACTTAGCGCGCGTCAACGCTGAATATTCGGTTGATGAGAGATAATTACCCGCTAAAACAATGGATATTACATGGCCATGCCTGTGGAGATACCGAATTTATCTTGAAATGTCTCATTTGCGAAATTATCAAATTTAAATATTTCCTATAAAGCCTGCCAAGGAGCTTGATGCTGATATATTTTTCCTCCGTGGCACTACCCTGTTCTGATGTTCACGAAGATAAATCTTTGAAAGGAATCATGTTTGCCTGCATTTTTACTCATCTGCTAACTTTGCAAACAACTGAGCAAATTTTTGAATGTCGAAGATTTGCAGTAGAAACAAATGTACATATAGAAAAAAAGAAAACTGTTATGCGTTGTTATTTAGAGTTAAACATGCCTTAAAACGTTTACTCACTTTGCGGCAAACCTGAGTAAATCCACTTTATTGACCAGTGTCACAAATCTTGAACGTTAAGAAAATAACAATGAAAACGGCTTGTCGTTGTTTGAATTTTGATCCAAAACTACCCGGACAGCCCATTGAACTCTGAGCTTGTTCCAAATACATCGCTTTAGCTTGTGCGTCAGTTCTGCTAAATTGGGATTTCCTTGCTGGAGTGCATTTACACCATACGTTTTACTGATAAATAAAAGTTGATCACTTTAAAATGGTGTTGATTTCCGCAAATAAAATCAAAGTCAAATTATGAGGAAGGCCTACAAATACTGGTTGCTTAAGGTTACTTGTAATTCTTGACCTACCAGCCAACGTTCTCTTAAGCACTAAATTTAGCAGTGAGTACGTTTACCGATTGTCCCGGCTTCACTACCCCTGGACGGACAATATTTAATAGCATCAATTGCACGAGTTCCTCTTGGTATTTGCAGACTAATTGCATCGTTCAAAAACGCAGCAGCAGCCTCTATTACTGACATTCGATCGATAACGAATGAAAATCGTAATGCCTTCGACCCTCCGGCGATATGTAAAAGAATTTCCTCTCGGTTCAACCTTATGATAAAAAGGTGGAAGCCATCCCAGCGGCTTCAACAAAACCGGCCACAACAAACCAACTGACCTAACTGCATGTACCGTGAAGACACTGAAACAGATAAATTTCACTGATTTGAACTGCAGCTCTTATAATTCTATACTTTTATCTTCTTCTCTAGCACGATGAACTGCTGTTTCAAATTTCTTCTTCTGATGTGCATTTTAGTCGCTGTTGTACAAGTAAACTTTTCTGCTGGTAAACAATATGACATCAAACATTGCTGGAGGCCTTACGAGTTTTACAAGCTTTTGGAAAACCATTGCTCATTCCACGTTCGTAAACGTAGTATAAGAGGGGAAGGTAAGAGATAAACTGTTTTTAACAGCTCCTTTTCTAAATCGTAACTCTGCCATAAGCATGTAGAAATGTTGTTTAATTGCGGTCGACAAGAGCAGCCCATAAACCTAATCTCCAGGTTGTTATTACGCATGCGTCGCATGTATGTAGCCAGCATTCGTTTGGCTTTCCAACACTTTTCGCTCGTAATAGCCTTGCAGTTTAATTTGAATGTGGCACTACCGTCAAATCTGGCCTTCTCCCAGAAAAGAGGAAGGCCGCAGTGGCCGATGGGGGGTATGGGGCGGGGGGGAGGTTTGGGCGTGGTTGGCTGCTGTCTAGAAACAACAGCTATTCTAAATTCATTTATGTCCTTGCCACCCATTTGTACTCAATCTATCATCAATTCACAATGCTGGTTTGTTTGTTTTCAGACTTGGTAAAATCAAAGATAGAAGCCAATGGCTTTCTCAATAAATTAGCAAGAAGGGAATCCGACCTTGCTGAAGCACAAAGAACGACCTACACTGAAGAATGTTGTTTCGAGGGATGCAAAGTAGAGGAAATATCAGAATATTGCGGGCATTTACTTTAGAAATAATTTAGAATCCTACCTAGTAAAAAGACTAATAATTTAAAAAGTGTCTACTTTGTCATTGTGGCCGTAAGCATACGACTATATCACACTTATCAAGCTACGTTGGTGCCATGTTTAGGTCATTTTTCATTCGGCAGCCTGAGATAAAGGATGTGATGCATGCTACTGGGCTGTAAAATGTGGTTAACATCTACGGCCCTGTTGATAATAAAAATGTAGATCAATAAATAAATGGGTAGGTAAATAAAATAACTGGTGGTAAAGTTTATTGTAAGGTCAGTATTCAAGAACACATACATTATCGCGCCCTGTTGCCCCGTAAAGAATTGATCGTCAATTAAAAAATTCCAACCTCAACCCATTTCCTCTGAGATCGAGGGTGCAAGAAAGCAATAATCTATATTAACCCTTGGGAAGGAATGTATAATATGTTGTTTCGGTCTAAAAGATTTTTATATTCAATTTCGGCGTTGACAGTCGTGAAGAGCCCACTCCTTCCCTTACTGACTAACCGTCAGAAATTCTTTATATCCTGGGCGTTCTTTCACATAATACTTGTTGTTCCTTATTACTTTGCTTTGACAACTGCTTTTAACTTTAACTGATAATTTATTCAGAAAAAAAATTATTATAAAGTCTCGAAGTCTTGAAGTCAGACAATGACTATAACACTTTTTCAGAATACTTAATTTAGCCATTTTTTGGTAAGAGCCCGTGTGTTGGAAGCACATTTGTGGATTTCAAGCTTGTAATTTTCATTAATACTAGAGGGTAGAAAACAAACCAAGAAAATGATATGCTTGTTTGAGAAACCCGCATTAACTCCGCTACTTCTTTTTCTCGAATCGAAAACCACAGGCCGCCCAGACTCTGTGGGAGTTCGTTAGACTTTGAATTTATAAGAGAATGTATGAAAATAAACAAATATGTCCTAAATTCCACTTTTTTTTTTGGACAAAAATATAAACAAAAATGACTCACCTTGTTTTTTTGTTTTGTTATTTACTGTCTCTTTGCTTCTAGAGCCATTTGGAAGCTGTTTTATCGACCTTTAAGATTTTGAGTTGTACTTTAATATTAGTAAATAACAAAACGAAAACATATGATGAGTTCTTTCTATTTTTGTCCAAAAAAAAGACGTACTAGTTGTTTCTTTTCATACATTCTCTTATAAATTCAGCTTAATAACGAAGCTTTAGTGCCTTCACGCGAAGAGGGACTAAGACGCAGCCGAGTCGGGAGACTGGGCTCCACTGTTGAGAAATCTGTCGTTGCATGTTTCCCGTGGACAAGCAAAGAAAATTAATATTTGTTCATAAAGCAAGTGGTATCTCATCCGAAACTGTGACAGGAAAACTGCAAGCAGCTGAACTATCTCACGTCTAATTTACATAGCGGTGGCTTCACGGAAATCATTCTTTTATCTGGACACTTACGTGCCACGTCTGCCTTCTATTGCACGAAATATCCGATGTCACGACAGATCGATCGTGAACCATCGTCTTTAAACTTGCAGTTTGTAAATGTTCAGTATTGGGTTTGTTTGATATTGGCCCAGCGGTAAATTCATTTTGGCAAAAGCTGGTGTTTTGTGTTTCGAATGCAAATCGATGATCAACATTTGGCTGTCGAAAGCACTGTTTTGTCTTCGATTTGTTGACGGGACGTTGACCGGGACGATATAAATTGGCGAGGAGAACCCGCTTATATTCTGTGGACTGCTCATAAATAATTTCGCAAATTTATAGTCTGCAGATCGTTGCGGTTGTATGTAAAATACTGGGCCTCTATAAATATACAATGAGTGGATTCTAGAAGCGATTCATGCCGTAGTGTTGTTGACGGAACTAAAGCCAACTTTTTATTCGGTAGACTTTCACACTTCGTCGACTTCTCCATGACTGACGTGGATTCAAATTTTCTATCGCCAGAATCGATACTAAAGCGAACTTCAAGCGAGCCTGATATTTTTGGTTCGGGCATTCGACATAGAACATGTAGCAATTCTTCCCAACTGCAATATAACAGAGCGAGAGAGCGATCTAGGGCTTCGTTTACAAACAAGGAACGGTCAAGATCTCCATCCCCGCCGAATGGTATTTTGGTAACTGATTATGAAGGACAAATGATTGTTGACGGAAGGTAAGAGAAACAGAAGTTGAGAGCTTCCAGTTGAGATTAGATTTGATTAATTGTTATCACAGAATCGATTTGTACTGCATGCTTTCTGTACACATGATATATATATATATATAAGCCTAGAATATTTTTTTATTATGTCTTGTGAAGGATATCAATCACCTTGTTCAAGACTAGTTTAATACTTGCAGAAAAATATTTGTTCCTCAAGGAAATAATGTAGTAGTATTACACGTCGTTTCTAGAAGTATGAATCAGCCCTGTCGATTGATGTTCTCAGATAATCTCACTTTTAGTTTCGATTTCGGCCATCCTGTATTTTTATTATGAGTTTATCTTATTATTTTGGCAAAAAGTTACCCGCATTTCAGTCCTTCTTTTTGTCTGATAATTATGTTTTCATTTTGCAATGGCCTGTCCCAGTCCGAATCCAGCCAGAAACAACATTAGACAACGATAAAACTATGTAAGTTCCGTGCGTATGGGAAGTAAGTTCTTGTAGCAGAATCCTGGTGATACAAAATTTAATATAATTTATACCAAGGATCAAAACATTACCACCTGTTCTTTCAATTCCACTATTGATAAAATCCAATAACTGTGCATTTATGATATGTAATTATTTATTACTTTGGCTGTCTTCCATTTGTCACAAAGTTTTTAAGGCTGTGCTACAGTGGTGCCTGGTGCCACCTGGCAGCTCTCTTAAATTTGCCTTTAAGCCTACTCAGAACATTCCTAGGCTATCATGCAATAACATGACATCTAACCCATGCAGGGCAGGGTGGGGAGAGAGGGAGAAAGGTCTACACATGAGGATGTGGCTGTTTAAGTAATTTAAGATTAAAAAAAGTTAATATTATATTATTTTTAACTTCAAGTTATTTCAGAATAACAATGAACAGTTTTAAAATGTTCAATCACATGTATAAAAGGTGAAGGTCACCATTAAATTAATATTGTAATTTTTTTCAGCTCATTGAATGATAGTTGTGCCAGTGACGAGTTCTCCTTCAGAGATCGTGCCCCAACTTCTCCAAGCCGAGAGGAAGTAAAGGCACAAGCATTTGATCGATTACAAGAAGAACTAAAGAAAGCTCAAGAAGTGAGAGAGGCTTTGCAAGCATTTTTGTGATTTTTTAAATAACGATTACTGACGACTACATATTTTTGTAAATGATGATGTATATATATATATGTATGCTAAAAGAATTACTGAAGGGATTTAGTTATGGTAATTTTTACCAATTAGAACTGTCTGGTATTTGAGTGATGTTACTAGAGCTTGCTGGGGGGCTACAAGTTAATAGAAATAATGTATATTGAACCATTAGTAATGAAATTAGTATTATGTTAAGAAGAGAACTAATATTGTGGTCAGTTGCCAATACTTGAGGCGTGTAGTAGTTTGACATCGCGTGTAGAAAACATGCATTGTGCATGCAACCCACAGATTAGTCAGTTACAGTGCTGTATCTGCTAGTAGATATATACATGTAAGGCCGTCCCCCCCTTTTTTTTTTCGTTTAGCGTCGAATGCGTTTCCTGATATTGGGTCGCTCGGTCGGATTGAAAAAAAAAATTCGAAAAAAAAATCACAAGTAGTCTCAGAACAGAGGCCCTGTTATCCCAGGATGACATTAAAAGTTAACATTTACATATTTGGATTAACAAAATGCACAACATACTGTACAGAAAGTTTCCTGTTTTTGTTCCTGTTTTTCTCTACACTGTTACTGTGCTCATTTTTCAGATTAAAAGAATTATTTCAAGTGAAAAATGGTTTATCCACTTCTTTACTTCTTCTTTTATTTTTTTGAAAATGCCAAAAATTTGGGTCGGTCAGACGATGCTAAATGGAGCAAAAAACGAGCATAGCCTAAACTAAATAAAAATCTGTAGGTTAATGAGCTAATTTCCTAAATTACCTGCAGGCTTATAGCCAATGAGAATACACATAGTGAGTACAAGGTATAATAGTATCAAAAAAAGATGCTAATATTTTTGTTTTATTGCTGTGAAGGAACTTAAATTGAAAGATGAAGAATGTGAAAAGCTGTCCAGGGTGAGGAATGAACTGGAGGCAGAGTTAGAGGAATTAACAGCAAGTCTATTTCAGGTTTGTTAAAATTTTTGATTTGTGAAAATATCAATAGTAATTGAAAAATACCAGGAAGCTGGTGTAGTGTTGATCAAAGTATGTTTTGCATTTGCTGGTTTTCAATAAATTTAACTTCAAAATGTTAAAATAATGTGTGTTTACATTTGCAATATTAGTAGTGACATTTGAGACGGGACGCATTCACTAACATTTTTTTGTGACAATAGTAGTATGTCATTTATAACAATGCTGTGCTTTGTGGTTCATATGGAATGGCCTTCCATGATTTCAAGTATGAATTGTTGATAATGATGGAAATTTTAATGTCATGATTGTTACAACCACCTGCAAATACTATGCTGAGCAGTAATAATGTACAGAACTTGTTGAATTCATTTTTTCACAGGAACATTTAACCATGATAAAAATAACTCGGAGTAGCCAAAAGCTAAAGATCCCTCTTTTCAGAACAGCCTCCCGACAGAGAACTTTTTATTACAGGACTATTAAGATTTGGAACAATTTAGAACCTCGTAAATTAAGCCAATCTGTTCACATTTGTAAATGTCTCTTAAGGAACCAACTTTATGCAGCTTTTAGATAATTTTGTTTTACAAATGCTTCCTAGTTAAGTTTAAAACATATTGTAATTAGTAATTTAATTAAGTATTGTAATTGGTATTATTTTGTAGTGTTGTAATTAGTTAAAATGTAATACTTGTAAATAATGATTGCTCCTGAAAAGCCCCTTTGAGGAGGAAACAGTAAAGTATATAACTATGCATGTAGTATGTATCTTGCTTGCACTGTTTTCTTAATTAGCATATGGGCCATGTTGACACTAAAGCTCTGGTTAAGTCCGTCTAGGAGCCAGCTCTGCCTGTTAGTTTGTTGATTTGCCAATCGAATTGAAGGGAATTTTTCGAAAGACACTTTTGGTAGTTTGTTGAGGCCATCGGGGGCCAGAACAAGGATCTCTGCCTTGCTTTGTGGATATTACTAGCTGGGGTTAGATTTCATCTGCAATGCAGGCTATCATGTTTGCCTTAGATCTCCTATGTTTTTAATAAGTGTAACTACTTTATATATTATTGAAAGTTGTATATGAATGTAATGTCTCTTTTGACAGGAGGCTCATGCAATGGTTAGAGCAGCAAAAGTAAAACAGGCAGCAGCTGAGAAGAGATTCAAAGAAGCAAATAGTAAGGTTGGTGTGCAGTGTTTATAACTGACTGGTCCTCACTAATCTTCGTGTGATGTGCACGGTGGGAGCAGGGGTAGAGATGGCTGGAGAGAAGACAGTATTAATTGATAAGGCAATGTAGGGTGGATAGGGTATTGTACCCCAAAGGGAGGTGAACCATGGTTTGGGTATAGGGTTGATGCCCTAAATGAGACAGATAAAAACGCGTGCATACAAAGCTGTCAAACATACACTAAAAAATTTGCTTAACAGTTATAACGTGCCAAAACATGGTTCTCACAGTTCAGAGTACCACTTCTCAAACCAGTAGAGGATAACAATCATAATACTTCTTTCAGACCCTCCCTCCACTAGTGGCCAACAACTTAACTTGTCTATGCCAAAAGTCTGACTAGGGACCTGATGTAAGCCTGGCAAACTTCATCATACCTAGATCTAAAAGTTATGTTGTTACCTACACCAGGTGGAAGTACTCCAGGCCGAGGTGACTGCACTGAAGCAGTTGGTGTTAACATCAGCATCATCTCCCGGTCACAAAAAAGGGATGGGATATCGCCGACACAGTACAGAGCATCTCAGTCCATGTGTAGAATGTGGCTCTTATGACTGCGACGCTGCTGTTGCAAGGTTTAATGGAACATGCGCTGAACATTCTCATCATCGTGGGGACACCATGAAAGATGAACCAGAGGTTGGTTGAACAAAAAAAAGGTTTGGGAAAGTCTTCAATTTGACTTTTCCCCAGCCTTCTTCATAATTTGCATAGTATGGGAACACATCATTCGTACGATGGGTTGAAAAGTGATCCTTGTTTCCCCACCTGATGCTCCCATACCTTACATTTTATCAAGATAACTAGGTATGAGTCAGGGTTTCAAGAACTTGAAATGGTGCTGCCATCATAAGGTAAGGTAGATGGCTATCAAAGACAATAGTTGGAGACACTGAAGTAAGCAACTACAGAACATAGGACCATATTTTAAGGTGGCCCGGGGGCTTGCTAGTCATGGCAACTGTTTAAAGAACGAGAAAGATATAAGACATAATTATAAGTATAAGACAGACATAAAAAGAAGACGTAAAACTAAAAGTATAAAATTGAAAGAGGTATTAAAGGTATATTTCTTTGCGCTTTGGTGGCTCGATGGTTTGTCAGTCGAGGTTACCATCTTAAAGGACTAGAAAGGTATATATATTATTTTAGTGGCTTGACAGCTCAGTGGCTCGTCAGTGGGGACTATCGAGTCACCGAGCCGCTCCAACGAGTATACCTAGGAAATTTGGCCTGTATTCTGTAGTTATTAGCCCTGTACATTTATGAAACCTGAGATGTGGTGTCATATCTGACTTGCAGACATCAATAATTGGTTTTGTCTCAAGTTGTTTAGATGTTAGATGAAGCATTGAGTCAATTATTTGATACAGCTTCTGAAATGAAGTGCAATATATTTGAGGAAATTCCGAGCCAAAGTCCATAAAATATTATCATGGAAACTAAGATGCGGTTTCCAGACCTCCTTCATGGTAGCAATTTCCTTTTTTATTTTCTCTTCATAAAAAACAAACTACAATAAACTGTGGTGGATAGAGTTCAAACAGTCATCTCCACCATCAGGAGTTATGTCCAAAAATCAGAGGCACCTAAGGACGGTTTCCTCCCAAATGCATTGAAAACACTTTTAAGGGTATCTAGAAATGCATTCTAAGCGGCGCTATAAAATTTGTATCTGTTTGGTCATTCTGGGGGAACTTGAGTCTTTTTTAAATGCATTCTAAGCGGCGCTATAAAATTTGTATCTGTTTGGTCATTCTGGGGGAATTTGAGTCTTTTTGAAATATGTACCCAGATGTGGGTAGTGACCCGTCATCAGTATGGAGTTTCTGCGCTCCTTCCTCAGACGTCATTTCGCGGGTAAACCAGTGGTGACGTTGCTGAATGTCGGCTGTTTTGTCAGTCTTGTGAAATAACAGAGAAAGGAATATATATCTGGTTCGTTTTAGGTGGATGTCATTCTATTCCGCGAGTTTCTACAGTGGATGGATGAACGTTCCGTTTCGCATGATCAGCCATTTTTAGCCAGGATTTACAAGGAAGACGTGGGCCCTTGCTTGAACTTTCCTAACAAAGAGGTAGACTTTTTTTACGTTTCAAACATAGTCGGTTTTTTATTTTATAAAATTGCTGATAAGGTGCGAAACCCCGAAATCATGCGCGTGAGCCACATTTTAGCGAGCTTGTGATAGTGACCGTCACCAACAACCAAGTACGGTTGTCTTGCACGCTAAAAAATTTAGCGACTCAAGGTAACTTCGATTACTTGCGTATAGCAATACTTCTGTGGAAAATGTCTCAGCAATTAAAGCTAAATCTGGTACATGTATGATGTACAATTTTAGTGGTTCTATAGAAATTGTCCAATGAATGTACCCAAAGTACTTCTTCCCAGTTTCAGTTCAATTTTGTGCTTCTCGGTGAATTGTCTTCTCTTGTCCCTTCAGCTCGCCCTTGCAGTACACAGTGCAATTGAAAACAATACTCTTATGATGGAAACATTCACTGGCAAACCTCTGTTTAGGTATGTAATATTAATTAACTTCACAGCCGAACTGTGCCAGAAACCCCTCAGCCCTGATCTTTGCCTTACCTAGCTCACAAGGTGGTTTTGCTTTTTTACACCTAATGTAAAGCAGGAGACCAGAAGATGAAGCATTTTGCCGGATAGATGAATGTCTTTAATCTTTTTTAGGGGCTTTCTAAAGGGTGAGCCGTTCTCCCAGTTTAGCCAGCCAGTGATGATCGCTTTACAGACGTAAACCTGTGACTGAAAACCTGCCGCAATGCAAACTGTAAGCTGCGATCAGGCGGTCCTTCTTTCTTTTCAAGAAGAACACCTGATCTCAGCTTAGGCAAACCGTTAGTGGAGAGTGGTTGCTGCTAACCCCCCGCATTAAAATCTCTAATTGTTTTGCTCCGCATATTTACATTTTAATAATTCTATTATTTCTGTCCTTTTTGTTTTCCAGGAAATGTGCTTTAACTGGTACATCGCGGTTCTGTGTTCACCGTGTAAAGTTAACAGAAAAAGGAGACTGGTACAACCTGAGTCGAAACAGCAGAGTAAGGGTGAGTACTCGTTAACTGCTTTCCTTTTTCTACTTTACTAAGCAGGTCCTAGTTGTTAAAAAGGTGGATAACGTAATCCATTGGATAAACCTCTTTCTGAATTGGTTTCCCTTAAACTTATCCGCTGGATAGTGATTTATTTAGTGAATAGCACTATCCAAAGTTTGAACAACTGGGGCCAGAACTTTTGTGGATTAAAAACAACACCGACGTCTTTTCATCTTTTTCTTTTTTAAATGGTTAGTGCAGTTATCTTTAGTTTCTTTACGATGGATAGAGTTGGGACCAGGACTAAGTGAATTTTCAGAACGAGTTGTCCGCCTCACTGGCCAATGTGATGTGGTGCTATGCAGTGTTCCAAATAAGAGACGGGTCTCGGGTCAATGACTCGACAAAGAAGGCTTCCTGACCCGACAGATGTGATATAAGTGTAATAGTGTTAAGTCAAATATAACGCAAAAAAAATTAAGGACATGATCTTGGCGACCCCTCAGATGGTCTACAAGACCCCCCCGCTTGAAAGAATTGAATGGAACGCTTCTATGAGACTGGATCGGTGTGGCGTCGAATTGTATTATGGGACACTTGGGAACAATTTTTGACCCATTTTCCCGCTCAACTTCGTGATAGTCAATAAAAGAAGTAATGGCGTCCCCAAAATCAGTCCCATAATGCAGTTCGAAACAACACCGACCCAGTCCCACGCTCATCCTCAAAATGGCCAATAGAAATTCAAACAAATAACTGAAGAACGTCTCTCAGCGGGAGGTGGTCATCTTCTAGAAGTGTTTGTCACGAGAGACGTGTCTGTGTAGACCTATGACTAAACCCTTTTTGACAGTGACTGACGTCTCAACAGCATTAATGAAAGGCTAAGACACATGATGTTATCTATTTTTTTTAATCACAAGAGTAGTCGTTTGTTAATTTGTTTTGCTACTTGTGTTACTGTGTTAGAAATCTTTTCAAATATCACTGGTACGAATTTACCGTGTCTTTGTTTTGTTCTAGATTGTAGCAGTTTGTGATTTTTATACCTACGTACGCTACATTCAGCAGGGACTTATAAAGGCAGACGGTACGTTTTGCAGTCATATCATGTTATAGTTTACGCCCTGTCCACACGAATTCGTTTACGAAAAAACCTAGCCTACGAATACAGCCGTCTGTCCTCGCTTCTAGCCGTCTTAACGTTCCACGCTGCAAGGAGGAAAGAGAGACGGTTGCATTCGTAGGTGATGAAAAACTCCGTTTTTATGTTACTGCGCTTTCAAAAACACGCGAACTCTGGAGTTCAAAAGCCGCCTTCACAATTGCGTTTTTCGCTGCTTTCAATCATAATTACGATTACAAGCAACGAACCTTGACACATGGAAACACACAAAACGGATCGAAATCCACCAATCACTAAACACAAACCATAACCTTTTGACCTTCATGAGGCTTGTGTACGATACCCTCGTGTTTCCTTGCTATTTTAAATCAACTTTAAACAGCCCGAGTTCTGATCGCTTTTAGGCTAAACGCATAAAAATTGAAGCTTTTTTTGCTTTAATTTAATTGAAGCTTTATCTATGTATCTTAGAAATTTTGGTTCGGAGAAAATCGTCCGAACGATCGTACTTCCCCCCATTCATGTAAGCCGTGGTGAAATTTTCACATTTCATGCACCCGCGCGTTTCGGCGGTAAATCGCATGGCCACCCGGATTTTTAGAGGGAAAAAAACCACAACAAAGCCGAGTCTTTTTTTGACTTAATTTTATTGTCTACATTAAGGTGGATAACAGAGAAAGAGCTAGAGCTAGAGATAAAAAACGAAGGAGATCAATTTCGTTGGAAGAGAAACATGACAATTTGGATCAATTTGGATTTTGCTCGCAACTTACGAGTTTGGCGTCGCTCGCTCGGCGGAACTGGAGGTGAATCAGTGAGTAGTGCAGGATATTCACTGACTGAGTAGCCAATCAGAGCGCGCGAAAAACACTATCCATTGTTGTAGTATATACTAAATGTATATATTAAACGAAAACGCATCAGTTTGGACCGCGGTCTGAGCAACATGTTGTTAACTGAAATAACCTAATACTTCTTCTTCTTCCTCCTATTAAGTAACTAAGTGAAGGCTAAAAGATCTTCCTCTAATTATTTCTTGTTTGACACACAGTGACGGAGATCTACTGGGAGATAATGAGACTGAGAGGCCAAATGGCGCTTGCTAGATTGGGACTGGAAACTACTTGTTCAGGCAAGATTCAGAAGAACAGCAGTCAGTCCTAGCAGGAATTGCTTCTTGCTGTTTTTTAGTATTTCTTAGATTCGTGAGTTGGGTTTTGAGGGTCTGAGTGGGGCTTAGTGTTTCTAGAGAAAATACTGTTAAGTGTTTGGAGGGTTCTTCGGACATCTTCGGTAGTCTTCGGAATTTTTCGGCAATCTTCGGGAATCTTCGGTAATCTTTGAAAATCCTCTGAAATAATCGGGATTGTCGGCATAAATTGGCCGAAAAGTCCTTGATATACTAAACAAAGTAATATTTTTGCTCATATCTTATAATACACCTTGTTTGCCCACCCCCTTTATTATAGAAAATGCTTGTAAAATACTCTGTATGTTTGAATAAAATTGGAAAATATTTTTGTATAATAAAAAAAAAAATAATTTTTTTTCTATATATATATAAACAAACTTTTTCCCCCCCCCCCCCCCCCCCAAAAAAAAAAAGAAAAAAAGTTGCGTAACCGTTGGTTTTCATTTCTCCTTGGTATTACAGCCGTCCCGAGAGAAATTGAAAACAATGCATATGCAAAATTTTGGGGGGCAAGCGAGGTGCGTTTTGGGAGATGTGTAAGTGATGAATTGGCCTTTTGGGAGCCGTTTTTGTTTTATTCTGGAAAAAAAGTGACTGTTACAGTGAAATTTTTACTTCTAGTGTTCCAATGCCTTAAAATTAACTGTTTCATGTACAGAGCCAAACAAAACACTTAAAAGTGTTAAGTGCCAACAGCCCCTCGGTTTTTGTTCATTAGAAATTATACACATCATGAAATGAATTGTATTCAGAAGAGAAGCAGTCAATTCAATCGTAATTTGACTGCCTCTCCCTTGGATTGCAACGTAGAATTTGTATTATACTATATAAGAACAGTTTTGACAAATCTAAACTACAAGAGAGCTAGTAGACTAGAATGCTGAGTTGTGTTCCCCCGTCTCAGCTTTCAGTCTTCAATAGATTTTGATTGTTCTCAGCAAAGCGTTGAAGTGATTTGGTACTGAAATAACATGTGCATTCGGACGGTGAATTTTTCGTGTTTTTACATGGTCTAGGTGCTGTCTTTGTACATTTATGACCGCCCTAGCTCATAAACTAAATGATTAGGCACATGTCGGCACATGTACACTTTTAGTAGGTCTCAACATTGCTTTTTAGCTGTTGTTATCAATGTTTTCCACCTGGAAATGGAAGAAAGTTGTTATTTCGTATTCCCTCTTTTTGTTATGAAGTAAATCTAGTCCGTCAAATTATTCTGGGATTATGAACACGTTTTTAAGATATGAATTGTATCAATGAATCGTGAGTATTTGGCGGGTGACCACATTTGTTGTTGCGTTGGAAATTGTAATTCGTAACAAACATTTTCATTTTCAAGGTTTTAATGAAGATTTTCGATGAATGTTTTAAATGAATCAGAGTTGTTTTCAACTGACAGCCGTGAAACCAAACCTGAAAAACAATTCTGGCCACATGATTATGGTAGAACGAGAGTCCAATCAACCAATTGGAAGTTAAGTAAATAATGCTACCAAGCGGAGCGGGAAGACGCGGTCGTATCGGATTTGGTTTCACGCCAAAGTGGTGTCTGTTAACCTGCACAGCTGGCTTGTGGAATTATTAGCGCGCGACTGCTTCATTCCACGCCACGAGCTGGCCCTGGGTGTTCAAACGCTGGATAGCTCTATCTACTGCATAAATCACTAACCAGCAGATAAGTATTAGAAAAACCAATTGCGCCATCCACTGGATAGAGATTTATCCAATGGATAGCGCTATTCATCTTTCGAACAACTGGGTCCTGATCTTTTAAGGGGCTACGTAATGCTGTTTCCTATCTTTTTAAAACGCTAGAACTGGTCTACACATCAATTTAATTCCCAAAAGAATGATCTAGTTTTGTATTATAAGACTATATTTAGGCACTGATACAGATTCATGTCGTCTTTTGCAACGGATAGCAAGGACGGACATGAATTGAAACTTGAAAAAGTTGGTCCAACCTTTTCAAGTTTCAGTCAGATATGCCGGCAAAAGTCGTAAAAAAATATATTTCATGGTTGGTGCTCCCTGGTGAAGCTTGTTTGATTTCTTCTTCATCACTGTTCAGGAGTATTTTGTGTATGGTTAAACTAAAGGGGGGATCATCATTCTGCCCTAAGTGAGAAGTAAGTGTTAATGTTGGCATAGGGGAGGGGTAGGTGGGCAGGTTCCTAGAGACCTAAATTGATCAGTAAAGGAACTAAGTATTGACTTCAGCTCAGAATTGACCTAAACAGCAATAACCTCATGACATATCCCCTTTAACTCTGATCCCGCCAGCTACAGTTATGTCCAGTGTCCAGGATTGTTAGCTAATGAGATTCATGCTCTTTATGGTGGACATCACGAAGTGTCCCCAGCCGTGAAATCATACCAGGGTTCGTACGGAGTCTTGAATTCTTGAAAAAGTCTTGAAACTTGCCCAGCAATTTTTCAGACCTGGAAAAAGTCTGGAAAATAGAGATCAAGTCTGAAAAAATGATAAAATGCTTCATAAAAAAATCTTTGTTCCTGCGGTTTTTAAGGTCTCCATTGATCACCCATTTGATATCCTTGAGTCTCGAAAAAGAAATTATTGTTTTGTAAAAAGTCTGGAAAAAGTCTTGAATTTTAGATCCAAAACTCTGTATGAACCCTGTCGTATGGAAATTGCAAATAATTTTGTTCTACTATGAAGTACCTTAATTTCGTGTCGCTTGCGTTTCTGGACATAAGTGGCCATTTACGCAAGCTGAATCTTTTTTTCGATTTTTAGGCTTTTTTAAAGAAAAAGTGAAACAAAAATCAGATTGCTCACTCACCAGTTGAAAACTACTCTTTATGCAGACATTTTACAACAATATAACATAGAGAGTTTTAGTTTTGTTTTTAGTAATTCTTCTCTTTTTCTCAAGAAACGACTACAGTAGATATTGTTTTCAGAATTGTTGTTTCTTAACATATTTTTAATCTTGTAAACAACGGTTGTACTTCTATGCTAGGTAATGCCAGCAAAATTAAGTAGTAGTACCATTGTTAACGAAGCTTGACAGAAACTTTCAAGTAGCTTAACATTTTAACAGTGAAATTCTTAAAAGTATTGCAGTAACCGTTTCAAAACAAATTATTTCTAGTCTTGTTTAATAATGTACATACTTAACATATGACAAATTTGTATCTGATAGTTTTTAACTGTTAACTTCTATTTTTCTATGCCGCACAATTTTATCTGTACAGAAATTTCATGATTCGCTGGAATATAATAAATGCCCTGCTGTAACGTTTTCATCGCGTCGGACTCATTCCAGTTCAGTTTACATTCTAAGTCCAGGTGTTATATTTATAGGAGAGAGCGTGGTCGAGTGGTTAGTGGGCTGGACTTGTAATCCAGAGGCCCCGAGTTCAAGTCCCGCTTTGACCGCTAGCTGGATTTGTTTCACGGTAGTCCCGAGTTCAGATCCTCGCCCACGCTTGTAAATAGCCAGCTGGTTTGCCTCCGGCAGTTGGAATTCTTAACCCTGTTATGTTTGATTTGAATTATTGTTTCAGGTATTTGTTCGGCCCCACTAGTATTAGTGCTATAAATACTGCTGAGGGTAAATAACGGAATTATTATTATTATTATTATTATTATTATTATCTCTATGCGGATTTATCACACCGCTAATGTGAACTGGCTTGCCGCTCCACACCTGGGACATTTGGCACAAAGTTTTCATGCATCATTTGTGTAGACAATGGTTAGTGGATTGGGGGTGGAAAAATAGTTTTGGAGGTTTTAAAGGGGAAAAAAACACGTACTTTTGTACATATGTTGCGGTTCAATTTTACTCTTGTTTTAAATGTTATTTCCTTTTGTTTCAAACTCACTATCATACATTACCATAACCAAAAACAATAGAAAATAAAACTTAAACCAAGGATAAAATTGAGCCACAACACATACAACAAATGGATGAACGGGAGACAATATTCAGTGCCGGATCCGGACCTTGAGATAAGGGGGGGGAGGAGGGGGGGCGGTCTTCAAAAAAAAATTTTTCGGCCCTGGTCTAAAAATAAGGGGAACCCGGGCACCCCGGGCCTCTCCCTTGGATCCGCCACTGATATTTGGTATTTTCATTTACATAGAGCTATTAATACACCTTTTTTGTGGTCCAGAAAGCTTTATATAGAAAACCGTACCAAAAATGTTTCTTTAAATTTCAGTCTTGCACCGTCCAATTAATGAAGCGCGCGTACATTTATATACCCTCTGCGTACGTCGCTTGTCATTAAAAATTGTTATTATATATGCCAATGTCACTTGTCTTTCATTAATTTTTATTGGCAAAAGATGAAAACTGTAATTTACTTGAAAACCGCAGCGTTAATTCTAAATTTTTGAGAGGGTATTTACATAATGGCCTAAACATTAACTTTAAAACCATGTTTTTTTTCCTAGTGGACCGAGTTTTTTGTAAGAACAAAATCCTCTTCAATTCACCGGTGCCGATTATTATGTATGGTTTGGATGAAGACCTGAGTTTGTAGTTAACTTGATGAGGAGTCGTTATGGCGCGCCAGCCTTATGTCTCGACAAAAAACCATCAATTTGACAAATTTGGCTGATAATACCGGCATCTTGTAAGTTAAGAAATATGAATGAATGAATGATTGCTTGTCAATTCGTTATGTTCGTGTGTGAAGTGTCGCAGGTAACCATTACTATGCTTTTCTTCAAAAGTCATTTTACGTAATAGATACTCCAATAAAGCGCTATGACGCTCTTACGATTCGATGGCAGGTGTACTGTATGGATTAGAAAGACGTAAAAAGAAAATAACTAATACCACTTTACATGGGATATATAATGGCAGCTGAGACATGCAATGATAGTATCAGGCTTCGTAAACCTTGAAACGAAGGTTATTGGTCACTTAAAGGGTTTTTCTTCATTGGCTTTTTTTGTTCTCGTATAGGATGTTTGACCAAGAGTGGAACTAAACAGGTTCCTTTGTATTAAAATTGGTATTGGGGAGAGATAAGAAAAAGAAAAACACAGCTCCCAGCAGGACCTAATGATTTTCTTCTGTCATACGTTCATTTGCTAATTCAGCCAATGGGAATCAAAAACCATTGATGTGGCTACGGTATATATTGGAACAAACAAAATTTCATAATTTGCTTACAGGTGAAAGTTTCTCCTTTAGAAAGCTATCATTGACACATAGCCAAAAGACCTAGTCACGTATAGTAAAGTTATAAGCAGACTGGAGAAAGAAAAGTCGCTATCGAATCACAACTAAGGAGTAAAATTCGGCTCGCCAAAAGTTGCAATCGCCAGAGTTCGAGGATAACGGGAAGATATGTATTTAAACAATTCTGCGGTTTTAGAAGAACTTGACTTCCTCCCGGGATTTACGATCCCGGTGATTATCTTGCTTGCCTTCGAAATAATCCTTGGTATTGCGTCGAGTTGCGCAGTCCTACTAATCTACTGGAACAAACGACATATCCGAAGTGTTGCTACGAAGTTCATAGCAAATCTTGCTTTAATTGACTTGGTTATCTGTTGTGTCTGTATTCCTTTCACTGTCGCTCTGTTAGTGGTATTTCCACGGAATTCAGCGATATTATGCTGTTGTCACGAGGCTGTAACTTCAGCTTTACGAAACGCTTCAATTATAACTCTTCTCTTGATTTGTTACGACCGATACAAGTCTGTTACAAATCCCTTTGTGTTAAGACTCAGCCACCGTAAAGCCAAGCGTGCTTTATTTCTGGTCTGGTCAATCACTTTTGCAAGTCTCGCAATCCCGTTTGCTGAGTGGAACAGAGCTTCAAGTTTCCATTCTAGGATTTCAGCTTGTATTACACTTTTCAGCCGAGAACACAATCCATTTTACTTTCGACTTTACTATTTGCCTTTGTTTATTTTAGCGTGTATGATTCTTCTACCTGCGTACTTGCGTATTTCCGAAGCGGCGTTTTCTAGGGTTCACATTCAAGCCATACTAATGGCAAAAACCTCACTCGTTGTCCCTGCATCAACGGCTGCCCAGAGATGGAATGCTTCAGCGATTCGACAAAAAGAATGGAAAATCGCTAAGATGACTGGAGCTGTTGTGTGTTCTATTTGTGGCTTATGGTTGCCATACACGACTTTAACATTCGCTATGTATTTCTTAAAGCCCTCTAATCACCTCGCTCGTTTAGAGTTTGCGTTTTTAACTTTCGGCTATTTTAACTGCGTCTTAAACCCTCTTCTGTACGCCTTTACGAAGGAAAAATTCCGCACTGCTTTTCTCAGGACTTTACCTTTCAAGAAATAGGCAGTATGAAAAAATAACCTTTGAAAATGCGAGAAGTTTTTGATAAACAGCCATCACTGTGTATGAGCCTCCAGTTAATTTTTTTACACATTCGTTCTTTTAAGGGATATGAAAGGTTTATGTGTTCTTGAATATATTCTTGGAACTTAGGTAAATTAACTGGCTCACTTAAAATGTCTTGGGGAAAATGCATGTCCGTTAGATAATGCCCGACGAATAATTCTGTGCAAACGTGGTAATAATATATTAGCGAGTGCGACTGACTCGACGTTTATTTGCTTTTCCTGAGGACTCTTTTTTTTTTCAAATCCATTTAAATAAAACGTAGCCCCTGAACCTTGAATGGTGGCCTTTACTCCCGAGTAAAATTAAGTGAAAATTAGTTCAGTTGCTCGGTCATCCCTTAATGCTTTACGTAAAGTAAGGTAGAAAAGAAAGACTATATTAATAACATCCTTAAAAAACGGCGTTAGAAAATGTCGCTTAATGTACAAAACATGTTTATATTTTGTTTTCACATTTCTGACTTAGTAAACGATTAAAAATGCAAATGATAATGACAATTTCGTACAGATGTCAATCCTCTAGAAAAAAAAACTCTGTATTTGCATAGACTGGAGCAACTATTTATTTACATGCTGCGATTTGTTTGAAGCGATTTTATCTAATGCGTTTCCCTTCATAAAAGTTCAACAACGAAAAACTTGAAATGAAAAAAAAAAGGTTTCATTTCTTCTTCTTGATTCCTTTCGTAATTACAAAGTACAAATAACATGCAAAAAAACAAGAATCGTTTTAGAGTTTTTGTTTTTTAATATGAAAGGCGGAATTTTTTCAGGTACATTTTAAAAGCATGTCTAACAAAATAAACATTAAGGAATGCTCAAATTCAAAGAATCTCCGTGTCAGCTTTTCAATATATTGAGATAGTAAAACTATCAATATTTAAACTGTCATTTCTCGTGGCAAGTAATTAGATCTTTGTTCTGACTAAGCCTACAAAACACTGAAACATCCTTACTCCTCTTAGCAAGAGTGAAAGCGTGAACATAAAAGCGCCATCCTGTAGCGATCGTCCATTTTGTAGTCTGAAAGCTAGAGATCGGAACACACCGATGCGGCTTAGGTTTAAACCGCGTGATAGTGAAAGCGAAGTTGTTGATATTGCAAAGGGCGACTGCATGATCTAATATCCCGCCTTTTGTTTTGCACGTGTTATATAGAAAGACATAGTAAGTGCCATGCCTAGCAGATCGTAGGTGAAAGTTATGCACCTATCAAAGTAATGCCGGCGGAGGGGCAGGGCATGGCGTGGGGATTTGACTTTATTCAAACATTTGCAATCAAATTCCCTGCCCATGGGAAAATCATTCCAGTCAAATGCAACCAAATTTCCCCACCCCAGGCTGCACATTGCTGTCAATCCCAAGGCAGAACCCAAGAAAGGCACAATAAAAATATCTCCAAATTAAACTCTGCAATCTTTTATAAACGTTGCTGCATCACTAAATATACATGTTCCTGTTACAGCTGCAATTATACATTTTAACCATAATCCGTGTTACACTACGTAGAATACATAAACCTTTAGAGAAAGTCCACATTTTTTAAGTTTAAATATACCGTTCTCAGTAAAGGGTACAAAGAAAGTCAGTTTTATAAGTTTACAGTGATTGTAGCGAATGAGCCATACACTAATCAATTGTACTTGCAAAAATCGACTTGGTTTCTCTTTACTATTATTACTAGTATTTTAAGAGGTTCAATTGATCAAAAATACGCTAAAACAAACGAAATTTGAAGACAAAACAGTGAAATCCACTTAGCCTTCGATTGTTCTCATTGGCCTCCATGACTTCCTGATCTTTTCAAACCGTACGGCGCATGCGTGAAGCGTGGAAGCGGGAAACATATTTTCGGTCTCAGTCTTTTTCGCCCGAGTCGGCAGTCAAATATCTCCACGTCGGGCGAAGAAAGATTCAAATATCCCCTCCCCTGGGAGAACAAGATCAGTCAAATGCCCTACCCCAGGGCCAAAAAAGACAATCAAATCCCCACCCCATGCCCTGCCTCCCTGCCTCCCCCCTCCCCCCGCCTGCTTTACATTGATAGTTGCATTAATTCTGCAAGCGACTGAAATAGCTACTGTTTTGCTTCTCCCCTGGGAACGAGGTTGAATTCATACAGTCTTTCATTCGTTTTCAGTCACTGCGGGAAATGCCGCGGAGCAAGAATCCGGATCGAATTCCCTTGATACGATACATTCACATCGAGGTTCTCGCCGAAGCGACTGGCGATGAGTTTCTCATTCCCTAGAGTCCTTTGCTTTTTGGTCAACAGTGGCCTCCACCTTGGGGTGAAAGGTACCTGCAGTTGTATAAGGAGGGACGTAGTAACGTTAAGTAGTAACGTACCGACAGACAAACTTTGTAGTTACACGTCCTCTCAAGCCCGGCACACATATAGTGGTGAGGAAAATTATTGCACGTATAAGGCCTGGTGCAGTAAGCCCTTTTCAAAACTACAAAACTGTTGAGGGTTGTGTCAATATCGTACTAGATTAAAAAATTCCACATCCTTCTTTCAGAACTACTGTAGCCAAAAACTGGTCTAAAGTAAATGTTCAGGGTCTGGAAGGGTATTTTCGGTGCGGGATTCGGGAAAACGCAAAATGTTTTGACTGGAAACGGGATTCTACTGCTACCCGGGAAGCTACCCGGGATTCACCAAAATTTGGGTTCGAGATGCGAATTTTTTTTCCTATCTGTCTGGAATTCGGTAAAATGCAAGTTCTAGGGGCAAATGGGTGGTAAAACGGGCTAGTTTTCGGTAGTGTCTCCTGTGAAAACAAACTATAGAGTGACCTAGGTAATTTTTATCTAATTGAAACTGTCAAGTAATCAACGACCATTGTTTCACCCGGATGCAGGAAACAGCCTGCGTGGCAGGCGTTAAAAAGGGAAGGGGAAGGGGGAATTTCGGCGCGCAAGAGTCCCATTTCCCTTTCGAACGCCTACCACGCAGGTTAGCCAGGAAAGTGCACGTGGTGCATGCATTGCAGTTAATCCTTGTAGCCCTCGAGCAAGCCCTCCATTTGGAACGGTCCAACTATTCGATCAGTTGAACTTAAGATATGGTAAACAGTGCAGTGTTCTCAGCTCTGCTCCTTTGAACAAGACGGTCATAGATTTGGTCATGTCGTTCTTTCTTGCGGCCTCAGCAGGCGAGTCTTCTAGTGCCAGAATAGCCTGAGTGTTCCAGGTGTTCAGATAGTACAGAGCAGCGCTGAGGGCGCAAATTGTTTATTTTTTTTTTCTCCTCCCCTCGCCTCGCGATTAGCGCGACTATGCCGTCAGTCTCCTAGCTTGGCTGACAAAGCGTCAGTTATGCAGGCTAGAATGTCGCCTCAAGCAAAACAAAACAAAACAAGTGGCGCCTGAATAGAAGAAGCTTTCATTTTAAAACTACTTCCATATCGTTCTTCAGACCTTTCAATACAGGTCCTTGCCTTTTTGAAATGGACTGACTTTCCACCCGAAAAGAGTAAAGGTGGAGTAAAGGTATATGGCTGAAGACCAAGAGACTATAAAGGGGACAGAGAGGCCATCCCCCATATACACCCTATTCCATAGGTAATTCGTCTCGAGTTATTTTTAACACCACAGATCTCAAGGGGGATTAGACAACAGCCAATCACATAGCGCGAATGTGTTCCGCGTGGATGACCCACGCTGAGAGCCACGCGTCCTTCACGAAATGACGCAGAACAAAATGGGGGAAGACGCGGAGAGCGATTTTGCTATTCCTTTTGTCGACGAAAACGACTACAGCGAGATTTCTGCGAAAGCTGTGTCAGCGAAACCGAAATTAAAAAAGAATCGCCCTTCCTCTCTTGTATAGAGCTAACAGTAGAGCAGGGAAATCCTTAACACACTGAATATTCTCTCAGGATCATTTATAATTTACAGTTTGAAGAGAGCAATTTCTGGTTTGATGTTTATTTTTTTCAGTCTTTATAGCGATTATTCCTACCCACTTACTTTGTCAATTGTAGGCGAACCCTCCTAAAGCTGAATTTCAAGGGACCATATTCAAGCTCAGAAAGAGAAATAAAATTTCGTCGTTGCTTATTTACGTCCTCCATAAAACGCGAAATTAGGCATTTTCACGTCGTAGTCGTGCAAAAACGGGAAAGAAATGAACAAAAAAGTGTGTTATACGTGCAAAGTTGTTGTTTTGCCAATTAAACCTATTGTTTTTTTGACGTTCAAGTTGTCGTCCGCGTCGTTGGATCTTAAACTCCCTAAATTGTACAAACGACCGGTTTCAATAGACCGGCGAAATTTCTCATTTTATTAAAGCACTGAGGTTACGACAACTTCGAGTGAAACTGATTTCACGGGTTGTCAAAGAGTCCAGCGATTCCTTTTTCCCAGTTGAGCGCCGACTCATTTCGCTTCAATATTCAGGAATGCTCTCGATCTTTTTACGCTTTCATTGCCTCTCGCCCGACATGTTTTGCACAGCGTTTGGTCACGCGAAACCTCCACGCAACATCCACGCCTCGCGCGAGGTAACTTTATCCCGATTCTAAAAATAACTCGAGACGAATTACCTATGGAATAGGGTGTATGGCCTCTCTGTCCCCTTAAAAGTCTCTTGCTGAAGACTGATAACGATTTCACGAATGAGAGTGCTGATCATGACAACATCAAAGTGCATCTCCTGTAGGTCAGAAAATTGGTACACATAAATATGGCAATGGTTTGGGGAAAAATTTTAATTGTAGAGTTTGTGACGTTCTTTTGGCTCGTCACACAATCCTCTCCAATGTACTGAGGCATATGTAACGAAATCCTCACGTGGTAGACTGGGATCTAGTCACGTTTCGTCGGCCACGAATACAAAAGACCCCCAGCAGACGCGTAAAGACGAAGTTACATATGGTGATCAAAATACCGCTAAATTCCACTTGAAAAGCCAAAATTGGTCATTTTCAAGTCAAACAACAATTCAGCGAGTTATTTTGAGATTCCATTTTATTTCTGAAGCTTTCCAGTCCCAAAACATTGGTCACCGTCGCTCCCGCAAGGCAAAACAATGGACGACAACGTTGGCGTTCCGAGGACGAGCGAAGGATTATCGGTAGTGTCTTCGTTATCTGAAGTCAGCGAGCAGATCGCCATCGCCGAGCACATCCCGACTGAACACGAAACGGCTGCAACTGCTGTCTTCCACACAGGGGAAGAAGCTTCGAGTGGGAATGTTGGTGGCCATCCGCAATGCGAAGTGCAAGTTGTGAAGGTCTCGAATGGAAATGTCAGCATCAGTTTCGCTACCCCCGCTGCAGCAGCGTCACACATTGCAGCTTCACAGTCCACACTGCAACCAATCCAGGAAGTCATTGCAGACAGCCCTTCTCATTCAACGAGGTCTTCCAGTCCGAATTTGCAAGATTCACAAGCCGTTACGACGATTCAACAAGCCGAGCAAGATGAAATGTCTGGCGCAAACCAACAAGATGAAAGCTCCCCTTTATCTCGAGGTACCCCAAAATCGCCGTGGGAAGGAGCGTTGAACGCAGAGGTGCTTATTGTGCGCTGTCGAAACGAAACAGCTGAGTTGTATAAAAATAAACTGGGATCTGGAGGCCGTGGAAAATGTATAAAGGTAAGAATTTGTTCAAACTCAACACTGTTTTACTTAGCCCTTATTAATTAAGCTTATCTTATAGTTAAGGCTGCGTGCATGACCTGTTTGTGTCGCGTTGTAGGTGGCTTGTTCGAGTTTCGCATTGTCAAGTTTGTGCTTCAAAACCTCTTTGCTTAATGCCAAATTACCACCCTATAGGCTTAGTTAACTTGCAAAATTTTTATAAGGAGATCGCTTGTTGCTTATTTGACCAAAATTGCAATTTTTATTACGCTTAATAACTAATTATCTAGTAGGAATTCCTAACTCGTAAGACGGAATATCATTGATGAAAATATATATGAAATATTGTCATAGGAACTTTTAACGAGATTAAACGATATATTGACACCTTGTTCGGAATTTTTAGCTTTCTTTAGTGACATACTTGATGACTGTTCCGACAGAGCGTTAATTTTATTAGCATTTATATTAGTATCAATAACGAAGCGTTGGCTTGGGTTTTGCCATTATGTAAATTAAAGATGTATTTCACTATGTCTTTTGTATGGCTGCACATAATTATATTCCATTTAAGAAGGAAGTGTTGAAACTACTGAAGATGCACCACAAGATTCCTGTAAAGGCCTCCATTAATGTTTAACAACACAGTTACTCCGATTCCCGTAGCTTTTGTATACAGTTAAGCTGGCTACCCCGATCAGGAGAGGGTGGGGGGTGAATAAGTAAGACTCAGGTACATGTTGTGTTTCAGTTTATCCTTTTTTCATACTCTTGGTCTTTCATTTACACACTGAAAAAAATCGTGTGGCACGAAATTTTTGTGGGAGTTTATTTTTGCAGATTTGCGATTTTTTGCGTTTTGCGGGCACTGATTTTTGCGATTAGCAGTTTTCCAGATAAGAGATGGGTCTCGGGTCAATGACCCAACAAAGAAGGCTTCCTGGCCTGAAAGGTGACAAATAAGTGTTAAGTTAAATATAATAAAAAGAATTCACACGTGGTCTTGGTGTCCTCTCAGATGGTCTACATGATCCCCCACTTGAAAGAATTAAAACGCTGGAACGCTGGATTAGGACAGATTGGTTTTCCTGCTGGGAATCAACTTTTGTGATTTTCAGAAAGTAGCCAGTACCCAGCATTGGTAATATTTTAGTTTTTATTGAGTACATGCGATAGAAATTACTTTTTTCAAACAATATTACGGTGTGTGTACCCTACAGCTGTATGTGAAACCAGTATTTCATTATATACCGCTTTGTTTCTGAACAAAAGGGACATGTTGTAATTGAACATACACAATTTCTTAGGACTGTATTTTTGTGTAGCAAACTTAAGTTAGAGAATATTTTCTCTGGAGTAAATTTTTGTGGGAAAAATGTTCGTGGTAATTTTTAGTTGCGGGAACTTATTGTTAATTAGCGGATGGCTGGAAAAATTGCAAAAATTAGAACCCGCAAGAATTTCATGTCACACGGTAGATAGAGTTTGAACCAAGGATAAAATTGATCAGAAGAGTAGCATCGGAATGTGCTATTTATTTGTCACACATTCCCTTTGATATAACATGTACATGTACCTGTACTTTCTAAAAAAACATATATAGCCAAACATTTATTTAGTGTCACCCTTGGGAAAGAGAGCATTTTCACATGACGTCATGGTGGCCATATTGGTGTTCCAAAACAATGAAACGGCAGCCATGTTGGTGTACTCAGAAAATCCTCTGGGAGTTGAACTCTTTTCTCATGTAAATGCTTTCTTTGGTTCCAATAAATTAGCATAGATGCTGGCCACATGAGTGAAAATGCTCTATAACTAACAAGACTTCTGAGTACAGGTTGACCATTTAATAAAGCTTTGAAAGTCTAAGAGTTGATTAAGAAAATGAAAGTGGGAACTAAGCCAAGTAATATCCCTCACACAACAAATTGAACTCAGAGTGTTTCTAACTCTTCTTGTGTCAAAAGAAAAGATGCAGAAGATCAGAGCACTACAAAAAATCACATTCAGTATTTATACTGTACTAGCATGGTACAAGTTGACAAAGTGACCATTTAACAGAGGTGATAACATTATAAAATAACTCGTTGAGCTTTTGGAAAAGGTAATGGTGACAGCTTATTAGTGACTGCTTAATACAGCTGGTCAGTTTTACATAATCAAGGGATTGTCCAAGATACTAGGCTAGGGAATCTCTTCTCTCGGACCCTTGGGGAGTTGGGGCTACCAGATGGCTGACAGTTCAGACTGTTTTATTTTCAGGTCTATGGAAAAAATCACATCAGTGCCGGAAAATTTATTGTGACTTATTATTACTTCTGTTTTAATACATCTCAAACACCCTTATTAATCTATTATTATCCTTTATTATATGCTACTTCCTGTACAGTATCAAGATCAGTGGATGACACCCTCAGAATTTGAAGCTCGATGTGGGAGGGCATCATCTAAAGATTGGAAGAGGAGCATCCGTTATGGTGGACGTACCCTGCAATCATTGATTGAAGATGGGGTCCTTGTTCCTCATGCAATTTCCTGTACATGTGCAACATGCTGTGATGACGATACTCTGGTAAGTTCTCCTTTAAATAATTGAGTTACCTTTAGTTGTTGCAAATTGTGTTGACTGATGTTAGGTCTTTTCAATGCTAGTGAAATAAAAAGTCTGACAATGCTGGGCTTAGAACATCCACTTTGACATTCTCTTTTACCTCAAATTTTTTAGTGTCCAATGAATTATTGTTTTTTGCCATGAAAGGTGTTTTTATATTTTTTACTTTCATTGTAGTCAAAATCTTCATGATTCAAGGCTGTTCTTTAAGAAAAAGTTGAAGGGAGCCTATCACTCTAAGCCTGTGAAATCCAGGGTTCCCAGCATATGGTTTCTATGAAAAAAACTATGATTTTCTAGTTACCCAGCAGCAAAGTTAGGTACCAGGGGCCACTGGGCGCTGATAGATCACAGCCTTGTGATCAATTGTCCCACAAACAAGCTGTATTCATGTATAGGTTTACTGACATCAATAACGATAATGCCTCTGATGTACTTCAGGCTGGACCAATCAGATTGTTTGTCCCTTACAAACGTCGTAAGCGAGAATCTTCACAGTCTGGATCCCCAGTTCTCAAGAAAAGTTTGTCTCTTAGTTCTGAAAACTCAAGACGTGAAGGTAAAGATTCCAGGTTAAAGTTACATAGTACTCTCAACAAGTAATATCCAACATTCTAGTGTGTTGTTATTTTAAGAAAAGCCACAGAATTACTTACAGGCAAAATGGAACTAAAAATGTCCTCTGCATGTAGGACATAGACATGTACATTTGTACAACTGTTTTCTTTTATAAAAATGAACACTTTGATTCAGTATGCATGACTTGGTGAGAGTGCGATGTTGAGTTTTTAACTCAAAATTTAAGGCCACTTTAATTGAAATGTATAGCGCCGTTGCCCTGCAAGTTATTTCCTTGTATGTGTAACAAAGTATCTCAAGTTTAGCTTATGTCATGTCTTCTTCATGACAGATCATGATTAAGAACATGTACACATACAGTAGTTAGTGTTACATACATACAGTAATACAGTATGTAATCTCAAAGATGTAAATTTATAGCTTAAAACAGGCATGGTGTCCATCAGGTGAGAGTGAGACTATTTAATGATAAAACATATTTTGCTTGTGTATTTTGCATGTGGACTAATTCTTATCTTTCTTGTCTTGCTGTTTTAGCTCATGGTTTTATGATGCGTTCTGTAAGGTATTATAGCATTTTATTAATCTCGCACCCAGATCTCTTGCTGACGTAGCCGAAGGGGAGATCTGGTCAAGTAGGAAAATTCCATTTTTCTGATCGGCTAGATTGTGATCTGCTTGAAAGTGCTATGGTGTGTGAAATTTATTCTTTGCAAAGTCTTCAGTTTTGTTCAAAAAATATTTTTGTTGAAAAAGTAGTCAATTTCCAACTCAATATCGCTTGTAAAACAGTCTTTTTATCTTACGTTAAAAAATGTTTTGAAATTTCTTCTTGGCTGAGCGTATAACCAAGTTTTGTCAGAGGAAACTCACAGCTCTATTAAAGTTGTCATTTAACACAGTCACCATTTCAAGGATTTATTTCAAGGATTTATTTCAAGCATGCGCTGTTTTAGTGTGTGTCTGTCACATTCCTGACAGGGGATCAGTTGGATAAATCGGGTGTTCAGATCATTCCTTTGGCTTCTTTGACAAGAGATTTGGGTACGAGATTTGTGTCTCATGTAAACTAAAATATTTGGTAAACTTAGTTAGTGATAGTGCATTTTTTCTTGCGTTGTGACAACAAATTTATTTTTTGTTTATAAAAATAATGAAAATCTCAACTTCAAGTTCATGATTATGACAAACTAAAAAAAAAAACAGAATAGGACTGAATTTACTTGTGCTTCTGGAGAAAATTCAGTCCCATCCACAAGTGAGTGCACAAAAATTGTGTTTTGGCTTTTCATTCCCAGATATATTATTATGAAAGCACTAACCCAACTCACAACTTTTATGACAATGCTTTCCAGGTAGATGTAAACAGAACTTTTTAAAAAAGTTTGCTATATCTGACCTTGCAAATCTCAAGAATGTTTCACTTCCTCTGTGTCTTTTTTTAAGGGATCGCAGGATGCTGAGAAATGTTCAAATCTACATGTACATGTATATTATGCATGCGACAAATTAAGTTGTAGTTAATTGCCCTAATTCACTTGGATTTGCATCCATAACAATTTTAGAGGAAAGAAAACTTGGCTTAGATAAAAACAGTCCTAAAATAATGTACCGTAAACATGATTCTAATCTCTCTATTATCCTGCAGTTGGAATTGCTTATTTATTTCCTTTATTTGTCCTCAGTGTTGATTCAGCCTCTGGAGCTTTTGCATCTAATGATGAAGGAGCAGTCATGGACACTGGAGGTGTGTAATAATTATTGTTTTTGTTTTTTGTTTTTATAAATTAAAACATCAGCATCCCAGCATGATTCTTGTAAACTTAATAAAGCCCTGTTATGCTAGGCAATTTTCTTGCATCTTGCCTCACAATGTTGTTGTGTTACAATTGCAAAAAAAAAAAAGGTTTTTGGTGTTATATCACCTGATAGGAATATGACTGTTTTACAGCACAGAAGCATAGGCGAAGACAGGATATTTTGGTAGCCTTAAGAAATTGATGATTTAATAATAATCTGTAAAGTCCTGAGTCCAAATTAACTCAAAACAAATAAAAATCATATTATTATGTGCTTAAAGATCATTCAAAAATGTTTGCCTAAAGCTTTTGATCCAGAAAGTTTCCTTCAGAACACTTTATTGGGTAAAGTACTCATTAAAACAGTGGACAAAGCACAGAGTTTGTATACCTGTTTCTTTCTCAGATCTATCAGGTGGTTTGGTGACAGTGACAAGTGCTGTTACAAGTGCAGTCCCACCACTTACCCCAGCCACACCCCTTACTCCAATGATGAGTCCCTGTCCCGCTACCCTAAATCAAGCCGTGCGACCTGGTGAGGCACAGACTATCACTGTCACATTACCTGTCACACCCCTTGCAACAGCTGATGGAATTGCAGACCAAAGACGACACTGGTGGCATATTGAAGAGGTAAATTCTGTCTAATTAACAATTATTTTTCACGAGTGTGTGTTGGATATGAGATGGTAGATAGCCAACAAGGCGCATAGTGCCCAGTTGGCTATGATCATCTCATATTCCATAAGCGTGAGTGGAATGATTGTTTTATTAAAAACGACCACAAAGTATCGAGAATTCTTCCTGACTTTATTTGTAAAAACAACCGATTTTCAGCTTGTTTTTAATTTTAAGCAGAGGCGTACAGTTACCATATTTGGAGAGCATGGTATAATGGTCATATACCATGATGGCTAAGCCAGTCAGAGCTCTAGAATTGCATTATTCAATGACTCAGTTTTTAATAGTCATGAGTAACTATACCTGGAGATAAATCTAGTAAAGGATCCTCTGCGACAATGATACCACTGAGTATTCTGAACAAATTTATGAGTGACAAAGACAGGTCATCATTTTGTACTAATTTATTGTGTAGTTAATATTTATTGGACGTCACCTTTTGGAATGGTAATAGCCCATGTTCGATATATGAAAATTCTAACAAGACTCCAACACTTTCTTGTCATATTTCTAGTTTGCTTTGATTTTCTTTGTGCTCGAGTCTCTTTCTGGGAGTTGCGAGACAATGGAGTTTTGAGAAAATTATTTGCAATTTGTCCATAAAGCCTTGAAGTCATGTTAGAATTTTAATACCTGGAATGTGGGCTATTCTTTCCATGCTGTGTACATTTATTATTTTGTAGTCCTTGTTTTTTTCTTATTTTGTCATCCAACTTACCGGTAAATCATGTTTATTTTTAATGTTTTATGGTCATTTGCTTATCAAAATATATAATTTCTTTACCACCACATGTTCTGCTTTCAGCTTTGCGATAATTATATAAATGGGATGGATGTTACAGAAAAAAGTGATAATGACCTAGCTGAGCTTTCATCAGGCTCTCAATGGTTTTATTAGTTATGGCATCTGGCCAGTTTCTGATAACTGACTGGTTTACACTTTGTCTTTATAGATGGTAAATTCATTGTTGAATACAGCTCAGCAGTTAAAGGGTATGATTGAACATGCCAAGATTCAAGCTGAGGCGGCTAAAGATGCTGCTGTCACGCAAGTCAAGCTGCAGGCTGAAGCTGAAAAGAAGGAGGTACAGTTGAAACCTGTGAACTGGGGTTTTGTGGGATGAAGAGAAAGCTAGAAAGCATGGGCAGGTGGGGAGAGGAAAAAGGGAGGGAGGGAGAGAGGCGGCATCTTTCACCACTCTCCCCTGGAGCCTGAGAAAACAGCTGACATTTTCCGATCCCACCACTGGGTTCCTACTGAAATGACGTCTGAGAATCGAGTGTAGAAATTTCATACTGATGACGAGTCACTACCCAGATCAGGGTACTGCTTCTGATTGGTCGTGCCGCTTGTGAAATTTGCTTCAACCAATCAGAAGCACTACCCAGATCTGGGTAGTGACAGTCATCAGTATGGATATTCTGCACTCGTTTCTCAGACGTTAAATAGCCTGGGGTGCTTACTATTTACACAAACCAGCCGGATAGAAATCTTGTGTAGAAGAATTAAACTATAAAATTTGATGTCTTGGGAGAACAGAGAATTTCACTCCGGTACGAAATCTTGCAGCGGTATCATGTAAACGCGAAACGACCACCCGTTTCGGTGTGAAATCAGTCTGCTGATAGACTGGAATGGGTAGCGCATGTGTAATGTTTGCTATTTTGAATCACCCATGTATTTTATCAACATGAAGTGTACCTTCAAATAACGAGATATGAAATGACCCAGTCATCATGTAAACGCGATACGAAATCAAAAAGTCATCTTGGTATGAAGCTCGCGCCGGTGCGAATTTTCTCATGTAAACACCCCCTAAAAAGAGTTGAAGTTTCCCAAACGGAATGGGGTGAACCATTTGAATTGCCATCTGAAATTTCCAGTTTTTCCATGTAAATGGCAAGTACCCTGGTTACTACCTGGTACACTTATAACCATTGTTTCCTACATGTAGTCAAGCCATCATTGTTTTGCATTAAAACTTAATGGAAGTGATCAGACTCTTGGCCCTGTAGAAAGCAACCATCTCTTTTGTTATGAAAACATGGTACATCTGTACCTGTAACTGAGCAGGCGTCTTCATGATAACTTTTGTGTTTGATATTATTGAAAAAGTTAATCCAATTATACAAAATCCATCAACCCTTTAAGGCGATTCCTTAGTAAAAGAACATAACATAGATTGTAGATGAAACTTGGCACACTGATGGAACAAGTCAAGAAGATGATAAAAAAGTAATAAAAAGTGGGGGTCACCGTGCTTGTTTTGACGTCACAATGCTGACAAATACGGCTGTTTAGGACCTTTTGAGAAAAACCGCGCGCAGCCCAAAACTAGACAAAAAGGAGACATTTTTTGGATGATGCAAGCGGTACCGCACAGAATTTGACTTTAATGTATTCTTTATCCACTTAAGTACCAGAAAAATGCCTTGTAATGCCCTTGCTTTTACTTTACGCTCCAAAGTAGAATTAACTTGGACACGCGGTATTCGACCCGTGATAGCTCAATCCGTACAATTTAGTAAAATTGCCAAAAAACTGAACATAGATTTGGGCCAATTTTTTTCTCATCGAAAGGAAGCACTGTCCTTATTAAAATCATGAAATAAAAAAATGGGGGTCACCGTACTCATTTTTGCGGTAGAGCTGCAAAAAGTGCTCAGCAAATGCATTTTCTCCGATTTTTGAGAGAGGACTGGGGCGAGTTTTAAAATAGAATGTACGCGAAAGGGGGAAGAAAGTATTAAAAACTCCGTTTTTACAGAATTTACATCGATATATCACATTTAGAACCCAATGTGATAAAGAAAGCGTTTAAATGAAAATCAAAGTGAGTAAGCACAAGTTAAACATCCACTATCGAGGTTCTCCGTGAGGAAGTCGAACTCAGCAACACACGTACTGCTTACGTTATGCACATTCCCAACATATTGAGTCTCACCTCGGCAAGAAACAACCGCAAGCAAAACTTATAATAGCGTTTCTCTTCAGTCAACTTCATTTTAATAATGTTACTTCACGTGCTCTTATTTACGGCGGCCATCTTGTTATGCGCAGTAAGAGATGCGCAGTGCAAAACCAGGGAATCACCTTAAGCCCTAATATCCACGTACAAATTCTCCAAACTGATCTCTATATATTTCTTTAAAGAATGAGTTGAGAGAATTTGACAAAAGATCAAAGCATTTTCTCTTAGGTGATCATTTTATTAATTCTCAGAACCTAATCTCTTGAAAATATACGGATATCATTAGGAGAAAATTGATGTTGGTCACTATCGGGACTTAAAGGGTTAATTGACCAATCGTGGCACTGATCAAGTAAATATTTCTGTACACTGTAAGCTATGATAATTTTATCTGAGGGAGAAAGCATCGCGTTCATGTTGCAAGTTTGACCTCTTAACCGCTTGATTACAAGAAGGTAGTAAAGGAGAGGACGCACTAAGTTTTGCCGAAATTCCTTTTCCAGGCCTTAGCACAAGCTCGCATGAACTCCCTGATGCAGTTATCACGAGCGTTAAATGATGCTCGAGTGGAAAAAGAAGCTGCCATTGCCCAGGCGGTGGCACAGACAAAAGCGGAGAAGTTAGAGGCAGCAGCTGATGAACGTCAAGAGCAGCTTATTAAGGTAGACAAGAAAAGTTACCTACTAACATTGTCTACCCATAGAAGTATAACTGCAAACCCTTACTGCGAAGATCATTTCTTTGTGCAAATCCCAATGTTGTGGAAGCGGGAAGACCTTCATAAGTAGTGGTCTTGCCTGTTCGTTACTGATATTCACTGACAGTACAGTTGCTTGGCATATTACCCCTGAACTAAGGCCTCTGTTTTTTTTGCAAGTCTGTACTAAAATGATAAAATGTATTGTAAAATTGAAACCAACTACAATATAGCTTGCAAGTAGGCGATTAGCCCGATGACGTCATTTTATTACTACGACCATAATCCTTCAGGGTTTTGCCCTCTTGTGCAAATTAGGGCTGTGGTTATTTAAACCTCGCTGGAATTATAGAAATAATCAAAATATTAAAGGAAACACGAAATGGATTCTGGTGGTGGTAATAGCACTGCACTGTAGCCGCAGCAGCAGTATTTTTAGTTGTAGTAGTTGTTGTTGTTAAATGACCCCATCATTCTAATGGCCTATTAATTTATAAATTAGTACAGTGTACGAAGAGGTTCTTACTATTGAGGGTGCTTCACAAAAGTCAGAGCCTGGCAGGCCGGACCGGTAGTTTTATAGTGAGATAGGCTTTTTTCGAGAGTTTTTACCTATCAGTTCCCTGCATACTTTTCAGCTGTAAACTGATCTGGTGGGATAGTCGTGGTGTCATGGTTTATAATGAAATTCCCTTAACGACTTAACCGGTCTGGCTAGTCAGTTAATGTATTGAACGTTCAGGTTTTTTTGTAACCCTTAATTACATGTGCTGTCAGGGGCGTAACCAGCTTTTCGTTGTAGACCTGGCTGACCTTCATTTCTACACAACCTAAGAATTGCATGCATAACTAGTAAGCACTGACCTCACCAACACTTTGAGCTCTTAAGCTTTTTACCTCACCTCAACAATGCATAATTTATTACAAGCGGCAGAGTGATCAAACCAAAAATTTGTTGGCCCAGGCATACAGGTCTATGGGCTGGCTACACCCCTAGCTGTGGCGAGTCTAACTCAAGTTTCCTTTTTTTTTTTCATTCACCGTACTTGTCGTATGCAACTAAATTACTAGGGAAGTTCAGCATTTCTGTTAATGATAGTCTTTGTTTGTTTGTTTGTTTTTCTTTTTTCCATGTTTTTAACAAATAACATTTTAATTTCTTAGTCCTTCAATGGTGGCGAAGGTGAAATATCAATGGACGAGGCGCCTGCCGTTGCTGCGGAAGTGGAGAAGAATGGAGTAGACTAGTGTCAGGGACGGAGGAGCTGTGAAAAAGACTTTTTGAATTGGACTTACAAGCGTGTATTGTCATCGCATTTAAAGACAAGAGGGGAGTTGCCCTTTGAGTTTCAGAGCTGTGACATGATGTAGCAGCGAGCCGTTGTTCGACTGTTTTGTCAGAAAGTGGATGTACATGTATGGTCATTTTTCTTTCACCTCCGAACTCATTAGAGACCTACGTCCGAGGGTTTAGGCTACCACGACGGCTGCGGCAGAGAAAACCTTGCTTAAAAAATAGTTCCTTAAAATTATTTGAAAACTGTTTAAATTTGTCTGCGTTTTGTTGTGTAACTGAATTGTCCGGCGTGTAAATTTGAAGAAGAAGTTTGAAGTCCATATTTGAAGAGTAAAATCTACCGTCCTGTCGCTTCACAAAAACTTAAGTTTACCGTTTCACATTATTCTTATATAAAAACGGCGAGAGATGTACCGAATATGCAAAAGACACTTGTGCTGAGCGCGACCGGTTGTTTCGATACCAGCCGTTTCGTTACAAGTTTATTCAGTCGAGGTGTAAATAGTTCCACGTACTTGGCGTAAGGAACCGAACAATATTCACCCAAAATGTTTTTCTTGTTCAAGCGCAAGACTGTACTTAGGTCAACGAAATTTTTGGGCAATTTTACTGCTTGAGGTCGTATCGAAACGACCGGTTTCCGCGCCGAGGCATCGTTATTTTGCTGTCCTCTCTGTTGTGCCGTCGTGCTATTTTAATTCAATTTCTGTACACAAACGCCGGGAGTCCAGACTTTTCATACTTGTTCTTCATGAAAGAGTACAGTGAAACCTCTGTTAAGCGGACCCCCAATCAAGCGGACAGCCTCTATAGTATTTGGCTAATTTCTATCAAAGTTCACCTATAAGTCTTTGACAAAGTACAGCTCAGCTTCTTTAGCTTCCTCTTTTGCTTCCATAACAACATGGAACTTAATCACAGTACAGGGTAACCGCTGAATGTTAAAACTCTATTAAGTGGACCGAAGGTTTCACTGTATATCTTTGTCTTTATCGCTGTCGCTTTTATTCATAATTTTTTCCTTTTTCTGTGCACCAAGTGAAAAAATACTCGCGCTCACTTGAATTTTTTTGTTCTATTTGTTTAAAACAAATATACGAATTATACACAGTTAATGTATTCTTAACAAGCACTTCTAGAAGACTTGAGATTGATCCCTGACGTTCCTGACTCAGTCATTTTCTTTAATTGGCAGTCCCAACATTGTTCGTCTTTGTCCCGGTGCAGACGCCATACTTTACAAGAACCGAATTGAGACAAATTAATTTAGTCCCGCTGAATTAATTCAGACGCCGATCTTTATTCTAGGTGAAAAAAAATTCATTCTCTTAGCTTCAAAATGCAGGTACATTAACGCCGGTCCAAAGTCGTTTAATATTCCCGGCTGGGCCAAACGCGAAGGTTGTTGTTTCGAATTGATTCAGTCGCCGTACGTAACATGACAAGACTGAACCAGGCCTCAGAGGGAATGTCTTTTGATTGGTTGGGGTAAAGCCATCACTGGCTAGAATCTCACGGAGGCTTGTCTTGTCCAGGGACCACTGTGTTCCTTTTGTATCACGCTTGTATTTCTATGGAATAGTTTTCTGTTTAAGGTCTGTAATACGACACAATGACGAGAGAAATCATTGGATAGATGTTTTTTTTTTTCTCGAAAGAAAGTCGTGGGAAGTAATTTCGCACAGGTCATGGTTAGGAAAAATATGCGATGATTTTGCAGTGAGCAAATTCAACGTAGCCTTTTAAGGTGTTGTCGGTACACAAGTCATTTTGTCCGAAGTGATCTTGACTGTTACGGAACGTTACAAGTTTAACTTCACCCGTTTTCATGGTGCGTCTGTATGGTCTCTGTTACATGTATTTTATTCAAAGACAGCTGAAGTTCTTTTAATACTCTAGGCATAGAGAACTGTCATTTTACGCTGATCCTTGAGGCTCACACCAGACAGCGGAAAACATGTTCACATCTGATTATTTAGTAATAAGTTTATGATTTTATAAGGTCAGTCTTAACCTTTTTTTCTCCATTTGAAGTGTTTTGCAGTATGAACATTTGTACATTGAAGTTCTATTCACTAATGATGACTTTGTTAAATAAACGCTCTTGAAGTTTCCGCGAATATTTTATTGGATTTGTTTCCGCCTTTTATTTTCTTTGGAACGTTTGGGTATTAAGTTTAATGTGGAAGTGACATTGTTCGCTTCTTTCCCTACCCTGTTTGGACGGCGCAACACCGCTAGAGATCAGTTTGGAGCAATTCAGATCTGGTTTTGATTTTTCTTATTGGCTTGTGGTGAAGAGTGATGCGTTCTAGACAATCACTTTCCTTAACAATGTACACTGAATTTTTTGTTCTTATCCTGTTCAGGTTTTCTCATACGGGAATTTTCCGCTGGTTCTCCGAGACTCTGGTGCCGTTTCAGGCAAGACGAATTTGCCACCCTTTTCCTTCTTGGCCGTGAATACTTGAGGTTTGTGGGGAAAATTCGAACCCATTTCAGAAAGGATAGGTGATTTTTATACCTTGTCCCTGATTGAGCGAACCGAGGAGGAAGTTGACAAAAAAATCCAGCCTCCAGTTGACCATCCCTTGGAGACACCAGTAAAATTTTCGCCGCCGTTTCACCCGACCCAAGAGCCATAATGGCTCTTGTCCCGAGCCGGATGACCGCCCCACCAAGGAAGCGGACTTGGTGTCGTTTCTTTATCACCATTTAAAATATAGCGTGATTGTGCGAAGACATGAGAGAATTATGGAACAGAGAGAGAAGCGCGTAGTCTAGCCTTGGGATGTAAGTGAATTTCACCAAATTTATTTTTAGACTAATGCCCGACTCGGCCTCGCTAATTTTGGGTGTGAAACGACCCGTGGAGGACTCAAAACCGCCCTTTTCTGCAGCTGCCATTGGTTAGCAAGGGATTTCAAGTCCTTCTCAGTCTCGCTTCCCATCTCTGAGCCAGCTACCGCTGGAGTGAGAAAATAATTCCCAGCCGAAGATTATTGAATGATATCTTGCAAGCCAGCTAATTTCTTTTGCGAAACAGCTCAGTTTTACAGAACACCTTCGCTGTGAGCACCCTCAGCACGTATTGTAGCCAGAGCTCACGCAACCCAGTTACACTTCTTTAAGCGTCTTGCTCACTTTTTTAGAAGGCCAAATGTACGTTTGAGCTTAAAATGTTAGAATGAAGAAGGTAATTCCCAGAGGAATACTGTTAAATAATATCTTACAAGCAAGCTTAATTTCCACTCACGGGAACATATCAATTTTACAGAACACATTTCGCTGTGAGCACCTGTAGCACGTATCGTAGCCAGCCAGAGCTCACGCAACCCTAGTTACGCTTCTTTAAGCGTCTTGCTCACTATTTTAGAATGCCAAAACTACGTTTGAGCTTAAAATGTTAGAATAAGAAGGTAATTCCAAGACGTTATTATTAAACAATACCTTGCAAGCCAGCTTAATTTCCACTGCGGAACATGTCAGTTTTACAGAAAATGACCTTCGCTGTGTACACCTGCAGCACGTACGGTAGCCAGAGCTCACGCAAACAGGACGCTTCTTAAAGCGTCTTGCTCACTTTTTAAGACCGCCAAACGTATTTTGATTTTTACTGCGGATCATTTTATTGCGAAAAATATACTTGTCTTGTCGCTTGTATGTTTTGCCTGTGTGTCTCACTAGCGCTTGCAGGTGCTCGCTGCACTTTAGAAAAACAATTACGAAATCAGGTTATTTATAAATTTGACCTTGAAGATCACTTTCTGTTTGCCAGAGGAAACGCTTGCAAATGTTTACCAACGTCCACCACATATGAACGCAACGCAAATATTAGCCTTGCTACAGCGTCTCTTAATACGATGTGCGGTTGACTGAGGGGTTTTTGACCACCTTCGGAAACGACTTCCCATTTATCCTTTGTGTCCGAAGGAACAAACAGTCAGGCTCGATCTTGTCAGCTTGGTTTTCTGAGACATATTTTATGCGGCAGTTCAGAATGCGCAATGCATAATGAGGGTATTTATATTAATAATTTTCGCCTAGTTTATACCAGATACAATCATTACGTCACCATTTCGTTGCCTCTAATTACTGTTCAATC